CAATAGATCACATTTAGCCTTTTTGCTTCAGACAATGTTCAGGTTAGAATGGACTTACGAATGTGTTAGTCTTGTTAATTGTATTGCGTTGTTATTGTTGTTGCGTTTCAGTCCTTGCTAGTATGAAGGTATTATACGTATCCCTCGATTTACAAAAGGGATGCGTTCTTTAAAAAAAAACACGCATGAAACTAAATTTCGTAAATTGGAATGTCTTTTCCCATTAATTTAATACTAAACATTAGGGATGTGTGTAGGCCAGTCATTGCAACTCTACTCATAACCTAAAAATATACACCTTTGTCACTTTTCACAGCACAAAAATTATAATAAAGTACATGGATATTTGAAACGATTGAATAACTAATCTAGAACAATAACAATTAACCTTTTCAGGGAAGTCACCAAAAGATATTCTGCATGTTGGAATGACTAGAGAGGCGATGTGGAGGCGTTACTGTTGAATTGCAGGAACGCCGTGAAGCACTCATGAATGGGTGACGTCGTACTCTCCCGGGTGGCTTCTTGTTTGATGATCTCATAGTACGTGCCGTGTTAATCGAAAAGTGTCCATAATTTGTCAATTGTGTTCAGGTGAGATTTCGTAAATCGAAGGCTGCCTGTACTGCCCTCTTGGACCTATTTTACTATATTGTAATCGTGTTTCAAGGTCACACGTGGACATTGGTTATATATTTCCATGTTTTATGCAAATGGAATGCACTTTCTACGCTACTTTTGTTTAATTAATAGCAACCTGCAAAAATGAAAATATTAATTGCGTATATATCTAGTTTCATTAGTTTCAGCTTTGACATGGGCAAAAGTAATGTTCACCGAATAGCAAAGCCTGATCTGACAAGAACGCCTCTCAATCCGGGAAACAACGTATGTTAGGGAATTTACCGTTATTATCAAACTAAAGCTCATGTCGACATCCCTCAGTTTCATCCATACATCGCTGGAGGGACAGACACAGCCCGGTCACATGACCACAGGCAGCTATCACAAGTGGAGTTTGCATGTGCTTAAGCAATGCTAATAAAATGAAGCACTCTCAGAAGGAATTGAAGTAGGGATGTATACAAAAAAATAAGTGGAGACAGATATATGCAGGTATATTGTTCGCTTGTTACTTATATTCTCCACAACAATGCTCATGATTATTTAGTATTAGGAACAAGTTGGTAAGACGCCCATTACACTTCAACGTGGCTTTTGATGATTAAACTTAGAATATAATAACGTGATGGTCAATGCTGTAAGCGGCACAATAAGTCACTTTCGTATTTCAACATTTACAAAGACGGGACAAAAATCTATTCGCAGGCAAACACAAGTCAGTTATCTTAAACAACAACAACAACAAATCTCGTTCAGGAGGCAAGATAATTTTAAATAGAGATTCACAGCGGCAGAGGCTAGCTGATGGGCAAGATGTCACCACTACATAATTAAATAACTAGCACTGTAAAATTACAGTGCGGTGAAAGTCAAGGGCAAATTAAAAGAAACAAACACCAGAATACAAAAAACCATGATGCAGAACATGTGAGCAATGAACAAGGATGCACATCATATTAAAAAATATAAAATAAATAAACCTCTTTAAAACTCAAGAAATGTATAGGAACAGTATTGAGAGCAAACCACCAACGTGATTGACAATGTCATAATAAATAGTGGGGCATAAAGGCAGCACAAGGGACATTGGTAACTGGGAAATTACACAAACTAAATTAAACTCAAAACTAGTGTTTATTTCACCAGGTAAGGCCCACTGAGCTAAATAGTTATTTTTATAATCTACCTGGCCACAAATAATAGCTCAATGAAGTGGCTTATCGCGTAGAGATGTATAGCAGCCAAATACTCTAAACGCGCGTTTCTAAATGTGGAGGAAAAAACTGGAGGGCCCAGAGAAAAATCCACGCATCCACGGGGAAACCATATAAACTCCAAATATACAGGAGTCAGGGTTGGGATCGCACCTACGACCTCCTGCATACAAGGCGAGGCAGTTAACATCACACCACCATGACACATGGAAGCTAGAAGAGCACAAGATGGAATAATGACACATGGGAGACAGAATCTTAAATCTAGTCGAGGAATATCACAGATATCCACAGAAAGAAGGTTCTAATTCCATTAGGTGGATGATCATTTCTCAGATGAAGATGATGACGTATCCGATATTACACTGGAGGTAAACTTTGTTCAAATCCAGCCGCCTTAAACAGCAATCTTCTAACACTAGAACGGACTTTGTTAGTCTTTTGGAAATGGTGCGTGCAATCCAAAAACAAGAGAGATCGTGCGCGTGCATGGCTTCTGTCACAGTTTCCAACGTGCATTTCTTCGGAAGTGTTTAATTTACGATAACGCACAATAAGATCGCGTGACGGGCGATTGCCGCAGTTTTACGTCACGTGTACGGGCTTAATCAGGAGGGCAGGGCGAGGCGCGGGTTTGACTTGCGATGTCGCGATGTGACACGGCCCAACGGTTGCGCGTTCGCCACTCGATGCAGAGGTCCGTGGTTCAAAACTGGTAGGCCTCCCTGGTTAGCACTACATGCCGTCTACATCACAGTGGATGCGATACATCCGGACATTATTTGAAACGGGTAAGACAATGTGTGCCGAATTTGAGAAATGTCCCCAGAAATGACTCGATTAGGATCACACGTCACAATTATCGCCTCCCCACTGCCAAACAAATGCCCACTCGTAGGCCAGGCACAGTCACATCGTGCCCCCCACAGGGGCAGCCACGACTGAATAGAAGTAACTTAACGCATATGTGCAGCATATAATCAGAAATGTATTATTAAATCAGGGAGGGAAGGTGCACACATCTTCACAGCGTTGGTTCTTATATCCCAAGTTTTGGGATGAACCTTTTGTCAATTTGGTCGGTTTTCTCTACGGTGAGTCAATATTAATGATATCTTACACCTGGATTTGTTCATATCGGGTCATCTCTATGCAAGTTATCGTGTCCCTGTTGTACAGGCAGAACAAGAGATGTAATGCAATTGCGCTGTCGGCTTTACATGGAAAGTACCGATGAAAAGCATGCCGTGCAACAAAATATCAATCGACCTCATCCATACACCTCCACTATTATAAATAACCTACGGCGTGTGTAATGGGGGGTTTTGATCATATACTCGGGAGGAGCCAGGCCCTGTTATCACTTGCCACAGCCTTGGATGGGAATAAAATAAAACATAATGGTAATAAAAGTAAAATTTTAGATCGCGTCATTTGTGCAAATTCCAACTCAAATGCTGCAGAATTTGTAAAATCGCAGTTTCCATGCGGAGGCGTGGGGAACCACAGATAAGCGGGAAGACAGCCAGAACTGGCGCTACCAATAATGATTGCCAAAGCTCTGCGATCCTATATTGGGATGTTTGGGGGAGAAAACCGGAGTTCCTGGAGAAAGCCACACGTGCGAGGGGTAACACTCAATCACCATACAGATGGAAATTCATCCATTTGCTCTACTGCCATCATACCCTGGCAAGCCAGGAGATGCTGACCTTGTCCTAGGGTTGGGTTTTTCATGGATGTGTTCGATCCACAAACTCAAACCTCGACAGTGCCTGGGAACGATTGGAATTGTGCAGCCTAACCTGACCACGTGGTCAGATGCTACCCTCCCTTATCTGCAAAAGTGCTGACCTTGTGGGGAGGGGATGGCGACTGCAAGGGTCCTTCTGAAAAACACACATTTGTACATTTCCCCAGGACCGTTCAGTATAAGTGACCACTCACATTTTGAAGAAATGCACTGAAATTAATTGTATTGCTTACTAGTAAATATTAATCACCAGCATCCATTAATCACTTTATGAAATTATAATTATTATGATCACTCCACTGTTGGATGAAGGTCTCCCCAGGTCACCTCCAAATCTTACGATGCAATAAACGACCCAGAACCCACACACGGAGCCGATTGCATCGCTCCACTTCCTCAGTGGTCGCCCTCTCCAATGCGTTCCATTCCCTTGGCTGCCACTTCGTTAGTCCTGTCTCTCGCTATAATGCCAACCATACCCTTCTCGATGCTTCTTTGTACACTTTTCAGGTTTTTCTTCATTCACGGTCCATGTTTATGATCAGGATGTAATAGCAGATAATAAGCACTGGTTCAAAAGTTATTATTTTTGCTGGTTCACCTCTGTATTGAATCGACTTGGTCGTGGTCCACCTTCAATGTTTTCCCAGAGATATCCCGATAGATTTTAGTGAACTTGTTTTTTTTTACATTTGAATATGATGTTGTTGTAAATGTGTGCAAGTAATTTTGTGATGCTGACGATTCCTTTTGACAACGACAAGACGCTGCTGCCGTCGGTTCATGTTGGTGAAAATACAGATGCAGACTGTGTTGAAAAAACAAAGATCTTAAACATTCCTCTACATGAATACATTTTTACAGGAGCTTAAAACAAATAATGTGAAAAGGAAGGTGGTATTATTTTAGGATATCCCTCAAACAGGAATAAACAGTTTGTAATTAAATAATATTCACCATTCAACAGCAATGACATGGACTGTATTCATGTAAAAAATATATAAACAAAATCTACTCCCCTATTGCAGTTTGCTGGGTAAGACCTTAGTCTTGAATTAATGCCCTCAATAAACGAATTGTTTAAGTTAATATATAACAAAAAAATACCGGAAATATAATCAGGAAAATGTCATGTTATTCTTACACACAGGGCATGTTTTAATTTAAAAACCGAGTTTGAGTGAAATTCGTTGTACGAAAACCAACAATAGCGTTAAGTTACGTTTTGACCTTATCTTGGTAATATTTCAATTTATTCTCACTTATAGTCAGTAAAATATCAACCAATATACAAGAAACATAGCTAGCATGGACTTACACATGTAGAAGGGTAGTACATTAAGCACATATAATTTGTAGTAGTTCTGAACATAAAGTCTAATTTTATTTTTTATTACAGTGTTAATTACCGATAATCTTCAGAATGATGAAATGTCGCCGACTGTGCTGTCCATGCCAGGCTTGCGCGAGTGTTGGCGCCCGGCGACACGACTCATATAGGCGCGAAAGGTCCACCTACAAAATGGCACCTGATAAGAGATCGTTCTTATTATTTTTTTGAACACTATCTAATCGAGCACATTATAGCCACTTCCTGTTGACTAAATTGCTGGCAGGAAAATGAGCTGGGCCGATAGGTATTATGATAGTAAAAGGCCATGGCAATGCCCCCATGTGCTCAGTTAAGTTGTGTTTTTCTTTTTCAGGAAAGTCAGACTACACATATATGGAGAACTAAACGGTCAGGGAGTGATGCGTTGCCAGAATTTCTTGTACATACTATGGGCAGTCACAGCTGTTGGAATTCAATTGTATTCAATCTAAGGAGCGCATTCCATAGGCGGGGAGCCATGGCACAATAATATATACGGTGGGTCGTCCTTGGGTCAAAGACGCGGCCTCGGGATGCAGAGAATGCCATGATAGGAGGCCCGTAGGTTGCGAAACTGTGCCGCGAAGATTCTATTGGTCACGAATGCATGTCGGTGCAAGCCCTCTTAATTCTTCAAATGTTTACCATATACTTTTTATATAATCTTGATGCAGTTTTTTCAGTTTGGTAAATGTCTTTTTTTTTATAACGGTATGTTTAAATGCTGTTTTATTTAGAACTTTGTTTGCATAAGAGCTTGGATGACTGCATCAATTTCCATTGGGAATACTATAGTTTTTATAATCTAGAAAAAAATTACTTTGTATAACTTGACTCGAGAACATTCTAAGCTGCAGTCTATATTTTGTGTAATAATTCGTATCTATAGCAGCAATACTAATGCATAAAGCAAGATAACAATTAGCGACCTTGTGGATACTAATACATAAAACGATCCACCACCTTCACAAATATGTCAATCCACAATTATTTTTTTTACATATCCCATCAGCCACACCCCAGTACTAGTCACTATTTCGTGTATAAGTAGTAAGAAATTAGTTGTGTATGGATTCAAACAGACGGTAGCAATTTAAAACAGTATTACTCTTAAATTTTTATTGAAAAAACTTTGGAGAAGCCATGAGGAGATGCGACTTTATACTCATTGTAAAAACTCAACATGCAAATATTATACACGATATGATAAAGCATATTACATAAAGATATTTGATTCAGTCTCATAAAATGTATCACATTTTAAAGATTAATATTTATATTATTGAAATGGATAAGGTATATATTGTTGGAATAAATATGCAAACCGTGGCCAGTAGCGTACAGAACTGTATTACAATCTTCAAAACATGTGGTATTTAAAATTATATTACTGTAACTGTACAGGTTTAACGCGTAGGTTTCGGGACCAATATTCTCCAGATGTTTTTGGGTTAGATCGCGTTAAACCCACCACCACCCGCCACAGCCAATTAGTAAGGTTTGTCACGTAAATAGAACATGCATAATGTTCGCTTATTACCATACGAATACCCCAACAGGTAATTGAACCCATTGCAATTTATAGGCACTAATTTATTACACCCATGGCATTCGCATTTGATTAGTTCACAAGTGACGACATCACATTTATCCCTGTATTTAAGAACAAAACAGGAGTATGTCTCCACAAATATGGCTGTCGTCTGATTATACTAGTTGTAATTATTGGCGAAACGTCGTACTCCAACAGTATATGTTGTTGGTTTACTCTCCGACACACAAGTGTGCCTGCATGCAGTGTGAGGGGACTAGTGGCTACGGGAGGTAATGATAGGGAAGTCAGCCTACAGTGCGAATGCACTAGTGGCCACGGGAGGTAATTACATGGGTATCAGTTGTGAGTGCGAAGGGACTGGTGGCTACGGGAATGTTCGAGAAGGGAGCGTGGTCAGGTGACGAAAGAGGACGGTGAAGTCTGCCGGTAGAGCGAGCGTCAAGGGGGGACGTGGCCTCGATTGATATATAAGGGAGATGCATGGGAGACTCTGGGCTGTTGCAGTGGCATCTCCGCCTGATGTCAAGTGAACGTGTCTTCAATAAAGTGCCATCTCAAGTCATTGCACTAGCAGCGAATTGGCATGTTCTGTTTACGTGACAAACCTTACTAACTGGCTATGTCGGGTGGTGGCGGGTTTAACGACACATATGCACGCGATGTAACCGTACAGGTGTTAATTCTCATTCGTATTTTAACATTATTTCGGTCCTGTATTTGTTTAATTCCTGTTGTTAAAGGAGTCGTTGGTCTACGTGTCACAAGAGCCGGGATGTTTCGGTCCATCTGTCCAGAAAGCACCTGCCATGTTCTCACACAAAATGATAAAAAGGCTCAAGGTAAATCAACACAAAACTTGCCACACAACAACGCCGAACCCAAGATCTGTAAAAGTTTGTGGGCAACTTGGCCGAGATATCTAAAGAAACAGGTGGGTGTGTGTGGGAGGAGCCGGCAGCTCCGTGGGATCGTCGCCGAGTGTCGAGAGAGGGCGAGGGAAGGCGCCACCGAGTGGCGAGAGGGCACAAGCAGGCTCCTTGCCACCTTTTTGCAACCACTGCCCAGAGGACAGCTAAATAAAAGTCTATTAAAACCGTGCAGTAGTGTCCTCTCAAAGTTCTGCGCAAATCAATTTCTGCCACCCAAACAGATTCCAATGTCCAAAGTGTTCAGGTACAACCCGGACAGACAACAAAATGCGAGGACGATGGAGCGCCGGTGTTAGGTTAGAGGGCAAGGTGACATGCCGATAGGTCCACATCATAACACATAATTAACGAATCAACTCAGATTCGTCAGTGAGGTTTTGGCGACGTTTTGAGAAATGGCCCTTCTTCATTACACAAAGTGCTCGCCACAAATGAACCACCAATACCTTGCTGATATTGTCAAGGAGCATAAACCATCACGCACACTCTGGTCATCCTCGCAGCGGCTTTTGGCTCGCCATCGAACAAAGACGGTCATTATATCGCGTGCTTTCAGATGCGCTTCTGCGGCTGTCTGGAACGCTCTTCCTTCCAATATTAGGAAGCGTCTGGAGCTATGCACTTTCACATCTGAATTGAAAACGCATTGCTTTAGAACTTTTTTGTTTGTTTGTTGTCCTTCCCCCACACCACCGGTTAGCACGATTGGCTACGTACGGTGCGAAAGGAGTTAAACACGCGGTAAAGTACATGCGCCCATTCCTTATTGTCTTTTAATTACAACTTTTAAAGCGCCGCACAGAATTATCAGCCAGCCTTTTAATGAGTTTTTTTTATTTGGGGAGGAAACCGGAGCACCCGGATAAAACCCACGTGGAGTGAGGAGGAAACATTATATCCCTAAGAGACGGTACCAGGTGGAATCAGGGCCGGATCAAGGCACGGGCTTTAGGGGCTGCAGCCCAGGGACCTCCACCAGCTGGAGGGCCTCTAGAGATTATTTGTGAATGCTGAATTTTATTTGTTGCTAGCCTTGTAAAAATGAATTTTTTTCTTTAACTTTGTTTTCCTTTTGAAAATATTACGGGGGGCCTCACAGTACCTGAAGCCCAGGGGCCTACACAATCTGAATCCGGCCCTGGGTGGAATCCACATTTTCTGTAGACTTCTCTTGGCAAGCCAGGGAACGGCAACCTCATCGATGCCCACGGGAAAGGCGTTTCACCTGTCTGATGCACCAATCCTCGCCTCTCGTGATAGATTACAGGCCATGTATCGCCACCACCGCCCGACCTAAAGCAGTGTCATTGGAAAATTACGTTTTATACAAAGACTGCCTTGTTATTCAATACCATGTGGCAGACAATAACTAAGCAAATACGACTCCACATAGCTTTACCTTCCCATTAGCCACATGACTTACTGGGAGTGCATCATTTAATTGGAATTAGTTTAGCTCAAACAAAACCCTGGACCGATGTCACCATGGTCTCATCGGCAGTCAGGCTTGGTTGACGTAATGCTGAACTGCCAGACGTATATCGGCGACGACCATTCTTCCTTTAAGATACGAGTTCGTTACACTGATTGTGCTATCATTTTGTTGCATTCCCGGTATTAAACCGCATGTAAAAAAAATATCGAATAAATCACTTATCAGTTTTCCGCGCGCGCATAACTGAGAAAAGATGGAATTTGTTTTATAAACTGGACCCACCGCAGAGGTTGCTGGTTCGACTCTATCTCCCGGCGCGGCAACTCCATAATGCAAAGGCCCCACCGGACTTGCGCCACTGCCGGCATTGGGGGGCGTCTCCCTATTTATAGTGCTGGGGACTGGGCTGTACCATGTCAGTGGAAGTCTGGGGGGAGGGGGTTGCGTCCACAGAGTTCTCCGCGAGGCGGAGGCAGAGGACATCACGACCCCCCCCCCTGCACAATGCGCTCGTCCTCAGCCTGCCCGCGGTGGAGGCGGCGAGCGCAGCTTCTCACAGCCGGGTTGGGTGCGAGTCGCCATGCAGAGGGAGCGCCGCGATAACAACAACCACAACAACAACCACCACAACAACAACCACCAGCACAGCCACTAGAAGGCTGCTCCTCCTCCACACTCCACACAGCCTCGCAGTGCTGAGCCTCAACTCGGCCCGAGGCGGAGGGCTAAAGCGACCCCCGTCACCCACTCACCCCCCTCAACTCTCCCGCTTCACGCACAACGTAGACACACACGCACTCCGCACATTGCAAGGTGTACACTCTCAGTTGAAGGGGGCGAGGAGAACTCCACAGTGAGACCGGGCGAGTGTCTGACGAGCGGTGACCCGCGGCCCTGACCCCCGCGCCTCCGATCAGCGGAGCTACGTACGGCGCGAAAGAAGTTCAAGGTACGTACACACATCGACTTGGAGATCCACAGCCTCGCATATGGACCCATGAGACTCACACGGACACCCACTTATCTTCATAATTGCTTGTTGTGTTAAGTTTGTTCTCCCCCCCGCACCTCCGATCAGCTTGGTTGGCTACGTACGGCGCGAAAGAAGTTCAAGGTACAGCGAGAGGAGTGGAGGAGAGTGGAGGAGTCTCCCCTATCAGCAGCAGCAGCGCCGACTTGCCTTGTCAGGTGTATTAATGTCGCTGTCTCAGCAGGGTTCGCCAGAAATTACACAACTTGTATCGTCAGCCAGATGTGGCAGTCCGCCTTATGATGCTCGTTGTAGTTACTGACGAAGCGTCGTTCTCGGATTGTAAATGTTTTGGATGTTCTCTCCAACACACCGGTTAGTGCTGTACGAGTAACATAGTGGCACGTTCTGTTGTTTACGTGACAAACATTACTAGTTGGCTCAGGGTGGTGTAAGGTTTCGCGACACATGTACGCGATCTAACACAAACAAATTATATATATTCTGTTAAACTGGGCTGCACTTATTCACGCCTGATTTATAGTTGAAAAACATTGTTTACATTTGATTTGTTTTCCTTCTCTTGCATCTTTTTCTCTCCACGTTTTCCATGTCGGATAAAAATAAGTAATATTTAAAAATCCTTTTAAAAACACGCTTTAATGAAATGTACCGTACGAGTAATGGCAGAACTCCGAAGCTTGCCACAACGTAAGGGGCCATGGTGAGTTACAGCCAACGTCAGTTGAGCGTGGACAATTAGACCCAAGTCGAAACATAACATGTAAAAAGAATGTTACAAAATATTTCTTTTAGTTTTAATGATAGAATATAGTATTGTCATTAGTATGACATAAGTATACCAAGTTTGCAGTCGATACCACATTGGGAAGTGGGTTAAAATTGAGTTACAAGATTTGAGGATACGACAACAACAAGTGAGTTAACAGAAAGCGTGTAGTAATAAAAAGACAATGCGCCTTCGCCTCGTTGAATACAGGGATGGCGCATTCAACGTGCAGAGCGCTCCAGGGCGCTTTATTGTTATTGAACGACCTGTTAGCACAGAGCGCAACGTAGCAGGAGCCCACGGCCCGAGGAGCTAACTCGTGTGTGTCTGTCAGGATCTGGCCAGTTACAGCTGAGGTTCTACCTCGTAGCGCTTCGGCAGAGTGCTCCTCCGCCCACAGAACACCTGTAGAATTACATCGCACACTCCGATTAGCATGGTAGGCTACGTACGGTGTGAAAGAAATTCAACAAACAATAAGACGAGTCTTGTTACACAAAACCCTATACCTGTCAACCTCTTATCAGTGCCTACCTTATTACAGATCAGTTGAGACCTTATTGGTCCATACTCTTAGTTCTTTCGGTAAAGTCACGTAGGTAAAAAATGAAATTAAAATTGATAAAAAATAAAAACTATAAAATCACGACGTTTTGGAGGCAACACAAGCTTCCGTCTTCAGGTGAAACTGTCACAGCAAAAAATCTGTATCAAGTGATACTGTCACAGCAAAAAATCTGTATCAAGTGATACAGATTTTTTTGCTGTGACAGTTTCACCTGAAGACGGAAGCTTGTGTTGCCTCCGAAACGTCATTTTTATTTTTTTATTAATTTTAATTTCATTTTTACCTACGTGACTTTACCGAAAGAACTAAGAGTATGAATCCTTGCAGTCACGAAAGCTTCTAATCTAGAACCTTATTGGTCACCTGGTGCCCTTAGAAATCTCAACGTTCATCCTACAAAGCGCCATCGCAAAGGCAGCAACACAAACAAATAGCAATTATGTTGCGAAACAAAAACGTTTATGTATTTATTTTGATAATTGGTGTCAATGATGCTACTTATGCTACTGTATGTGATCTAGCATGCTGACGCTGCTGCTGCTTGCTTGATATGTGGATGCACACACTCATGTTGTAAATGTACAACAATAAACACGGAATATTACGAAGGGTTAAACAATACTTTTTTTTATTTGGCCATATGATTTCTTTTTGGCCGTATTGCAACGGCTGTTCGCCGTATGGACCTGAAAACTCTATTTCTTTGTACAAAAATACGTGGTAGATAGGTATGCACAACGTATGAGTGACCCGTGTTCGTCATGTTTGCTCTGCAGAAGCCATTGTGCCACGAGAGCTGCGATGAACCTCTCGCGTCCATCGTCCTTGCCTGGCCTCCGCCGCATGTGCCGCTTATGGCCTCTGAGTCGTGCACCAGGGAGAAACGCGGCGCATCGGCCTTCGTGCTGTCGGACGTCTTTGTGTACAAGGGGTCACGTGACAAGCAGTTCGCAAGGTAACAACCGTTAGATGTGCTGATGGAGGTGGAATCGAGTCACGGTATTGGTGAGAAAACATCAAGGTCATTGCTACCTGCTGCATGGGAAAAGGCACCCTCCCATGTACCAATGTCCATTGCTTTTGCTGTGCCTCCAGTTAAAATGTAAATTTGCATAGCTGTCAGCCCCTTATCAGTGTCTACCTTATTACAGACCAATTCAGATCTTGTTGGTCACCCCGCGCCCTTATAAATCCCAACGTTCATCCGTATGAACTTGAAAAACTAAATTTCCCTGTGCAAGAATATGGGCAAACTGTATGGGTTGAAACGCATGAATTTGGCGCTGAATTACATCACCATTAATATTTTGTGTGGTGAAAAAACTATATATTTTTCTTGAAGCGTGTTGTCATGGTCAGGAGTATTTATGAATGTTGGTGTTATGTCACCTATAAGAACGAGTTGAAGTATGCTTCGTCAGGGAATTAAACCATCCACTTTGGCTATGTGGCATATATGCTTTAACAAAATAGGTAAGCAGACAATGTCTCTTTCATACATCTATTCATATATATGTCTCAACATGAAAAGTCTAAATATTCTTTACACAATCTGTCGGTCCCACGGACTTTTTGGGAGTGAATAATTTCAGCAGCATTCATGACAAACTGTGAACTGGTTTCAATGTGTCTCATCAGCACAGTGAGGGTTGCTTTAATACAGGTGAACTGTCAGATGTTAAAGACTAGGGCCCTCTCTTTAATATATGGGAGCTAATTCAATGAACATTAACGTGTGTGTGTGTTTAGGTCATTGTTGATTTTTTTTTACAAACATTGTGTGTCAGTTTATATTTTTGTTCATGTGGTAGGTGGGAAATGCATTGAACACAGCAAGTAGATCATTTGTTCATATGGCTCATGGCACATTTTGTTAGAAGTATGTGCTTGGTTTTGTCACAGGAGGTGGCATTGTACGAGCAGACCCGAGCAAGATGACACATCCAGTGGTGAAACGAGGCCCTTTCTCGCTATTGGAGCCTCGGGACATAGAGGTTTTCCAAGCTATGCTGCCAGAACGCGTCATCACAGATCCAGACGTGCTAAGAGCTTCTTGTACTGACTGGCTGGGGAATTGTCCTGGTACTTTCTGCACCACATGTTAAAGCTATGGGGGGGGGGGGGGTGTCCTTCAGTTAAATTGGTAACAGCAAAGGCTAAAAGAAAACTAATTCAACTACAATAGTTTTTAAATGTATCCTTTAAATTCCTCTTCCCTGCTTGCACGGTTCAGAAACTTAACCATAGTAATATGGATAATATTGGTCACGAAAGCCTACGTGTTAAATTAGGAAACTTAAACATTTGAAGTCTCTTTGATCCTAATATTTGCCAGTACCAAAATGCATCCATCATTTTGATACTGGCAAAAAGGTCCCATATATATAACTGCTCAACCCGAGCTAATACAAGTAGTTCTCTACTTACGATGGAGATGCGTTACGACGACCCCATTGTAAGTCAAAAATATCGTAAGTCGAAGATGGCCTAGCCTACCCAGGAGTCTTAAAGAATGGTGATAATTCATCAAAACAGACCAATTTACAGTACCGTTCTGTATAAACTATATACGGTGTGTATTTATTAATTACAATACTGTATTGCACAGTAAAATGTAAAGTAAAAACAAGGTAAATTCTTAGCCTACCTATATGAACTGCAATTTCATAGAAAGTTTTTTCGGGAAACAATCCTATCTGCATCACACAAGGCTGGAGATGCGTACAGTACATCCCGGCAGCGTCCCAACGTACAGTATCGTACCTCGTACGCTGCTGCGTTTGCCTGCCGCGCGAAATTTAAAATATTTTACAATTTTGTCGTATCGCTATCTCCATCGTAAGATCGAAATATCGTAAGTCGGACCATCGTAACTTGGGGCCTATCTGTGCTACTTGCATTGCTTTTATATTGTTCGCCTTTTGGCCGTTCTGTGGTCTAACACTGGTGAGACATGGCCATAAATAATGCTGTCTGGTGTAGGCTAATCAGCCTCAAAGACAATGCATATATTTCGATTTAAAGCTTTCGTGATTGCAGGGATTCACTTTCTTGGTTCTTTCGGTAAAGTCACGTAGAAGGGAAATAATAAAAATAAAACATCATAAAATAATTCTCACGACGTTTCGGCCACAACGCAAGCAGCCGTCCTCAGTGAGGACGCAAGCAGCCGGAGAATGTTTATTTGCATATTTTGCCACAAGCATGTGTGGTTAATATCTTGATGCCTTGTAAGTAAGTATCTATTTGGTGTTTGAACATCTTAACACCTGTTTTATTTCGATTTTTAGCTTTCGTGACTGCAGGGATTCATCTTTGTGGTTCTTTCGGTAAAGTCACGTAGAAGGGAAGTAATAAAATAATTAAAATAAAACATAATAAAATAATTTTCACGACGTTTCGGCCACAACGCAAGCAGCCGTCCTCAGGTGAAGAACATGTCTGTCGATAAGACAGAGTCTAAATGACACGTCTTAGGCTTGGAGTGTCTATTTAAGCTGTGAGGGAGGAGGAAGAGAGCCTTTTGTCTGTCTTATCGACAGACATGTTCTTCACCTGAGGACGGCTGCTTGCGTTGTGGCCGAAACGTCATGAGAATTATTTTATTATGTTTTATTTTTATTATTTTATTACTTCCCTTCTACGTGACTTTACCTGTTTTATTGCCATAAATGTAAAGCCTAGTCTTATGTTTTCATAAAATATAGGCTTGCTGCCTCATTCGTTCTTGCGTGTGTTTAAAGTAATCTGTTGTAAACAGAATAATAATTTTCTCATGTAAATACCCTGGCAATTACTTTCTGACGACTATATATATTCATGTGTCAGAGTGCTAGCAAGTATGTTGACTGTATTTTGTTGGCAGGAAATAGTGTCCTTATGCTGAGACCACGCACCACCAAAGAAGTGTCTGAGATACTCAGGTGATTCTCCGACACACACAAACACGTGTCTTGTATGGTGGGTTGACTGTTGGTTATTTTAATATTATTTATACGTACAATAATAATGATTTTCAGCCATATTCCGAAACAAACACCATGTTAGTCATGGGGGATTTTGGACTGTACCTTCACACCGGTCAGAGCTTGTTTGTGAACTGGGGACACAGGACCGGTTCAGATATCGCTCAGCATTGCTATGGGGAGCCTGGTGGATATTACATCGTGGAATCGTGGGTGGCTTTGGGAGGTCCTCATCCAGCAGTGGACTAATCATGGTTGATGATGGTTAATGCAATTTCTGGCAAACGTTTATTTAATCATTATTTTCCTATTATTATACCAATAATTTAACGGCACTTGCTTTATTTAACGGCAAATGCTTTATTTAATGTGCCCTCCGAATAAAACTTAAATCACACACGCTAAATGTACTGATTAGATGGTATGAGGTATTAAAGGGTGTGGGTGGGGTGGGTGTTGCCACTGCACTGCCGTCTCCCTGTTTGTTTCTGGATTTTTTGAATCGCTCTGTAAGGCAAGGATTTACAATTGTATGATTAATTTGGTTATGCAAATAATTACATTTATATAGCGTTTTTCATCAAGGATCTCAAAGTGCTGAATGACATTATTAAGAGTAATAATGTAATTTATAATATGCACAATATTTTACAGCCGTACCAGTGGAACAATTGATCATTTCATCTAAATCATGCATTTTTCAGATATCAGGCGACGGTCGTAAGTAATAACGAGGCAGTCTGTAGCAGGCAGGACAGCGTATATAGGCTGTTGGAGGATCTTGACCGGATGATTTTTGAGTGTCGGCCTTTGTATGTGGCCTCTTCCAGGCACTTAAGTTTCCTTTCTAATTCGATGAGTGGTGGTTCGTTCTTTAGATCTCGATATTTCGAAAGGTGGAGTATTCGATGTGCCACGGTATCACATCGTGATATCGCAGACAGTGCGATACTACACCGTCACACTTGTCAAAACATAGTTTTACCGTTGCACATTTTTTTACGACTTTTTCTCAAACAATATTTTTGTCACATTTTTTTTATTTTTTGAAAACTCTGTTTGGAGAAAACTCATCACTCCTTATTCGCAGACAAATGCCCACTTGCAAGTTGCTGCTACATAAACCGTGTGCTGCATCGGGACAGCTGCAACTGGAGGTCTGCCAAATTGGACTCGATTAGCGAGAATTCGCTTGGCTAGACTTCGAATGAGCAGTGGAATGGTTGAGATGAGACGTGATGTAAGGTGCTTTCATATGCTTGAGGTATTTAAGTGCCATATACAGCAAATGATAATTATTACCCGGTCACACCCACAATGCCAGAAAACATCACAAAAACGACCTTCATCTCAAGTCTTGAGACTCGGTTGAGTAAAGGATATTAGTTTGAGCCTTTATATTTACGAATGTTTGTTGACATGTACACTGTATATGGTTTTCCTTTATGCAACAACCCCGTCTCCTTAGTACTGCATTCAAGGAATATTCTGCATCGCCCAGGACATTTTTAAGTGAAATCCAGTGAATGATTCAAATTCATATTCAATGTGAAAATTTCCTGTGGGCCAACAAGAGTGGGATTGGCAATAGAGTACTGTACAGCATACTAGCTAAATGTCTTGTTTTCTGCATCTGTTATGGCACCAAAGCACAGCCAACTGTTGATTAATATCTTATCAGTGGGTGGGTTATCCGGGTTTAGGATTAACCATTTGTAAAAGAAGTAAAAATAATAAAATATGGTACAAGGGTCGCCAAAATATTTTAAACCTCTTTGCATGGTTTAGTTTTTTTTGCCTTCCCACAAAGGTACTGCAATGAGCGTCAGCTGGCGGTGACACCCCAGGGAGGAAACACGGGGCTCGTAGGAGGCAGCGTGCCGCTATTCGATGAGATTATTGTCTCCACTTCCTTGATGGATGAAGTCGTCAGCTTCAATCCACTCTCAGGTACTCTATTGGCTGCTTCTCTGTGTGTGGTACATATCTTCTTCACTTCATTTGTACTATGTGGTGTACTGTATATGTTTAGGAGTAATAATAATTGGAACAATGTTTTATTTTTATATCGCGTCATTCGTCCAAATGGAATCTCAAAACGAATTAATAACACGCGGTCGGGTGCTACTCAAAATTCAAGGTATTTTCTAGGTCCTGCTTCTTAGTTTAATTTATTTTCCTTTTTAAACTGAAGTGCTCCAAGTTTAAAGACAATCCTTCAATATTTACTGATTGCTTAATGGAGTTGAAAAATGTATTGTGGCCAATACCATAATAACCCGATTGATGCCCTCCCGTTACATGTACTTTCGTCACAACGTGCTCAACTTATTGATACCAAATCCAGTTTTGCATACTGTGGTACCTCGCCATAGCATACTCGAGATTTACGAACTTTAACGCGAAGACCCCAACACTGTTTGCACTGCATGGCGACATTCACGCGCCAGACGGCGCCCAAGCGTTAGGGTCCCTCACTACAGCAGTCTCTTTATTATGTACAGCTCCTCTTCATATTTGTTTCCTTACATAACACATTCATGGCGACTATGTTTATACTAGTGTAAACTATATTTATATGAGAAACGGCTAATAATACAGAGTATAATAGACAAGTGAATATATCTTAATATATAAATAATATACACTTACTTTTGACGATGGTTGTACAGTATATATGTGCAATGGGTTACTGAGCATCCTCTGTAAAGGTACTGTACCACGTTACGATCCACCATCCCATTTCTTTGCTTCGATTTAAGTACTTTTGATTTACGTTCTAGTTTTCCGGAACGCATCCTGGGTGTAAAACGGGGTAAACCTGTACTTGTAGTCGCAGTGTAGAGGCATAGATGTAGAGGGCAAGAGGAGAGGACCCTGAGCAACTTGTGACTATGAACAGAGTAGAACGAGATTCTCAGCTGTTGACTTTTACATCAAAAGTATCAAATTGTAACTTCACTTTTCCACGTGCATATTGAGTGGCACGCTAGCGCACAGTTGTCACACTCATTCGGTTCGTGGGAACTGAAGAAAAGATCGTAACATACTTGAAATGAAGGACACAGAGATGAGGATAAGAGACAGTTGAAATGACTGAAAGGCAAGGATAAGCTAATTTAGAATTGTAAATAAGTCTTAGTGATGTTTTAATTTTTATTTGATGAGAGGCATTGAAAAGTGGGAAAATTCAGTGTCATGTTTATGAGATTTCTCTCGGCAACGTTCTGGACCATCTAAAGTTTGGATGTTAAGCATGCAAATCATTGTAGGCCCACCCCTCCTTAAGTACATTAACAAGTGTGTGTGTGGGAATTATTTTGCCAGGTGTGCTGGTTTGCCAGGCTGGCTGCGTGTTGGAACGTTTGCATAACTATCTGTCGGAGCACGGGCACATAATGCCATTGGACCTCGGTGCCAAGGGAAGCTGTCAGATCGGAGGCAATGTGTCAACTAATGCTGGAGGAGTGCGGCTCATCCGCTACGGGTCTCTCCGTCACACAGTACTGGGGGTCGAGGCTGTGAGTACCGGCACCACTGACATGGTCACATGGCCCATGAAGCGGGTTCTTGTTGCTTGTTGCAAAGGTTCACGGTTTGAATTCAGCATGGTGCTGTGTAGTTACTGGCTGATGGTATGGTGCTGTGTAGTTACTGGCTGATGGTATGGTGCACTGTAGGTGCTGGCTGGTGGTACGTTGCTGTGTAGGTGCTGGCTGATGGTACGATGCTGTGTAGGTGCTGGCTGATGGTATGGTGCTGTGTAGGTGCTGGCTGATGGTACGATGCTGTGTAGGTGCTGGCTGATGGTAGGGTGCTGTGTAGGTGCTGGCTGATGGTATGGTGCTGTGTAGGTGCTGGCTGATGGTATGGTGCTGTGTAGGTGCTGGCTGATGGTGTGGTGCTGTGTAGGTGCTGGCTGGTGGTATGGTGCTGTGTAGGTGCTGGCTGATGGTACGGTGCTGTGTAGGTGCTGGCTGATGGTGTGGTGCTGTGTAGGTGCTGGCTGGTGGTGTGGTGCTGTGTAGGTGCTGGCTGATGGTACGGTGCTGTGTAGGTGCTGGCTGATGGTGTGGTGCTGTGTAGGTGCTGGCTGATGGTACGGTGCTGGATCTATTGACCACGTTGCGCAAGGACAACACAGGCTATGACCTGAAGCAGCTGTTCCTGGGAGGAGAAGGCACGCTGGGCCTGGTGACTGCAGTTGCACTTGCCTGCCCCAGAATGCCCAGCTCACAAAACGTCGCTTTCCTAGGTACAGTAACTCCCAACAATGGGATCACTTGAAAAAGAACAATATGCAATTCCTATGAATGTATATTGTATAATAGTGACAGAGACTGTGAGGTTCAAATAGAATGACGTCAAGAGGATATCATGAACAATTAGGTTGATATCTCCACACAATATTACTTGTCCACACCCTGCACACTTTGTCTACAAACATCTGGCAGTTCACCTGCATTGATTTGTTCAAGCAAAGCTGATTGCTGATGAGATACTGGATGTTAAAAACCTGATCCAGAGTTTTTCTTGCGTTAAACCAATGCCACTGAGATTAAGCACTTTTAGAAGGCCGTGTGCATTTTACGAAATTTCCTCAGCCCACACTTAGTAGGTGCATACGTGATGCCGTTTGTGAATGGTTTAATTATGGTGATGAACGTGTTTACTTTCCTGGCATACTGACCCTTGTTTAATGCTGCTAAAAATGTATAAAAGAGGATGTTGACTGGAAAATTGGCTGCGTATTCCATAAGCACTTGTAATTTTGTGTGAACAATAGTCTTGTTGGCAACAGATGCTTGACGAAAATCAAGACATTATAGAAGTGATATTGGAACATTTTTTCCATGATTAAAATACCATCTCAACCCGCAGGAAATCTGATGCTGCTGATATACGTCTCTCATTTGAAATGTAACAAAGAATTACGATGATGCTGGTATTGGTGCTGGTGTTTGTGTACTCGGGGGGGGGGGGGGGGGGGCTGGTGGTGCAGTGGTTGGCTCACTGCACTACGATTCCGGTGACCCGAGTTCGAATTGAGCTCACGACCAATCAGCGGCCAATATTTGAATCGGTCCTGGGCCTCGCTTCCCTCAACCAACTGGGCCTTATATGGGTACGTACTGCAGCGTATGAACATCAGCACTGGGGAGATAAAGGCGACCGGGCGTGGTGTTAAACACCCACCCCCTCGTGCCGCACCAGCCTTCATTGGTGGTCGCTAACGGCACTTGCCCCAACAGTTTGTTAAAGGTTATCCGGGATAATCTTTTTCTCTGAGGGCAGGTTAAGGAGAATGTCCGTGGTGTGTTCCAGGCTGTGAAAGTTTTGATGCTGTGCTGAAGACGTTTGAGCTCGCCAGGCACAGACTGGGAGAAACGCTGTCGGCCTTTGAATTTCTGGATGAAGTTTGCATGTGGCTGGTGAACACTCACCTGGCGTTGGCCAACCCCGTCACTGGTAAAGTATAAAAAAACGCAACAAGCAGCCGCGCGAGTGACCATGTTGGTGATGACAACGGCTCACGTGCAGACACGAGATGGGCTGTAGAATCGTAGGACCACGAGGAGTGGTGTCGGTGTGTGGGTAGGCTTTCAACCGGCAGTGGATTTCTCATGGTTGGTGATAAATAAGTTCATACCTCAGTGGGCTTTACCTGGTGAAAAGAAAAAAATGTTCGTTTTATTTGTTAATTTTTAAGTGGTTTGTTTACCTTTCCTATACTTTGCACTCCTATTGTGTTTTTGTATTGTTTGCTGTAACGTTCTTACCCGCCCCTACTGGACGTCTTAAAAAAAAAGCTTTATAACTAATCAGATTCCTCCAATAAATATTCTGATAACTTGCTCAACTATCTTTAATATTTTAAATACAATTAAGGAGATCTGGCCGGATTTTCATTATACATGTGACATTGCATGGATTTTACAGCTGCTTAGCCTGCGACGTATCTGCATTATTAGGCTATAGGCCATTTCAGTGAGAGTTTTGCTGTATTTTGATTGCACCTTACCCAGTGGTCGCCATGTACCTGTATATAACAGTACGCCATGCCAGCAATTTTTACAACACCAAACGTGTATCAGCACTTTTGAGAACGGTTTCCATTCCTCATCTGTGGTGTTTCCAGAGGGGAAATGGCAGTGTGAGTGTTGGTGTGAGCGTGAGTTTGGGTATGAGTGGAGAGTGGTAGTGTGGCGGTTAAGCATGCTGCTCTATGAATCTGGTGGCCTGAGTTCGATTCCCACTCATGGCCAACACCAGTGACGATTATCTGAACTGGTCCTGGGTATCCCCGAGGTCGACTCAGCCTCAAATAAGTACCTCGTAAAATTGCCACTGGTGGCCATGGTGTGCTGTGCCGGCTTTCATAGGTGCTCACTTACAGCACATGCCCCAACAGTCTATTCATGGCTAAACAGGAGATCTTTGTCTTTGAACATGGGCTGCTGCAGGACAAATTGGCTTCATACCTGCATGGCTGCATTTCCATATCGAGTACTGCACACAAACACACACATTGAGTACCATATACGACACATCCAAAAATATACAACTTATGTCTTTTGATTGCGAATGAATCGCTGATAGCAATTCTCTTCTTGAAATTGCCGGACGACGTATTTCCCGTTGAGTTGGTGTTATATTTGTCACTGCCCAAGATGATCGCCCGTGAACTGTGCGCAGAGCACCCTTTCTACGTCCTGGTGGAGACCGCCGGCTCGTGCGGCCGGCACGACGACGAGAAGATGCAGGACTTCCTGCAAGAGGCGATGGAGACGGCCCATGTGTCGGCAGGGACGCTGGCAACGGACCCCTCCAAAGTGCAGGTAGAGTTCGTGTTTCGTTGTTTTTTTTTTACAACGCAGTTGCTGAGCACAGGGCCAAAGGCCAGAACCTATCAAATGGCCAGCGGTAAACGGCACGAGCAAAGTTAAAGCTCATGAAAACTGCGCACGTACATTTTTATTTACGTGCTTATATAACAGACAAGAGTGCAAGTCGTGAGACTTCTGGGTATGCAAACATAATTATAAATTAGTAGTGGTGTACAAGGACAATGAACAAAAACCCTTCACATTGGTCAATAAAATACGCCCTGCCATCACCAAGCAATGCCATTGCCTTCCACCCCACGGCTGGTTGAACTTTCCCCGTGGCTCTGCAGGGTGTCCACATGGCACACCTCTCGGTCCTCCCAGGAGTGTTCACTGTAGCTGCAGTGCTGCTATCACTCAGATGGGAATTAGATGACTCGCTTTTGGTAAAGAGTGGCTCTCTTAGATGCATGATCTCATCAAAACTCTCCTAACTACCAAGATGTCTCAGCCTTAATGTATGGATGCAGTTTTTTTTGCTCACATATTTACTGGGACATTGCAGCCGTTGGTAGTTTTAGATATGCAAGCTTTATGAAAACTTATCGTGTAGTTTTGCGTCCAACTAGGACCCAAATCTAACAGAGGGTCTTTGCGTAGAGACATCTGGCAGTTGACTAGCATTGGTTCAAGCAAGGCTTGACTGCTGATGAGACACTTAATGTTGAAACCGGTCCATAGTTTTCTTGTATTCAACCATCGCTGCTGAAAAAAATCACTCTCAGAAGGCCTTGTGGCCCATGGGTTTCTGTGGAGACAGACACGAGGAGGGGTTTTTTCTGCTTCTTTTAGTTTGTAAAACTGGTGTTGATGGCGAGTGCGGTGACACGCGCATGCACATGTCACTATTGACGTGCGTATATTTGTATTACAGGCACTGTGGAGTGTGCGTGAACGCATCACAGAGGCACTTTCGCGTGATGGTTTTACCTATAAATATGATGTGTCGCTACCAACGGAGGACATTTACAACTTGGTCGTGGAGACGCGACGGGTGTTTCAGGGTGAATCCAAGCACATTGTGGGCTACGGACATCTGGGTGAGTTTGTTTCCTGATTGGGGATCAACACAGACCATTACTAGGTGTGCATTAAACCAAGGGCAGTAAAATCACATGCTGATATGAACCAGATTAACATACTTACAAAATGATTAGATATTCTTAGGTTTTTTTTCGGTAAAGTCACGTAGGTAAAACATTAAAATTAATAAAAGTAAAATAAAATAAAAATCACGACGTTTCGGAGGCAACACAAGCTTCCGTCTTTAGGTGGAACCGTCACAGCCACGACAGCTGTATCAAGTAAATGAGAGATTGCAGGAGCTACCACTCCATTTATATAATGGTTGGAGAGGTGGGGAAGGGCCAAGTACAGCACACTTTTTATTCATATGGTAAGGTGAGGCTTAAGAGGGTGAGCCTTTGTTATGGAGAGGTACGGTTTGTGACTCAACCTGTGAAAAGGAGAAAACAACTGAACATGGTAAACCTGTAATAGTTGTCTGTCAAATAAGATTGGCCAAATAAGTGTAGTTAAATCTTTTTTGCATGGTTAATCACATCTTTCCAATGATTACTCAGTTTGTAACCATCATCACGGTTGAAATTATGTCTGTGTTTGTATATTTGTATGGCTTCGTGTACAAACCTTTGATGGTAGCCAGGAGGTTTGCAGAGAACCTTGGTCTCGGAAAAGACAATTTCATGAGAGCCCACCGAGTTGTAGCAATGATCGGCAACGGCCGAAGAATCAGTTCTGCCGTGTTTCAGATCTGACTTGTGCTCGTGGACACGATCAGAAACATGACGTTTAGTTTCTCCAATGTAGCAATCACCACAAATGCAACTCAATTTGTAGACTCCAGGATACTGTAAGTCAGGAACGACATCCTTCACAGATGGAATCAGATCACGGATTTTATGCACTGTACTGAATCGGACTTTGATCTTATGTTTGTTTAGAATACGGGGTTCCCCAAATGATTAGAGATATTTTATAAAATATCAGTTTGTTGTGTTTATATAGTATTCTATTTAAATTGTGGGCAGCTGGATTTTTCAGCGAGCCTGACCAGGACTTCCACCGATTCGTCCGGCTAGCCGGGGTGGCGGTAAATTTGGTACAATTTACGGGGAACCCCGTATTGTCCCCCTACACTCTGCCACAGAAACACAGCTGTTTGATTTTGGAAAGGAGTCATCTGTGGAGGCATAAGGACATTTCATCACTCGTTCCCCCCCCCAATCACAGACATATGTCTGTCACGCAGTCTACAGACTGGTGCGTCTGTTGAATTGTGTCTGTGTGAGCAGCACCTGCCTCAACAGGCGAATGCCAATAGTTTGCACCAAAAGCCTATGTATGTATATATAACTTTTTGCACTGTATGTAGCTAATCGGAGATGCAAGTAAGGACAACTAAACACAAAATGCAGTTCTAAAGAAACGAGTTTTAGATTTAGATGGAAAAGTGCATAGCTCCAGTGGCTTTCTAATATCGGAAGGGCGTTCCAGGTGGCTGCAGACGCGCATTTGAAAGTGCACGGTGCAGTGACCGTCTTTGTTCGATGGCTAGCCAAAAGTTGCTGAGGATGACCAGAGTTTGCCTGATGGTTTATGCTCCTCGACAACATCAGCAAGGTATTGTAGCTCATTTATGGCAAGCACTTTGTGTGTAATGAGCGCAACCTTAAAATGTATTCGGTCAGCAACTGAAAGCCAACGCAGCTCGGTGAGCACCTGACGGACATGGGCAGATTTTGCAGTACCCGTCACGACACGTGCCAGATAATTTTATACACGCTGTAGCTTACTCTTTGGTTCTTTCAGTAAAGTCACGTAGAAAGAAAAATAAATTAAATAATAGCATACGACGTTTCGATTGCAACACAAGCAATCATCATCAGGTACGAATGAAAGAGAAAACAAACCTAGTAAACTTAAAAATATAATGCAATACAACACAGAGAGTCGGCTAACATAACTCAACACCCTACCTGGTTGATTACGTTCTTACAAAGATTGCTAGATTTGAGAGACGAAACACAGACACAGAGACACATAGACAGACACATAAGCAGAGAGAGATAACAGAGACACACACAGAGAGACACACATATAGGCACACAGAGAAAGAACCAAAGAGTAATTCCTGCAGTCACGAAAGCTCCAATTCAAGTTTGAACCACCTCCACGGGGAGCTTTTAAGTTTGTTTTCTCTCTCTCTGTGTATCTGTGTCTCTGTGTTGTCTCTCTCTGCTTATGTCTGTCTTTGTGTCTCCGTGCCTGCATCTTGTCACTCTCTCAAATTTCACTTAACTTCTAATTTAGCAATCTTTGGAAGAACGTATGTGTTGCATTGCATTACATTTCCAAATTTTACTAAGTTTGTTTGATTAAGTGTGTTTTCTCTCTCTGTGTGTCCTTGTGTTGTCGCTGTATTATTTCCTGCAGTCACGAAAGCTCAAAATCTCTCATTGACATGCTCATTTCTCTACCCCGCCCCTCTCTCTCTCTATTTAAGGCCTCGACACAGAGGCATTGTTTCTGTCTCCGTGTTATCTCTCTCTGCTTATGTGTCCGTGTCTCCATGTCTGTGTTTTGTCTCTCAAATTTAGCAATCTTTGGAAGAACGTAATCAACCAGGTAGGGTGTTGACTGTTATGTTAGCCGACTCTGTGTTGTATTGCATTATATTTCGAAGTTTACTAGGTTTGTTTTCTCTTTCAGTCGTACCTGATGATGATTGTGTTGCAATCGAAACGTCGCATGCTATTATTTAATTTTCTTTCTACGTGACTTTACCCAAAGAACCGAGTAATTCCTGCAGTCACGAAATCTTCGCTGTAGCTTGGTCATGTGTTTGTCAGCCGTCCCGTCTAGTGAGTTGCACTAATCGAGTCTTGTAGATACTATGCTACACGCCACCGGTGTTGGCTATGTCACAACTCAATGGTGGCCTCATGTGTCAGAGCCCTGATATGAAAATTGCAGAACCTGACTATATAATGCACGTGGTGATCAAACGACGTTCTGGTCGAGTATGGTGCCAAGGCGTTTAAGATGAGAAAAAAAATAAGGCCGCCTTTGACCTTGCTGCCCGTATGCGCGCCATAGGTGACGGTAACCTGCATCTGAATGTCACGGTGCCGGCTCATGATGCCGACTTCAAGAAGCGACTGGAGGAGCTGGTGTACGGTTGGACGGCGCGGTGCCGAGGCAGCGTGAGTGCGGAGCACGGGGTGGGCACATTCAAACGGCACGTCCTGGCAAGCACCAAATCGCCCGTGGCGCTTGGCATCATGCGAGGCATCAAACAGATGCTCGACCCGAAGGGAATCCTCAACCCGTACAAGATCTTGGCAGATTAATCACGCACAGCCACGTGAAGCTCTGTAATACAAACGAGTTGTGTGATGGACATTGAGACGTTGCCAGTGTAATGTTTCTCCAGTGAATGTCAACGTGTGTTTTGTGCCCATATGGGGAAACAAAAGTTAAATTGAATGAAACAGTACATTTATTAAATTATACATGTTTAAAACTATTTATTTTGAAAAATGTAATTACATTGGCAAATACTGTCTTGAAAAATAAAGTGTGTAATCCTCACGTGTAACAAAATACAGTAAAATCTTGGATTGCGAGCATAATTCGTTACGGAAACGTGTTCGTAATCTAATGCACTTGTATATCAAAGCAAATTTCCCCATAAGAAATAATGGAAACTCAGATGATTCGTTCCAAAATACCTTTTTAGATTTTTATTATTAAAATTTAATATAAAGTAATCTAATTTATTAATTAAATTTAATCGTGGCTGGTGTGAGAGAGACGAGGAGAGGAGGGTTATTGTGTAGGACGACTTTTATTTGCAGTACAGTTACTAAAGAACAGTCACTGCACTTGGACACAAAATAAAAAAATGCTTTACGCACACACACGTGGTCACAACACTATAGTAAACAGTATACACTCGCATGGATGTTGACTATACGAGTGAGGCACTTCGACGGAGATCGAGAATGGGAGACAATTACCCACAATCCCGCAGCGAGAGAGCGAAGAACCATCGGTTCAGTTGTGATCACGTGACGCTCGGCAGACAAAGCGTATACTGTACGTACTAGAGTACTCGTATTGCAAGACATCGATCGTCTATCAAATTAACATTTATAAAAAAAATTTGCTCGTCTTGCAAAACACTCGCAGACCAAGTTACTCGTAATCCAAGGTTTTACTGTTTTTCTTATTCCCAGAAGCCCTCAAAAGCTTGTTCCTCATTCAGCAAATTTGTCAACGAATAACAAAAACTCATTATCAAAAACACTATGGCCTTAAAGTATATAGGGGGAAAATATAATAAATAAACAAATCAGGCTTTTAACCTGCACAATATGTACTCGCTTTCGACGTGAGAGCATGACTCAAGAGGTACTAGGAGGAACCACAGACGAGCAGGAATTCCCCTCTCCAAGTTCTGCAGTCCTCTATATATCAATGTCTTAGCGTTCAATTAATGAGTGGTTACATTGGGAGGAAATCTGAGCACCCCGAGATAACCCACGTGTGTGAGGGGGCAACGCTCTATCCATACAGGGATGGAACAGGTGGAGTCCACATGTGCTGCATCGCCTTCTGGCAAGCCATGGTATATGACTCCTCGACGCCAACGGGAGTTTCCACAACAGTTGTGATCCGCCAACCCCTCGTTTCCAGTGCTGGATTAGAAGCCACCACCACCCCGCTAATAGGCGACGTTTCGGGCAATGGCCCTTATTTATAGAGAACAGATGGAGTGAACAATAGTTGCAAGCCGCACTATATACCATGGGGCCCTGATGAAAAATATTTTAATGTTTATTAGGGCAGCACAGCATTCTATCATAGTTTAATCATGTGTAATATGCTTAGTCGTGAATACTGCAGGGATTACTCCAACACACAAGCTTGCTGTAAGCAGACATCCACATCCTTGTATGTCGCTTAATAACGTGGTCTGTTCTGATGTTACATTGAACTGAAACAAACCAAATATTAGTTGTAAATGCAGATGTTTAAGATACCATGATCAAACTCGGTGTTTAAAGGTCACTGCTATTGTCAACTCACGATTATTTGGAGCAAAACACGGATAATGCAAAACGTGTGGCGTTCACGAGATGCACCAAAACACAATGCACTCCCCACAAGCTTGAGAAGCCACCCCTCCCATAGACAGTCTCTCAGCGGTACTCCCCCCACCCTTCATCAGTAACACTCAAACACAACGATAATCATGTGAAATCATTTATTTAGTTTTTTTAAATATCAAATAGGCAAGTAAACAATATTGGTCACATTTGTGAACACAAACAAGTCTACACAGAACAACTTTTTCCGCGATTGCCAATGGACCAGAGACGTGCTTTGACCTGAACTGTACCTCATCTCCCATCCACAATGACCCAGTTTAGTTTCCGAATTAATTTTGTTTAGCCAGGCGATAACTCAAGAGGCAAGGACGGCCTCGTATGCAAGAGGCACCTGGGTCACCAAATAATCCGACCCCAGGAGAGCACACCGCATCTGGAATCGAGGAGCATCAGGGTGGTGGTGGTGGTAATGGTCGGGAAGTAATGAGCGCAGGTTATCTAACTTGAGGTTAAATGTCCACACCGTGTGTCTGACACTGTTAATTGGTTAAGTGGGTTTGAGTGAGATGAGCGATATCACGGCTGATGCTTCTTGTAGCTACGGTGACAACGAAGCAATGTCACGGGTCCTGCCGCCATTGCACCAACGTCAGCACTGACAGTGGTGCTGTCTCAGCACGGTCCCGGCATGCTCATAGCCGCGGAGGCCTACTCTGAGTTGTATGCACGTGGCCTGATGACGGTCCACCGTGGTTACAATATGCTGTGGACACTCGGCATGATAGAGCTCCATAGACATTACTCGCCCTCAAAGTAAACAGAGGCCCTCACTCAGGATTGGAGCGCAGCACAGACGCAACAAGAAGCCCGAGCTCCGTCATTTTAATTCTCTGTTGCGTGGCAAGACCTTTACTCCTGAACGGGCATGGTGATGTGTAGGATCTGCAAATAAAGCACAACACTTTGAATGAATGATCCATAAGTATTTGCAGTACTCGGTCTATACTTGTGACAGCATTCTACTCTGAAGTATGATTAGTTGTGGCCGAAACGTCGTGAGAATTGTTTTATTATTTTATTACTTCCCTTCTACGTGACTTTACCGAAAGAACCAAGAAGATGAATCCCTGCAGTCACGAAAGCTTTAAATCAAAATCATGACTAACATTTAGTAATCTTGTGCCTAACAAACGGGCTGCTGGGAGAAGTGCGTTTCAGATGAGGGCGGGGGTCGGCAACGTGCAGCTCCCGAGCTGCACGCAGAGCTGCACGTGTGTTTGGTGCTTGCATGCAGAGCTGCACGCAGCTCTTTAATGTCTGCTTTGTGGCGTTATTGTGATTTTTACCGAATTTAACAAAAAATGTCCCTTGTTATTTTGGTTGCTGACCCCTGTATAGGGTGACTACAGAAATTCTGCGTGTCGTGTTGAAGCTTACACATTTACCCGTGTCTTGTACTGTAACACATATTTATGAATGTGTGCGCGCGCACTAATGGGATACCTTGGTGTCACGATTGAACTGGGCTGAGCTCTCCTCCTGCTGTACACACCACGGCAAGTCGAATTCTAAACAAGGCAGGACGACTTGGTTGCGTGGACAGCACCACTCGGTCTTCTCCCAAGTCCAGCTGTAGGGAGCTGCTGGATGTCTAACACAGCATAGAGGCACTATTTGTGAACTCTTGACAGTTATACAGCAAAACGTGACAGCACTTAACAGGGCATCAGCAATTTGTCAGAGCTTCTCGGTACCCGAGAGCATGCATATGGATTGTCCTTCCCGGCACCTCTGATTAGCACGATTGGCTACGTACGGTGCGAAATAAGTTGAACTTACAAACATATAACGAACAAACTGCACGGTGGTCTAAATTACCACGTGGTACATTTGCGCTCGTAACTCAGGTAAAAGGTGCAGCTCTGCAACGTTTTTGAGAAAAATCCCAAAGCTCCCTTACATAGAGACCATTAACAAACACTCGGGTTGTTAACCGATAAGCATTTTCAGAATCGATTACCTGGTTCTAAAAGCAAGGAACTGGTAACCGTTTCCAGTAGAGGGTTAGGAATGAATGCGCTGATCAGCACTCACTTCGATGAGCATGGTTAGTTACATACGGTGCAAAAGAAGTTCCAAGTACGGACATGCACACAAGTGAGTTTTGGACAGTGCTCATTTCCATGACTGGCTACTCATAACTGGCTACTCCTTGCCAGTAAAGGGAATTCCACATTCTCATGAAAGAAGCCAGTCCATCCATAATATGACCACTCTTGGAGCGTTGACATGTCCTAGGGGTAGTGCGTCCGCTGCTTGTTTGCGGAGGTTCACGGATCGATCTTAATTCCTGGACTTTCCAGGTCAAACCCAGGCAGGTGGCAAGTCTGGTTACGCATGAAGCTGTAGTGTTATGGAGCAGTATACTGGTAATGTGCTCCAATGTATTGCGATTACCATCTTCGGCAAGTTAATTTCCGCAACCAGAAAACGCGGCTGTCCACTTGCGGGCTCTCGCAGCAGTCGGTACTTTGGCTGAACGATCCTGCGCACATGAGCACACATGCGCTGTAACACAACCGTGTTGAGATTCACCTTCATGAGAAGTAACTTATGAGTGATATCAAATTTAATGATCGTTTGGAACAGCAAAAATAATGACATTTTACGTGATATGCGTAACGATAGAAAGACCTGAAAACGTAATACGATTTAAGTTTTGGACCGTTCAAATTAGAGGGATATTTTTTTTACATTTTATCCTGACCTACGGGAATTTGTATCCGGAGGTTTTGAGGGGCGCTAAATATGAATGTACATTTTTTTTCTATAGACCCTTCTGGGGTAATTTTGGAAACTAGGGGGCACACACAAAGTGGGCAAAGACTGAGACCAGTTTACTTGAATCAAAGCAGCAGCCGGGGGTGAGGAACTTCACGTTTCTCTCTTCCATATTATAATCGTCGTATTGCTCTCGTGATCACTTGAAGGTCTGCCGTTGAGTGATTTTCTCGACCGTGCCCATTGGGATGGTTGTTATCCAATGTGTTACTGCCAAGAGCTGGTGGCCTGTACATCACCGTGTACGTACAAGTACTGTGGCTTCATACTCACGATTCTCTCTCCTTGGGTTGGTTACTCGGTAGTTGTGATGACCTGAGAAAGGCATGGTTAATAAATAGACACGTTCATGTTCTATCACCATTTACACTTTGTGCAAACAAGCACGGTGGATGGTGAGTCGCTGGAAGTTACCAACTCGTCAGATAGTTCTATATATAGAATAAGACCCAGACCTATATCCCTTTTTAATGCATATCATTGAATATGAAATACAGTAGAATAAAGATATTGCAGGTTTGTATGACTGCGGAGCAAATCACGTCCCCTGAAAAAAACTGTTCAGTGGCCAATCCAGCCCCCATCTCCCACCCTTCCCTCTCCATTGGTCGCGGCGCAGTTCAACAGCTGACAACGAAACAGACTCACGCAGAGACTTAAACAAAGACAAAGATCCCATGTATAAACTTAACAAACTGTAGGGGCAAGTGTTGTCAGCGAGCACCGATGAAGGCCGGAATGGCATGCAAGGGGGTGGGTGGCCAGTACCACGCCTTTGTCTCCCTTGTGGCAATATTTACACACCACACGGAGGTACTCATTTCAGGCTGAGTCGGGAGGCCCACGATCAGTTCAGATAATCATCAGTGGTGTTGGCCGTGAGCGGGAATCGAACACAGACACACAGAGACACAGATACACACACACGTGCATTTTCCAGTTACAATATGGGTAGCCTACGCGATGGTTATTCATGTTCCCCGATGCCCGCGTGAGACCGGGATTTTATTGTACATGCTATTGGCCATGTAAAAGCATAAGTTATTTACATTTTGTAAAATGCAGCTATACTAGTTCAAAAGTAACGATTTTAAATTGGAGACATGATTGAAATGTTTTAAGTAACTTTCTAAAATGTCAGTTTAACAAGTAGGCTTTCACGACCAATATTATTCATGATCAAGTTTTTTTGGTGAGATCGTGTAAATTTTAACGACGCATTTATATTTACACAAACCAAAAAAACCTGTTATGATGGTGAGATGCCATCGTGCAGCTAGGGGCAATACACAGCTGGACAGCCCCTACTTCCCGTTTGCCCTACTGAAGCTTCACTAAGAGTGGACAGTCCAGAGTGGGAGCAGAGAATTTGTCCGTAGTTAAAGAGTGGAAAAATCCGACGAGGCAAACTGATTATACTTATATATAACACGAAATATTCACAAGCGTCGTTGAGAATACAATAAGACAATACGCATCATTGAAATACACGTCACTCCACATATAAAATTTAAGTTTTTTACACATTCCATCAGGCAGTTCACCAGCATTTGTTCAAACAAGCCTGACTGCTGAAGAGACACCGAAATGTCGAAACCGGTTCGAGTTTGTTTGTGCTGAACCAATGCTACTGTAATTATGCACTCCCAGAATACAGTGTGACTTGATGGGACTTGTACAAAATACTTTTATTTATTTTACGTAGATTATAGATAGGTATGTGGAGGCGTATTGTCTGCTTCGTCATTTTGCACATTCACGGTCGTTACCCGGAGGACAGCTCCTGGATGACGGGGCGAGGACGCGTTCGTACGTGCTGCTGGGACAGGGAGCCCATGAACTTGCGGTTCTTCAGCAGCTTCCACTCTGACACAGCGACACGTGTGACCCGGTCGGTGTTTTATCAGCCAAGCATGACGAGCAAAACATGGCGATTCACATCTTAGCCTAAATTATTGACTTTCATGTGATTATCATAGGCAAATTAAGACAACAGTAATTTAGATAATACGAAGACGGAAAACCAGTATTTTGTACATTGGCTAATTAACAGATCTAATTACTCTGGTATTTAAATGCCAAGTTCTGTGAACTCCAGGATGTTTAAGTGCATCAGTCGTGCTTCCAGCTGTGGGCTCTTCGGTGTTTGCCTAACCACTGAATCAATCACGAACAAGTTTACCACGCAACATTGACAATGCTCGAAACTTTATAATTAATTGGTTGGTGAGATTGACAGCGGAGTGACTTGAAAATGTTTTGGCCTTTAACATTTATGAAAATTTAAATTCTCCCGTGAGCAGATCGAGACGAGCGAACAGGGATAGATGGGGTCATGTGGTGAGCACATGCTAACCAGTACGTAAAGATGCAGCTGATGGCAAGGACAACTGGCAGGTGCCGTTAAGGCTACTGTGAGTAACACCGACACTAGCCATACTTGTCCTCTGAGGGCTCTTGTGACCAAAGTGTTCTACTCCACATTCAAAGAGCATCAAGTGAAGGAATTCTGTCAGGAGTCAGAGATCCGGAACTGGGCACAGAGCCCCAGCCATGCTCCGAGTCGCTGGTTATCTGCTGTAAAGACTACTCCCCATTACGCTGTGACAATGGGGACAGTCATGTAGAGACGACAACGTCTGTGGATTTGTTTAACACGTAGTAGCAGGCTTTCACGACCAATATTATCCATAACATAGGTTTTTTTGGGTTAGATCACGTAAATATAAATATGTCGTTAAAACCCGCCACCACCCGACACAGCCAGTTAGTAAGGTTTGTCACGTAAACAAGACATTCCAAATCGTTACTCGTTCTGCACACCGGTGTGTTGGAGAGTAAACCCACGACATTTACATGTCGTGGGTTTTCATCAGGCGACAGACAATTGTGGAGAAATCCTCCTGTTTCGGTATGTGGATTTCCAACTACAGGGCCCGGTTGTACTGCTGGCATTTGGCATTGTCAGATATCAATAAATATCAACTGTTTGGTGCACGAGTAGAATCGAGGGCAACTGGCTGGGCAAGGCAATGTTATTACACTTCATTTCGAAATTGGAATTTGTATTTCCGTATCCTGGGTGGAGCAAAATCAGCTTATCACCACCCTGCCAGGGTTCATAACACGAGTACCACTTTGCAGAAAGTGACCAGCTGTAAGTAGCAATTTGGATAGACTGGTCCTTACATTGGAAATGGAATTTCCACCATGAGCTCAGAGCATCCACCAAAAATAAACAAGAGACACGTCTTTTCATATAAGCAGGGAGACGTATTCACTGTTGACTTATCAACGGTAGTTTTACGTATGAAGCGACCCACAGAAATGCTCTTGTGTAAGAATATTGCACCGACAGTCACCTTTGTTTATCTGAATGTGGTACTTGTCCTCCAATCCCTCGAGCACCACGATGAGCAGGAAGTTCATGAAGAGTTCACTCCCCTGACACACGCAGTGGGAAAGAGCAATTGCCTAATCACTCACGACAAGGGTAACATGTTCACATATCTCACCGTTGTCGCAGTCTGTGCACACATTGTTACAGGTTGGCCAGCCAGGTGGCTCAAATTGTCCCAGGATTCCACCTACTGTGTTAACTGTGCTGTCATTTATCAGAGGAAATCAAACAAACAGCAAGGCAGCCAGGCGGTGAGCTGGTGTCAACAATTGCCCAAGTTCTGCAATCCTATATACATATGAAGATGTTTTTCACCAAACTCATGAGCGTTTATATATGTGAGGAAAACGGAGCAACAGGAGAAACCCATACGTGTGATTTGGACAACACTCTATGCATGTGGAACCAGACAAGAGTCCACATTTAACTCTACTGCCTTCACCTGGCAAGGCAGGGTATGGCACCTTGACACCCATGGAAAGAACAATTTTGAGATCCACCAATCCAGTTGCCTCCATCGTGGCGGATGACAGGCGTGTGCAGTCACCACTGCCCGGCTGTAGGGGTTGAAGCGTGGCGCACCATGAACAATGCAAAGGCTTTACCCACCTTTGCCCGGTCATAGAATTCCGGGTTTATGACCACGTCGTACGCCGTGCAAACATTTCCACCTGTGAACGACACGAAAGTATTACAAACATCCCCAATATAGTTGGCGCCAAGTCTAACTACCTTATTCTTAGGTTTTTTCGGTAAAGTCACGTAGGTAAAAAATTTTAATTAATAAAAGTAAAATACCTACGTGACTTTACCGAAAAAACCTAAGAATATGAATCCTTGCAGTCACGAAAGCTTCAAATCTAGAATCTAACTGCCTTCCCAATTGCTTATGGTTTTCTGTGCCACTGAATCATTCTCTATGAGAGTGAACGAACACCGTGCGCGTTACAACCTATTAAATGACCAATTATAATTATCAGTTGCAACACTGGGGAAACTCAACACCTTGTTTATGCTGTAACCACATACCTGTGTCAAACTCATCGTGTGGCTCTCCAAGGCTCATGGGCACGCGATAGGAGGTGGGATCGCTGGAGTCCAGCAGCGCAGCCAGCTGCTCCTCCGATATCGACGGAGGAGAAGGCACCGCGGGCGACGTGCAGACGTTCACAAAAACCTTGCCAGGCTGCTCTCCCTCGGGACCCCCTTGGGTTTTTACACACAAGCCTGCATAACGGAGAAATGTCGAAGAATCATGAACACATTGTAATTATTGTGATGAAAAAAGAAATAGGTTTTACCCTTTTGGCATAAATTTGAAATACAGTGGTCCCTCGTTTTACGATGCCATCGATTAACGATATTTCGATTTAAAGATCCGCCTTCCGTGGGGTCCCATTGTGTCTAGTGGCGACAAATTTTCGATTAACAATAAGTGTTTACGATATCACACGGACCCGCCAATTTCGGCCAATCAGAGCGCTCCTAAGTGGACTCGGCAGACCTCAGCCAATCAGCGACATCTCCTTCCAAAAAATTTCTCCCACCCTAACTTCTCCATCAACCCCTTCAATCTTCTTAGCCTAAGGTAAGCATTTTTATTTAATGCTCTATTTATATACCTTTTTTATGCAATATTTATTCATTATTTATCAATGTGTCCATTAATATTAATGCTTTAATATGTTCTTATAACGTTTAATTATTATAAACTATATTTTTAGGGTGAAAAAGGTCAACTTCCGATCGTCTTGGAAAAAAATTAGCCTTTAATATGTATTTGCTATATTCCATTTACGATAATTTCAATTAGCGATGGTTTTCGTACACTCAATTAATATCGTTAACCGAGGGATCAATGTAATTGCTCAAACCGAGCTATGAATGCTTTGCCTTTGTATTTTTGCCTTTTGGAGTTATCTGGTCTAACGCTTGATAGATCCATTTAATCATACGTATGTATGTTGAAACTTCTTTCACGCCGTACAAAGATAATGAGACTTGCGTCTTTAGCAAGCGAAAGCCAGGTAAATTTCACCATTTCACCGAGCTATTTGTTGCACAACAGCGAGGTAAGGTTCAGCAAGCACAGCTCAATTGTGGCTGCTCACACATCCATCTCCCAACTTATCTATGAATCCTCAGATAATCGATTTAACACCCCTGGTCTCGTCGTACTAGTCGCCTTGCATTTGTGATATTTATTTTAAAGGAGTAATGATTGGTGATGTGCAGTTACCTGGCGAAGGGGTGATCTGATTTGATGGAGGGACGGGCACAGGATGAGCTGCCTGGGCTTCTTCTACAGCCTGGAGACATAACGTACACACGCTTAACACAACGACAACAAAGATCCCCGTGTAGCCTTAACAGACTCTTTGAGATAAATGCTGTTAGCGAGCACCGATGAAGGGCAGCATGGCTCATGAGGGGGTGGGTGGCCAGCACCATGCCCGGCCGACTAGATATCTGTGAAAAAGAGCTTTATAGCCCATCGGATTCCTCCAGTATAAATAAATATTCTGATTTTGATTCTGACTCCGTAATGGTGATGTTTAAACCACTGCAGGTACATGGATCTGTAATGGAACCCATGGCTACAACATCGTCAAATGGCTCCTTTATTATCCAAACCAGCAGTGGCCAATACGTGGATCATGATTTAAGGATGGAGCTCGAAATATTTTTTGTGGATCTCAGCACAAATCAGAACACTGACATAAGCACATAACAATTCTCGGCTGATGGCAAATAAAAATCCCCGACTAAGACTTATACATACAAAATATGATTTCTACCAATAGATGGTGGCAATATTTTGTCTACAGTGACGCTTGGTATTGGGTAGTTGTTGGCCATCGCTTTCTTGTGCTTCATGAAGCCCGTTGAGATCAGCCAAAATGGATCACGGTGCTCGGTGTACTCGTCGCTGTTTATCCAAAACCAACATGCTCGTCACCCCGTTAAGTAGGTTGCACATCATTTTATATCTTTTAAAAAGACTGAGCACAGGCCCATCAAACAAAACAACACAACTTTGATTGAACACCGCACAGATGAGACGAAATAATGGACATTGTTGACTAAAGTCCAATTTCACCTTGTAATGGATTGGCGTTAGTGAGTGCTGGTGTCACTGGTGAGCACTGGTGACCGCTGGTGTGTTCGTGAGTGCTGGTGAGTATTCGTGTTAGTGAGTGTTCGTGAGTGCTGGTGAGTGGAAGTGTATGCCTGGTGAGTGTTAGTGAGTGTTCGTGAGTGCTGGTGAGTATTCGTGTTAGTGAGTGTTAGTGAGTGCTGATGAGTGGAAGTGAGTACTGGTGAGTGTTAGTGAGTGTTGGCGAGTGGTTTTGAGTGTTAGTGAGTGTTGGTGAGTGTTAGTGAGTGTTGGTGAGTGTTAGTGAGTGTTGGTGAGTGTTGGTGAGTGTTAGTGTTGGTGAGTGTTAGTGAGTGGCAGTGAGTGTTAGTGAGTGGCAGTGAGTGTTAGTGAGGGCTGGTGAGTGTTGATCAGTGTTAGTGAGTGTTTGTGAGTGTTAGTGTTGGTCAGTGTTGTTGAGTGTTAGTGAGTGTTGGTGAGTGTTAGTGAGTGTTAGTGAGTGTTGGTGAGTGTTAGTGAGTGTTGGTGAGTGTTAGTGAGTGGCAGTGAGTGTTAGTGAGGGCTGGTGAGTGTGGGTAAGTGGTGGTGAGTGTTAGTGAGTGTTGGTGAGTGTTAGTGAGGGTTGGTGAGTGTTGGTGAGTGGTGGTGAGGGCTGCAGTCTCTGGATACCTGCAGCATAAGGCGCTTATAGAGCAGCTCGTCCTCCTGGGTGCCCAGGTGCAGCAGCTCCGTGTTACTCATCTCTATCACGAGCACACACACGAGCAGTCAGCCAGGGGCTGCATAGCACGCACCCTGTACACAACAATCTGAAATACATGCATCATATATGACATCTACACAGCACTGCAATACATGCACCCTATACGACATGTACACAGAACTGCAATACATGCACCCTATACGACATGTACCCAGCTCTGCAATACATGCACCCTATACGAAATGTACACAGCACTGCAATACATGCATCATATACGAAATGTACACAGCACTGCAATACATGCATCATATACGAAATGTACATAACTCTGCAATACATACACCCTATACATGTACCCTATATATGTACACAACACTGAAATACATTCACCCTATACGTGTAGTGACATAGCGCCGTAGTGACATAGCGCCGACTGCTGTCCAGGGCGGAGCCAGGCCGCGCCGAGTAGGATAAAAGCACTGGAGAGCGAGAGCTCCGGACTGCCGGTTCTGGGAAGGGGACTCATCTCGTCGTCACCGTCATCTTCACCGCCTTCGTCACTGCCGTCTTCACTTGATAATTGCGCGGCCAGATAGTTGTGTCAAGGCTAGGCTATGCGACTTGAGAGGAACGAGAGAACGAGGGCGAACCTGTGAATCCAAGAGTGTTAATAAAGAAGGTTCCTCCTCAAGAATCCTGTCTCCCGCTCCGTCGACACGACACGTGCACAGCACTGCAATACATGCACCCTATACGACATATACACAGCACTGCGGTGTTGCGTACATTTCAAATTGCAATTGCGTCTGCGAGCAAACTTCTCTCGGTGCAGAGTTTTCACTGCAGCCTGAGCGAGTGGTTGTTGCACTGTACGTGTACGGTAAGCACTGCACGTGGGGTGGCGGAATCGTGATCACCACCATCAGTGATGACAGACACATGCGATGGGAGTGATTTTTTTTTGGAAAGCTGAATTTAATCATGAAACATTAAAATGGCAAATAGACAAACTTTTCCTTCTTTTTTTTAACGCAGTTGATAAACACAGCGATCCAACGATCCAGAGCGTCAAGTGGTCATCAACAAAACGTAATATCAATGTTGCTATAGATATCCGAGTTAACAGGTTATTTTAAGAGCTCAGGGAAAGGAGATGTGTGAGGATTTCCAAAATGAAATTGCGCTAAGCAGAAGAATCACAAACAGGAGCGTTGTTGACCTGTCATGTGGTGGTGGGGTTAGTTGCTGTGACCTGCAGTATAGTGAGTTGTAACTGGGTGAGTGGTGAGCAAGGGTGGCAGTACGGTACGTATGTACTGTATAAACTTCTTTTGCACCGTACGTAGCGAACCGTTCCAATCGGATGGACACCAAATGTGACCGTTCTGGTACGGTACGACCATTTTTTTCAAATTCCATTACGGTACAATGTTTTTTTTGTACGAAATACGAAAAGAATATCGCGTCATACCGTACTGCAACCCTTGGGAGTGTGACAGTGATGTTCTCTGGCTCCTACAATTATTTAACATAATTTTTGACCACCCAGTTCGAAAAGCTTACCACAGATTGCAATGGGAGGCTTGATCAATGCCCGAGTCAGGTTAAGGGATAACTCCCTATTGGTAAACCATGTTATTTATGGCGATGATCTGGTGATTGATGGTCACTCAAGAGGAGTTGAAGAGTTGCTGCTGGAAAGTTCCACTGAGAGGTGGGGCCTTACCACCAGATCCCTGTGGTATTGTCATCAAACACTCCACCCCCTTAACTCCCACGAGTGACGGGGCAGTTGTGAAGAGAGATGTTTCCCATACCCAGGCAGTATGCTTATGACCAGTTCTCGTTTGGCAGCAGGTCTCACTCCGAATTATTCGAGCGGCGTTATAGTTTCATGGGCTGCGCAACGCTGTTTGGAAGCTCCCACAGGAGGATGTGGAGCTGAGTGGACTTGCCGATGACTGGTACCAGCGGGTGTCAAGATCGGCCTCTGTGGAGGAGGCTCGTGAAGGGCGCTGCTGCTACTGGGCAGTCGGAGGCAGTCGCCCTCCAGCAGCAGCGGAGGGCGGGTGGATAGAACACAGCGAGGTGGCACGGCGGGGAGCACCGGCGGTGCCTCTCTGCCCGTCATCTCAGTCAACTCACGACACTTGGGTCTGTCCCGTGACCTGCCAGAAGCCGAGCATTGCAACACTTCACGTGGCCTCGAGGTGCACCTAGCCTGGCACGAGCGCTTGCGGTGACGTCCCCACCACTTGCGGCTGTGTGTTGAGTGCACGAGCTGCCTTGTTGCCCGCAGTGTTGTTATTGTTGTTGTTACCCGCAGTGTTGTTATTGTTGTTGTTACCCGCAGTGTTGGTGGTGGCTGAGCGCAGTCACGGGCGAGAATAAACAGCCAGGCAAGGAAGGCCTCAACGCGGGTCGGGATGAATCAATGAATGAAGCAATGCAGTTCGCACGTCAACGACGGCAATAACGGCAGACGTAGCGAGCGACGGATGAGCGACGGTCCGGGGCAGGCGACGAGTGACCTGCAAGGTGAATTCGCCGAGCTCGGGGTCAAGTCGGCGGCCACCGCTCGGCTCGTGGTGGAGGCGCGCGAACTCCGCCGCCAGAGGCCCCTTGACGACCACCTCCCACCCTGCACCGCGGCGCGCGTGACGCGCGGCATCCGGGTCAGGGGTCGCGCATCGCTTCCGGATCACGCGCCGCGCACGTGGCCGCGGTTCGCACGAGGTAGTGAGAGGGCTCCCCGTGGTGGTGATAGAGGGGGTCTCGTGGTGGTGAGAGGGGGTCTCGTGGTGGTAATAGAGGGGGTCTCGTGGTGGTAATAGAGGGGGTCTCGTGGTGGTAATAGAGGGGGTCTCGTGGTGGTGAGAGGGGCTCCCGTGGTGGTAATAGAGGGGGTCTCGTGGTAGTGAGAGGGGGTCTCGTGGTGGTAATAGAAGGGGTCTCGTGGTGGTGAGAGGGGGTCCCGTGGTGGTAATAGAGGGGGTCTCGTGGTGGTAATAGAGGGGGTCTCGTGGTGGTGAGAGAGCGGGTCCCGTGGTGGTAATAGAGGGGGTCTCGTGGTGGTGAGAGGGGGTACCGTGGTGGTAATAGAGGGGGTCTCGTGGTGGTAATAGAGGGGGTCTCGTGGTGGTGAGAGGGGATACCGCGGTGGTGACAGAGAGGGGGTCCCGTGGTGGTGAGAGGGGGTCCCGTGGTGGTGAGAGGGGGTCCCGTGGTGGTGAGAGGGGGTCCCGTGGTGGTGAGAGGGGGTCCCGTGGTGGTGAGAGGGGGTCCCGTGGTGGTGAGAGGGGGTCCCGTGGTGGTGAGAGGGGGTCCCGTGGTGGTGAGAGGGGGTCCCGTGGTGGTGAGAGGGGGTCCCGTGGTGGTGAGAGGGGGTCCCGTGGTGGTGAGAGGGGGTCCCGTGGTGGTGAGAGGGGGTCCCGTGGTGGTGAGAGGGGGTCCCGTGGTGGTGAGAGGGGGTCCCGTGGTGGTGAGAGGGGGTCCCGTGGTGGTGAGAGGGGGTCCCGTGGTGGTGAGAGGGGGTCCCGTGGTGGTGAGAGGGGGTCCCGTGGCGATTCCCCCGCGGGATGTTACTGCCATGAGTCGCAGCAACTCGCGTAATGGGCAACGGCAGTGAAACGACACTGCGACATTTTGAGCGCATAACATCGCGTGATTGCTGCTGATGCTGCTGTACAAGTAATCCTGCCACACGAAAGAAGTGACCGCCTAGCTGACCCTCGCCATGGCTGAGAAACAGAAGACTGAAGAGGCCGATGTCGGTTCGACGAGAAGACGTCGAACCATCATCACGATGGAGATGAAGATGGACATAATCAGGCGGTCCGAGAAAGGCGAAACTTCTGCGGCCATAGGCCGTGCACTAGGCCTCAACCGGTCGACGATCGGGACGATAATAAAAGACAAAGAGCGAATCGTGGAGCACGTGAAGATCGCGGCGCCTGTAAGGTCGATCATCATCACGAAGCAAAGTTGCGTGCTCAGCGAAATGGAAAAACGATTGCTGATGTGGATCGAGGACCAGAATCGGCGGGGTGCGCCCGTAAGCCTCTTGCAGATCCAGAAGAAAGCGAAAAGTCTCTACGAGCATTTGAAGCCGAAGCTTGGCAAGGGTGCGAGCAAGAGTGACAAGTTCGTCGCGAGTCGTGGATGGTTTCAGAGATTCAAGTCGAGGGCGAATTTGCGCCACGTTAAATTGAGTGCGGCGGCCACCGCGAGTGCTCGTGGTGAAGAAGCAGCAGCAGCAGAATGCCCAGACGATTGGGCCGATACGATGAGCGAGGAGGAGGGCTTCAGTGCCCAGCAGGCGTCCAACTTGGACGAGACGGGAAGTTTGTGCAAGAAGACGCCTGGTCGCACCTACATCGCAAAAGAGGGCGAGCAAGCGCCACGGGTTGGAGCTGCTGCGGACGATTCCGGCGCGGGTGGGGACACCGGTGGACACGGCCGCTGACGAAGTGGCCGAGGAGTTGGGAAAGCAACTTAAGCCGGAGGCTGAGGCTGATGATGATGATGCTCAGCAGTTGCTCGGTACCCATTCGCAAGAGCTCACCAACGTGAATGTCGTGGAACTTGAGGCACAGACGTCTGCAGGCGAAGCTGAGGTCGCTGATGTTACGGAGCCAAAGAGATTCACAACCAAACAATTGGCGGAAGCTTTCCGGCACTTTGAAGCTGGCTTGGCTCTCCTTGAGGCACAAGACCCCGTCCGCGTCTCGATTCGCCAACATCGCCAGAGTTGTATGCGGTGGGCTGAGTTGCTACAAAGAGATTTATGAAAAAGAAATGAAGGTTGAAAGGAAGCCAAAGCCGACCCCATCAACATCGTCAGCAATAACTCCAGAAAAGTCTCCCGAAGGGTGTCCTGCACCATCCTCCTCGCCTGCATCGCTGTCTTTTTACAATTAGGCATCTATCCTACACAAGCAAGTCAGCATGAGTGTACTCAAGGTAAAGAAAACAACACGGAGTTTTGCTATGTTTTATTTAGTATATTGTATTTGTAAAATGTTACGTGCAAATGTAGGACGATTCTTATGAGTTTAACAACAATGCTTTCCTTTTTCAACGATTTTAACTTGATTCCTCTTTGTCGTGGTCAAATATTGTAATCAAAATTTCGTCCACTTCCCGTTGTCCAATCAATTCCACATTTTGCACACGTACTCGGATCCGGTGACAATACATGCCTGTATCAAAATCGGCATAAATTAATTCGCTACTTTAAAAAAATGTACATTTTGTATGGAGTATGTGTGTAGGTCAAAAACGCCGCGGTCCCTAAACCGTGGAATCGGCACAAAAAACAGGCGCCACGTGTCTCAGGCGACATTGACGCACTTCTAGACCGCGAATTGAACGAAGTTTAATAAAACCGTTGTTACCTTTTTAAAGGAGTTTATTTGTTGTTGAACCGTAACACATTTCAAAGCATTGACCGTGCGCGCATTTAAATACAGAACATTATTACATTTATTGTGTTACGGACTTACGAACGGTTCGACTTACGAACGGTTCGACTTACGAACGGTTCGACTTACGAACGGTTCGACTTACGAACGGTTCGACTTACGAACGGTTCGACTTACGAACGGTTCGACTTACGAACGGTTCGACTTACGAACGGTTCGACTTACGAACGGTTCGACTTACGAACGGTTCGACTTACGAACGGTTCGACTTACGAACGGTTCGACTTACGAACGGTTCGACTTACGAACGGTTCGACTTACGAACGGCCTGTTAAGGCTACCCGGGAGATATTTGTCTGTTGTTGAGGGGAGGCGCGCGAGGCCTTGGGGGCAACGCACGTGGCGCTGCCGGAGCGTGCCGCGGGGTCCCCACCGGCGTTCGCTGGGACGCGTGGACACGTGGTGGCTTCGCGTGGACACGTGGTGGCTTCGCGTGGACACGTGGTGGCTTCGCGTGGACACGTGGTGGCTTCGCGTGGACACGTGGTGGCTTCGCGTGGACCTTTTCGTTCGCATTGCTTGACCGCACTTGCGAGGGCAGGTCACGACGCGTCTTGTTTTGCTTCTGCCACTTTTGAATTGCCTCTCGTCTCTTCCCCATAAGCTCAAATAATCGCTCTGCTCACAGTTCAAATAATCGCGTTCACCCATATGTCATTCGTTACATCCAACGTCGATAGTGCTGTTTGTTGCTGGCCGCTTAATGGGGTTCTAGGCCCGTCCCCAGCAACTATTTAAGAAAATATATCTCCAGTTTTATGCCAAATGTAACAATAAATCGGCGTTTGAATCGTCACTCGTGGCCTGTTGGATTGAGAACGTGGGGAGTTCTTCCGCGTGTTGTCCAGTGGGAGCCGCAGTGAGTGTCCGTGGGAGGCCTCTGAGGCCCATGAGCTGACCACGAGGTGAACCTGAAGGAAACAGAGCCAGAAGGGAAATAAATGACACGGAAAATGCCTTAATTCAAATGCGTTTAACGGAACATTTGCAAGGATATTCGCTCATTGGTGAAGCAATTGTGAGAAAAACACAAAACATTTTGTGCATCGGTAATTGGGACATGAGTGGGAATGCATCGGTTATCAGGACGGGCTGCAGCGTCTGTAATAACACGAAGCGCTATTCACGTCTCCTCGCTCTCCTACCATGTGCAAAATAAAGTTACACTAACTGCGGGTTTGCTTTCTTACATTCTCCGAAACAGTAGGGAATGTTTTTGTTACACTTATTTAACTTGCCCTGTTGACCGTTTATATTATTTCCAATCTTTGACGCGTAATATCTTCGGATCTACGAAATCTTCCGAGCTGAATGTTTTAACACACAGACTCGTCGTAAGTCTCGCGTGTGACAATTTAAGATTAAATTAAAAAAAAGTCTGGTCCAAGTGCCGCCAATCCTGGGCCTATTCGTGTTTTTTTAAAACTTATTTTTGTTGTCATTAATACCCGTACATTCGACATGTCTAATTTGCGTTATGCAAGCCACCCACTTTTATTCAGCACATCAAATTTGATTAATTCTGTGGTCATAATAATGTATTTTCTACTGTTGAGTGCAAATAAAAGTGCGTGCATTAAAAATCTTGATTTATTTTTTAAACCATCATGGGACCTCCTTTGCCCAGTACCAAAAAATGATAATAGGTTTTTCCCTTTTTTTCTGGCAACAAAACAGGTGTTAAGATGTTAAAACACCAAACTGAAACCTTTTGGCGTCCTCTGGTCTAACACCGTTTGAGACGAGGCTCAAAAGAAAGCTGTCTCGGGTGTGGACCAATCAGTTTCAAAGACAATGCATATATTATCAGTGTTTTTTGTTTGCATTCTGACCACAAGCATTGTGGTTAATGCAGACATGATTCTTTGTAAAAGGTTTCAGTTTGGTGTTTTAACATCTTAACACCCATTGCCAGAAAAAAGGGGAAAACCTATTATCATTTTTTTAAACCAGATTTATAGTCATCAAACGGCTCACTCGGTGCTCTGGCGTTGCCAACATTACTGCGTGACTGCAGTCAAGTCGGGAAGCCACAAGGTGGCACGGCGAGGAGGATGGGGTGAGGGATGCCAAGTCACACAGCTGGCAGTTAATGATAGATTCTCTCTGGGAGGAAACGAGTTTGCCATTCATAATACAGGTGTTTTGGGTTGGATCGCGTAAATATATAAATGTGTCGTTTAACCCGCCACTACCCAACACAACTAGCTCACTAACTGGCGAAACGTCGTACTTGTATTGTAAATGTTGTGGCTTGGCTCTCTAACACACCGGTGTGCTGTGCTAGTAACGAATTGGCACGTTCTGTTTGTGACAACCCTTACTATTTGGCTGTGCCGGGTGATGGTGGGATTAACGACACATTTATATGTTTACGCGATCTAACCCAATAAACCTGTATTATAGATGATATTGGTCGCGAAAGCCTACGTGTTAAACCGAGTTTGCCATTAGTGCGTTCAGTGGGTGGGCAGAGCGCTCCGGTGCGCTTTGCAGTTGGACCAGCACGTGTTCCCAGAACGCATCGTAACGGGAGCTCATGTTCGTCAAGGAGCTGGCCCCTCTTGACGTGGAGCGTTCGGTGTGGGGTGGCCGCCAGAATCCACCCGATCGTTTTTGCGAATTCACTGTTTCCCGGACACGACGTGCACGCACTCAGTGGCCGAGTGGGAGCAGCGCTTTGCGCACCGTTCATTAGGAGGCAACTTGCGCCCCGTAGTGCTGCTGCAGAGCGCCTGCCACATTGATAGCACCCCGGGTGATAATTTGAGCCTGAATACTGTACGCTCTGTTTACAGAGTCGCCCCCGGCCTATATAAGTAAAATTAGGGCGGTAAAGCGAGCAAACGAGATTCTCAAGTCATAAAAAAGTGCGTGAGGTGCAGTAAAGTGATTAAATACGTCCAGAATCAGATTCGATATTTGTTTATTCTGGAGGAATCCGCTGAGCTGTGAAGCTCTTTTTTCATGGATGTCCGGTAGTTGCAGGTCAGAGCAAGTCAGAATGTTACAACAACAAACAATACAAAAACAATATGTGCAAACTATAGGAAAGGTAAACAAAGCACTTAACAAATATATACAAACGTCCATTATAACTTGCAATTATATGCCAATAAAACATAAACAGGCAATTGATTGCAAAGGACGAGCATTTACAATGGATAAAGTTGGCCTGCTAACTCCACCGATAGTTACCGAATTAAACGGTTATGAAGTGTAAGTCCTTTGAGACCTTACTCACCATTTGTTATAGGCAATTAACGATGGTATTTATGGCTAAAACTGCCAAGCTATTTATGGTTATACCTTTAAACTCTAACGTTGTACTTGGCTTGACACTGAACTTCCAACAGCTACATCCTGCCTTACACAGAATATCACTCCTGAGTTGCAATGACCGCTGTGCGGGTTTGTTCATTAGCTCATGCCAATCAGCACGTTCATTCCTAACACTCCACTGGAAACTTCACCGGTTTCCGACTTTTAGAACCAGGTAATTGTTTCTAAATGGTTATCGGTTAACAACCCGAACGTTTGTCAACGGGCTCCGTATATATGTATGTATGTTGAACTTCTTTTGCACCGTTAAGTAGCCAACCCTGCTAATCGGAGGTGTGGCGAAGAGGAATGAAAGGATCATTGGGATTTATTGTCTCTACGTTTTTGTCATTCTTTAAGCCATCTTAGTACTCTTTGAGATGCATTATTCCCAACAGCTATGCCCACTTCCTGCCTCACACAGAATATCACTCCTGAGTTGCAATGATGATACTTGTGGCTGGTTTCGCTAAACTGTTCTGAGAGGAAATGATGCCTTTGTGTTCCACTTGGCTGGCTGAGCAGCTCACAGAGACCCACTCACTGTACAGACAGCGTGCCGGTGCTAATTAATTACCTAGTCACTTTTTATGTGGTTTTATAACGTGTGTTGGTGGTGTGCTTTGTGGTTGCGATGTGCAGGTTCAATAGGCGCTGTGAGGAGGTGTTGTACGGAGAGCTTCTATTCAGGACCACGAGCACCATGGCAACAGGTGCACTCACAGTGACACAGGGCCAACATGGCTCGCCTGGTCCTCTACAGGCATTTTACCGAGCCATGCTTCACTGGACTCGCCAGACATTGTCGTAGCCTGGAACTAATCGAGAGCTCTTTGAGATTCAGTATTTTGTTGTCATTAAACTGAGAGCCAGATGAGATTGCTTTGTCCTGTTCTTATAGCATAGGACACCACTCAGATTGACTACAGCATTTAATTAAGGTATCAATATACAGGCAGTCCCTGATCTTGCGTACACGCAACTTACGAACACTTGCACTTATGAAGGAGATTCCATGAGAAATTACATTTTTCAACCATCCAACTTGCGAACGTGAACTTGCACTTGTGAACTGAACCGCGGAACTATTTGGTTCGGCGCAGCGATCCTCCGCGCGATGAGTCTCAGCATCCCACGTAACACCCAACGGGAGTGAACCGGTCGGCGACATTTTGCATCCATAACCTCTCGCATGCTGTTTATGCTTCTGTGCATACGTTTAGATATCGTTACTGACCCTCACCACATCTGAGAAAACGAAGACTGACGGAACTGATGTTGGTGTGTCGAGAAAACACCGCACCATTACTATGAAGGTGGACATAATCAAGCGGTCCAAGAACGGTGAAACGCCTACGACCATGGGATTAGGCATTAACCCGTCCACGATAGAAAAAATAAGACAAATATCGAATTGTCGAACATGTGAAGGGCTCGGTGCCTCTAAAGTCCAGCATAATTACAAAGCAAAGGGAGTGCTGTGATCAGCAAAATGAAAAAACAGTTACTTATATGGATTAGGACCAGAATCGGCATCATGTGCCGGTAAGCCGTTTGCTGATCCAGGTAAAAGCAAAACGTTTGTGCGAACATTTAAAGGCTAAGCTAGGTGAAAGTGAAGAGTTTGTTGCAATAGATTTAAAACGAGGACAAATTTAGCGAAACATTAAATTGAGTGGGGAAGCTGCTAGTGCTGATGTTGAAGCAGGTCTTGAATTTCCAAATCGTTTGGCCGATGTAATTATTTAGGAGGGGGGGGGGGGTTAAGTGCTCAGCAGGTGTTCAACGTCGACAAGATGGGAAGTTTTTGGAAGAAGATGCCTGATCGTACTTACATTGCAAAAAAGTCTATGCCAGGGTTTAAAGCTGCTGCGGACCATTCCAGGGCAGTTGTGGACACGATAGACTGATGAAACGGTTGAATTGGGAAAGCAACTTCAACCGGAGGTTGATGATGCTCAGCAGTTGCTCGGCTCCCATTCGCAAGACCTAACCAACCTGAATATCATGGAACTGGAGGCACAGACGTTTGCAGACGAAACTGAGGTCACTGACATTTTGGAGCCCAAGAGATTCACAACCAACCATTGTGGGGGAAGCTTTCCAGCATTTTAAGCTGGCTTGGCTGTCCTTGAGGCACAAGACCACGACGCGTCTAGATTTACCAATGTCGCAAGAGTTGCCAACGATGGGCTGAGTTGCAACAAAGAGTTTTATGAAAAAGAAGATAGCATCTGTCCAAGTTTCCTTTGGTGGGGTTTTCATGACGTTTGAAAGGGAGCCAGAGCCGACCCCATCAACATCGTGAGCAATGTCTCCGGAAAAGTCTCCTGAGAAGTCCCCTTCACCATCCTCGCCTGGATCACTATCTTCCAATGAAGCATCTATCTCTGTTACACAAGCAAGCCAGCATCAAAACTAGAGGTAACGAAAACAAATTTTTTTCATGTTACTTTTGTTTTATGTGTTATTTATTCTACAGGTGTGTCGTCTTGCTTAACGAGTGAGATACGTTCGGCAAAAATTGCTCGCTAAGCGAACGCTCGTTAAACAATCGTCGTTTTCCCATTGATGTTAAAAGCTGAGATATGTTTCAACCCCAAAATGTTCTACTCTAGAACAACTTTTTTAAATGTGAGAACTACAAATGACTGTATAATTGTAAAATAAAGTAAAACATAAAATGTAACGCCACACATGAAGAACCACAGTGTAAGATCCCCCTATATATCCTGCAATATCACCTTACAGCCACATTTGAAAAAGACACTCGCTCGCAATCTCTCTCCACTCCATCACACAGACCCCTCGCGCCCTCTCACACTCCGTAACATGCACACCTCCTCTCCCCCGAGACAAAGATCCCCCTTATAGCCTTAAACAGACTGTTGGGCAAAGTGCTGTTGGCGAGCACCTATAAAGGCTGGTACAGCACAAATTGGGCTAAATTCAAATTGCTTTCGTAAAAAAGAATGTTGTTAAGCCAGACACGCCTTACACGATTCTCCCCAGTGTTACATGCAAATGTACAATATAATTTTTATTTATAAGTTTACCAATGTTTGTTTTTTGTTGAACCGTAGAACATTTAATGACAGTGTATGTTACTATTTAAATAGAGTACGTTATGTTCCAACTTACGAACCAGTCGACTTATTAACAAGTATCAGGAATGGAACCCGTTCCTAAGTAGGGGACTACCTGTGACCAAAAAAACACAAGAGTGGCACTTAAACTGCTGGCCCAAAGAAAGGTGGAGGAAGTGAAGTTTTTGATGACCCCTTATGGGCCATCCATTTATTACGTACGCGTGGAGGGGGAAGGAGGGTTAACCCAAATGCGTACGCTTGCGTATGGGGGGTCGACTGACAATGTACGTACGCATAGGAAACGGGGCGGGGGGGGAAGCCTCGATAATAATTTGTCTACATTGGCCTTCAAATGAGCTACAGTTCAGTTTCTTCAGCTGTCAACAAGTACTACCGGGAGAAGTAGGACTGTGGGAGAGGTGTCGCTTGTATGCCACCGTGACCCCTGACTGCAGCTATCATGCAGCTCGGCAAAATAAGTGGGCCAAGGTACGCAACTTAATTCTTTAATGCAACCGGCGGTGGACTATCTGTTTGCTTAAACACTTTAATATTATTTATCCTTGATCGTTTTTGCGTGGATTAAATATCGGCCGTGCGTCAAACGTGCATACGCAGGTGGGGGGGGGGGTGTAAGAAGTCCACGTGCATAGAGGGAGGGGTCAAGTTTTTACACTTTTTTGCGTTCGTACTGAATGGATGGCCCAATACGGTACAATTTGGCAATCAGCTGTCAGCAGCTGACAGGCTCTTGAATTAACATAGAGCGAGGATTAGTGTGAACGCGTAAAAATAGATGACTTGCGAATATATAGATGAGTAATCTAAACCTCTAGTAGCAGCAGCATTCAATGTCTGCATGGCTTGATACTAAACTCCCAATGGCTACATTCAGAGTTCCTGCCTCGCACAGAATATCACTCCTGAGTTGCAATGATGATACTTGTGGCTGGTTTCGCTAAACTCTTCTGAGAGGAAATGATGCCCTTGTGTTCCACTTGGCTGGCTGAGCAACTTACGAAGACGCACTGACACTGCAGGTATTGTATGGTGGTGCTAGTTTATGACCGCCTTGCTTCTTGTCTGTGGTGTTATAACGTGTGGTGGTGGTGGTGTGCTTTGTGGTTGCGATGTGCAGGTTCACTAGGCGCTGTGAGGAGGTGTTGTACGGACAGCGTCTATTCGGGACCACGAGCACCAATTGCAACAGGTGCACTCACAGTGACGTGTAACCCTTTTCCACTGGAGCGTCTGAGTTTTGCCAGCACAGGGCCAACATGGCTCTAATGGTTTTCCACAAGAATTTGACGGAGCCAGAACCTAGCCATTCTACGCTGACCTTACCAGACATCATCGTAGCCTGTGACCAATTGAGAGCCCTTTGACATTCAATTTTCTGTCATTAAACCATCTGATAGCCAGATGAGATTAGTTCTTCCTGTCCTTTGCGTGTAGGACACCACTGAGATACAGTGCAGGGTTTATTTGGGTTGTTAAATTAGTTTTGTTTGCGTGGGGCTTGGACACTGTTTAACTGACAAACTCATTGAGTGGCCACAGTGATGTAACGGTTAAGATGCTGGACATCTAAGATTGATTGGAAGGTCACGTGTGGTGGGGTAAAGTGTGAGTATGCCCTCATCTTCTAAGACGTCTGGTCGGCATGGAAGAGTAGACCAAGTACCGCGCAAAAACTTCCTCCAGTGGAGTTCCTACCACCAGCGGTGTCGTGAGCAAGCAGTTGCTGAGCTGCACCTTCACCTTTTTACTTGAAACGAGGGCAATGTACCACGTGGTGACTTAGACCGCTGTGCAATTTTTATTTGTTCGCACGTGCCAATCCAGGCGTTCATTCCTAACATTACACTGGAAACGATTATCGGTTCCTGACTATTGGAGCCAGGTAATCAATTCTGAAAAGCCTCATCGGTTAATAACTCTAGTGTTTAGTAATGGTCTATATGTAAGGGAGCGTTCGGATGTAATGTCTCTACATTTGTAATTATTTTATCCCTCTTAGTGCACTTTGAGATAAATTTTTCCCAACAGCCATTTCCACTTCCCGCCTCACACAGAATATCACTCCTGAGTTGCAATGATGATACTTGTGGCTGGTTTCGCTAAACTCTTCTGAGAGGAAATGATGCCCTTGTGTTCCACTTGGCTGGCTGAGCAACTTACAAAGACGCACTGACACTGCAGGTACTGTATGGTGGTGCTAGTTTATGACCGCCTTGCTTCTTGTCTGTGGTGTTATAACGTGTGGTGGTGGTGGTGTGCTTTGTGGTTGCGATGTGCAGGTTCACTAGGCGCTGTGAGGAGGTGTTGTACGGACAGCGTCTATTCGGGACCACGAGCACCATGCCAACAGGTGCACTCACAGTGACTTGTGTGCCCTTTTTCCACTGGAACATCTGAGTCATGCCAGCACAGGGCCAACATGGCTTTGATGGTTTGCCACAGGAATTTTATGGAGCCAGAACCTAGCCATTCTACGCTGGCCTTACCCAGGCATCATCGTAGCCTGTGACCAATTGAGAGCCCTTTGAGATTCAATATTTTGTCATTTTTAAACCATCTGATAGCCAGATGAGATTACTTCTTCCTGTCCTTTGAGTGTAGGACACCACTGAGATACAGTGCAGGGTTTATTTGGGTTGTTAAATTAGTTTTGTTTGCATGGCACTTAGACATTTTTAACTGACAAACTCATTGAGTGGCCACAGTGAAAAAAACGTTAGGATGCTGGACATCAAAGATGATTGGTAGGTCACGTGTGGTGGGGTAAAGTGTGGGTACTCCCTCATCTTCCAAGAAGTCTGGTAAGCATGGAAGAGTAGACCAAATACCCCCAAGAACTTCCTCCAGTGGAGTTCCTACCACCAGCGGTGTCGTGAGCAAGCAGTTGCTGAGCTGCACCTTCACCTTTTTACTTGAAACGAGGGCAATGTACCACGTGGTGACTTAGACCGCTGTGCAATTTTTTTTGTTAGCACGTGCCACTCCAGGCGTTCATTCCTAACATTACACTGGAAACGATTATCGGTTCCTGACTATTGGAGCCAGGTAATCAATTCTGAAAAGCCTCATCGGTTAATAACTGTAGTGTTTAGTGATGGTCTATATGTAAGGGAGCGTTCGGATGTATTGTCTCTACATTTGTAATTATTTTATCCCTCTTAGTGCACTTTGAGATTAATTTTTCCCAACAGCCATTTCCACTTCCCGCCTCACACAGAATATCACTCCTGAGTTGCAATGATGATACTTGTGGCTGGTTTCGCTAAACTCTTCTGAGAGGAAATGATGCCCTTGTGTTCCACTTGGCTGGCTGAGCAACTTACAAAGACGCACTGACACTGCAGGTACTGTATGGTGGTGCTAGTTTATGACCGCCTTGCTTCTTGTCTGTGGTGTTATAACGTGTGGTGGTGGTGTGCTTTGTGGTTGCGATGTGCAGGTTCACTAGGCGCTGTGAGGAGGTGTTGTACGGGCAGCGTCTATTCAGGACCACGAGCACCATGCCAACAGGTGCACTCACAGTGACTGTTGTGCCCTTTTTCCACTGGAACATCTGAGTCATGCCAGCACAGGGCCAACATGGCTTTGATGGTTTTCCACAAGAATTTGACGGAGCCAGAACCTAGCCATTCTACGCTGACCTTACCAGACATCATCGTAGCCTGTGACCAATTGAGAGCCCTTTGACATTCAATATTTTGTCATTATTAAACCATCTGATAGCCAGATGAGATTAGTTCTTCCTGTCCTTTGCGTGTAGGACACCACTGAGATACAGTGCAGGGTTTATTTGGGTTGTTAAATTAGTTTTGTTTGCGTGGCGCTTGGACATTGTTAACTGACAAACTCATTGAGTGGCCAGAGTGATGTAACGGTTAAGATGCTGGACATCTAAGATTGATTGGAAGGTCACGTGTGGTGGGGTAAAGTGTGAGTATGCCCTCATCTTCTAAGACGTCTGGTCGGCATGGAAGAGTAGACCAAATACCGCGCAAAAACTTCCTCCAGTGGAGTTCCTACCAGCAGCGGTGTCGTGAGCAAGCAGTTGCTGAGCTGCACCTTCACCTTTTTACTTGAAACGAGGGCAATGTACCACGTGGTGACTTAGACCGCTGTGCAATTTTGTTTGTTAGCACGTGCCACTCCAGGCGTTCATTCCTAACATTACACTGGAAACGATTATCGGTTCCTGACTATTGGAGCCAGGTAATCAATTCTAAAAAGCCTCATCGGTTAATAACTCTAGTGTTTAGTAATGGTCTATATGTAAGGGAGCGTTCGGATTTATTGTCTCTACATTTGTAATTATTTTATCCCTCTTAGTGCACTTTGAGATTAATTTTTCCCAACAGCCATTTCCACTTCCTGTCTCTCACAGAATATCACTCCTGAGTTGCAATGATGATGCTTGTGGCTGGTTTCGCTAAACTCTTCTGAGAGGAAATGATGCCCTTGTGTTCCACTTGGCTGGCTGAGCAACTTACAAAGACGCACTGACACTGCAGGTACTGTATGGTGGTGCTAGTTTATGACCGCCTTGCTTCTTGTCTGTGGTGTTATAACGTGTGGTGGTGGTGGTGTGCTTTGTGGTTGCGATGTGCAGGTTCACTAGGCGCTGTGAGGAGGTGTTGTACGGACAGCGTCTATTAGGGACCACGAGCACCAATTGCAACAGGTGCACTCACAGTGACGTGTAACTCTTTTCCACTGGAGCATCTGAGTCTTGCCAGCACAGGGCCAACATGGCTCTAATGGTTTTCCACAAGAATTTGACGGAGCCAGAACCTAACCATTCTACGCTGGCCTTACCCAGGCATCATCGTAGCCTGTGACCAATTGAGAGCCCTTTGAGATTCAATATTTTGTCATTTTTAAACCATCTGATAGCCAGATGAGATTACTTCTTCCTGTCCTTTGAGTGTAGGACACCACTGAGATACAGTGCAGGGTTTATTTGGGTTGTTAAATTAGTTTTGTTTGCATGGCACTTGGACATTTTTAACTGACAAACTCATTGAGTGGCCACAGTGAAAAAAACGTTAGGATGCTGGACATCAAAGATGATTGGTAGGTCACGTGTGGTGGGGTAAAGTGTGGGTACTCCCTCATCTTCCAAGAAGTCTGGTAAGCATGGAAGAGTAGACCAAATACCCCCAAGAACTTCCTCCAGTGGAGTTCCTACCAGCAGCGGTGTCGTGAGCAAGCAGTTGCTGAGCTGCACCTTCACCTTTTTACTTGAAACAATGTACCACGTGGTGACTTAGACCGCTGTGCAGTTTTTTTTGTTAGCACGTGCCACTCCAGGCGTTCATTCCTAACATTACACTGGAAACGATTATCGGTTCCTGACTATTGGAGCCAGGTAATCAATTCTGAAAAGCCTCATCGGTTAATAACTCTAGTGTTTAGTGATGGTCTATATGTAAGGGAGCGTTCGGATTTATTGTCTCTACATTTGTAATTATTTTATCCCTCTTAGTGCACTTTGAGATACATTTTTCCCAACAGCCATTTCCACTTCCCGCCTCACACAGAATATCACTCCTGAGTTGCAATGATGATACTTGTGGCTGGTTTCGCTAAACTCTTCTGAGAGGAAATGATGCCCTTGTGTTCCACTTGGCTGGCTGAGCAACTTACAAAGACGCACTGACACTGCAGGTACTGTATGGTGGTGCTAGTTTATGACCGCCTTGCTTCTTGTCTGTGGTGTTATAACGTGTGGTGGTGGTGGTGTGCTTTGTGGTTGCGATGTGCAGGTTCACTAGGCGCTGTGAGGAGGTGTTGTACGGACAGCGTCTATTCGGGACCACGAGCACCAATTGCAACAGGTGCACTCACAGTGACGTGTAACCCTTTTCCACTGGAGCATCTGAGTCTTGCCAGCACAGGGCCAACATGGCTCTAATGGTTTTCCACAAGAATTTGACGGAGCCAGAACCTAGCCATTCTACGCTGACCTTACCAGACATCATCGTAGCCTGTGACCAATTGAGAGCCCTTTGACATTCAATATTTTGTCATTATTAAACCATCTGATAGCCAGATGAGATTAGTTCTTCCTGTCCTATGCGTGTAGGACACCACTGAGATACATTGCAGGGTTTATTTGGGTTGTTAAATTAGTTTTGTTTGCGTGGGGCTTGGACATTTTTAATAGAGAAACTCATTGAGTGGCCACAGTGAAAAAAACGTTAAGATGCTGGACATCAAAGATGATTGGTAGGTCACGTGTGGTGGGGTAAAGTGTGAGTATGCCCTCATCTTCCAAGACGTCTGGTCGGCATGGAAGAGTAGACCAAATACCGCGCAAAAACTTCCTCCAGTGGAGTTCCTACCACCAGCGGTGTCGTGAGCAAGCAGTTGCTGAGCTGCACCTTCACCTTTTTACTTGAAACGAGGGCAATGTACCACGTGGTGACTTAGACCGCTGTGCAAGTTTTTTTTGTTAGCACGTGCCACTCCAGGCGTTCATTCCTAACATTACACTGGAAACGATTATCGGTTCCTGACTATTGGAGCCAGGTAATCAATTCTAAAAAGCCTCATCAGTTAATAACTCTGGTGTTTATTAATGGTCTATATGTAAGGGAGAGTTCGGATTTATTGTCTCTACATTTGTAATTATTTTATCCCTCTTAGTGCACTTTGAGATAAATTTTTCCCAACAGCCATTTCCACTTCCCGCCTCACACAGAATATCACTCCTGAGTTGCAATGATGATACTTGTGGCTGGTTTCGCTAAACTCTTCTGAGAGGAAATGATGCCCTTGTGTTCCACTTGGCTGGCTGAGCAGCTCACACACCCCAATTCACACTGCACTGGCAGGGCATGGCAGTGCTTGTTCATAACTTCGTCGCTTGTCTGTGGTTCTATAACGTGTGGTGGTGGTGTGCTTTGTGGTTGCGATGTGCAGGTCCATCTAGGCACTGTGAGGAGGTGTTGTACGGACAGCGTCAAATCAGGCCCATGACCACGAGCACCATGCCAACAGGTGCACTCACAGTCACTTGTAACCCCTTTACACTGGTGCATCTGACCCGTGCCAGCACAGGGCCAAAATAGCTGGTGGATTTCCACCGGCATGTTACCAAGTCAGAACAGAGCCATGCTACGATCGCCTCACCAGACCTTCTTGGGCTGTGCATCAGTTTAGCTCCAGAGATCTGTACAACGTTTCTCCACAAATTTAAAGACTCCATCTCGCACCACGAGTGATGACTCCGTATTCTCGCTAAGGGCTCCCATTTTCTGCGTTGAATCCAGCTTTGTGAGGTTCGATTGTCTTTTGAAGAAGAGAGATCATTTCTGTAGGCCTTGGCCAATCCGGCGTGGCTGGGTTGGGACCAGGGGAACTATGTTGCTGTGCCCTTTGCACCCTCCCAGTGTGCGTGCCTGGCATCTGGCACTTGTTATCTTTCACTTGATGAACAACATGGGCTGTTACTCTGAAGCAATCGACGTTTGGATGACTTGCGTTTAACCTCTCCAGCATTCTGATTAGCTTCCAGCCGCACATTAGAACTCGAGCTTTTGGGGTTACGGCAGTTGCTCTAATTGCATGAGTCGTAATTATGTAAAAGTATTTTGAAAGGGCGCTTGGGACGATGCCAGCACCAGGATTGGAAGGCGGTGGCAGTGCGAGCGTCGAGCGTATGGCACGACATGGTGTGAACGTGGTGCAATCCACAGCAGTTGCTGATTTTCGCGTCGTGCTAAGCGATGTATCGGTCCAAAATGCCACGTTCCTGTAAGGTGTGCATCGTGAAAGTACGTTGGCGCACACCAGCTCATGTTGTAACGATAACGAGTACAAGGGAACGAGCATACAAAAAAAACCTCACCACTTGTTATCTAACACTGCCTGATAAGACTTTACAGACATTGTCTCCTTTTATAAAGCAGAAGAGAGAGAGAGATAGATCGCAGTTTTGGAGATCAAACTACACACTGGGGCTGTGAGAAAACTTGAACATTTATTTTTATATAAAGTTGCCCAATTGTACATCAGTAGATGGTGAATATCAAACAAACTAATCGAAAGTCAAAATTAATCAAGGAATCTCTTGTAAATAAAAATTATGACCTCACCCAGGAAATATGGCAATTACCGTCAGGCACTGCCTCACCTGCACACGGCGGTGTGTGAGCTGACCCCCACACCCTGGGGTCAACGTGACCACAGCCCACTGGATGTGGTCGGTGACAGGCCACGTCCTCCTCGCACTCCGTCCACGAGTGGCCCGTGACTCGACAGTGGGCCCTCCCTCCTCCCCGATGCCGATGAAGCGGCCGTCGCCTAACTCGGCAAGACGAGCGAATGATAGTAAAATTAAACATCTTCATCAAATCCGTAGATTTGGATCCTGGAATAATAGGGCAGTGAGGCAGAGCCTCTGTCACCTGTCGTGTTTCCTGGGAGAGGTCGTAGCTCAGAAGATTGTAACCTGACAATAGAATGGTTTTACATGTGTCGGTGTTGACTGTAACATTGTGTTTACTTTACTTAATTTACAATAATTCATTTACAATAATAATTTGTATACCAGCTTTGGGCAGGTATACAAATTCGGAGACCTCAGTCAAAATTACAAAGTCATTCTAAGGCATATGGAGTACCATTTTGTAGGTATTTGTCTCGTAAAAAAAATAATTGGCTCGTCATAACTGACACGTAAGTGTGACACATACACGAATCTGAACCCTCACTATCCATCTCAGTGTGGATCAGTGGTTCTTAACCTTTTTGGAGGTACCGAACCCCACCAGTTTCATATGCGCATTCACCGAACCCTTCTTAATTGTAAAAATAAAATATGATTTTTTCAAATTCAAAACATAGGTATATGTTTTACTGGTGCACAATCATATTAGTCGGGTGTGTGTCTTAACCTCCGCCGAACCCCTGAGACTGACTCACCGAACCTCTGGGGTTCGATCGAACCCAGGTTAAGAACCACTGGTGTGGATGAACAAGTTATTTCATGTTAGCATAACACCATGGTATATCATGAGCACAGAAGTGTACAATTTATTACGATGAGAACTACACTGCTATTTGGATGACTTACTGTGCCCAAAACAGAAGCCACTCGATGACATGGCCCAACAGTGTGGCCCAGCAGGAGTGCATTTCCCACTTGTTTCAGAAGTTCACAGTTGGAATTCAGCAGACCGCCCTGGTTATTACCGCGGCGCATACTAACTGTAAAAAATGCTCCGTGCCATCTGCTTCACGCACAGTGGACAAAGATTCCCGGGACATAATTTAAAACGAGGAGGCAATTTTCCGGCATTACGGGTCAATGTTTTCCCATTTGACAAATTACACCGCAAATGACTCAATTGGGATTATACGGAGTAATCGGTGCCCCCCTACTGGCAGACTGATAGTCCCTTACCGGCTGTTACAAATCTAAATGCAAAAGATGATTGACTGTACGTATACCCACATCTTTAAAGAGTTTGAAATGTATGTTTGATGTTGTGGAGCTGCAGCTGTTTGACATTCTCTTTGAGCGTTGGTGATATGTTTCTGGATTAGTTCTAATAAATATTCCATGCGCTCGGAACAAGTGCCCGTTTCTCTGGTAGTTTATTGTGTTGTAAGTTTTGTAAACGTGTTATCGTTCGTGTACCGAAGCACAGCTTAACACATTTAACTGACTGTATCTATTGTAATCGTGAAATTATTTCTCTATTAAAATCGTGTTATGTCCATGTGTTCAATCCAGTCATGAAATAATTGATTAATTATGTATCTTTCATGGAAATGATATGCAAGTGTTTCCCTGATAAACCAATGGCATTGGAAGAACAGAATGGAACAGTCTGAAGCATCCTCCCTGGGGCCATCTGAGCTACTCGCTGTTCCAGGATTGAGAACTCGCGAACGACGGCATAGGAATGATTATACCCAGCACCACACTCCTCTCCCTGTGTGGGCCCCCCTTGCTTGAAAAACAGTCTCCCATACAGAATAAGTGGTGAATCTGTCCAAATAGCTGCTTCAAGACCTGCCCCACCAATTTGACAGAATTAGGTGTCACTTGAAATTATATCATCTGGAGTTTAAGTACGCTAGTTGGGATTAATGGGTTTTCCCCTTACCAGGCCTGACGCTGCTTATCCGATGTTCTGTTTACAATATCCCGGTGCGTGATACGATACACATTTCTAAATCCTGTAACATATGGAAGTGCAATTGAGAAGGGATGTTTGTCGGAGTGCAGAAGCCACCAACACGTGTTCCTGCCTTTGACACTCATTGATTACAAGTCAAATATATATAGTAATGCTATACGTAATAAGTATTTGTACACTCGCAAGTCAGACTAGTGCTGTGTGTGTGTTTTTAAGCAAATCTAGACTTAACGCTTTCGTGACTGCATGAATTCATATTCTTTGGTTCTTTCGGTAAAGTCAACTATCTACATAACTTTACCGAAAGACCCCAATCATGTTTTTAAGTAGTTACTAAGCAAAGGCCCAAAACGTCAAGTGGCCAACAACAAACAGCGCTAAGTGCTAAAACATTTTGTGAAATGAGAGCTTGGGGAAAATAGACTGATGAGGAGGAAGGCATTCCACAGTGGAACAGTGCGTGGGAAGACGCAGAGAGAAGTGGTATGACCTGTAGTGGGGCGAGTGAATGCGTTGTGACCTGCAGTATCGCAGTAAATATGCAACATTGGCATGTGGTTGGAACCGTTGAATCAATGTCCCAACATCACCCCAACGTACCGTATTTCCTGGGATGGTTGAACACCTCCGATTAGCACGATACAGTGCGAAATCAGTTCAACGTACATATGTAATGTGAGGATATATCCGGGTTGCTGACGGATCACAACTCGTTACGATGATTGGCTCTGCCGGTCCTGGCCCATAGCCAATGGAGGGGAAGTCTAGGGGCGTGGCCCTGACGTAATGAGAAGGTGACATCTGTAAGTACAGGATTGGTTCTGCTGGCTTTAGCCACAACCAATGGGATGAGTCAGGGGCGTGGTCCCGGGAGCGTACGATGGAGTCTAGAAGATTCCATAGAGGTTAACCAGGATTGGTGGAAAGGTAACACGTGACCCGGGTATTAAATAGGGGTGGAGACGAACAACACGTGGTCAGATCTGGAACGAACGGAGGGTGAGGCCACGCTGGAGCGGGGTCCAGGCTGCTACGTGTCTCTCTCTTTATCCCTCTCACCCGTGAAGGAGTAAGATAGGAGTGTTGTGAACGAAAGACAAAGACCGGATTCCAGAAGTCGCTTCCACGACCTTTATTACATTGGTGACAGGGAGTGCTTGAGACCGTTTGGACAATTATTAGAAAATGCCCAAGCACCTCAAGAAAAGAAACCCACCGAATCCTCCGTCGGATGAAGATGTCAAGGCGGACGAGGACGAGCTACTGGGAGCCACGGGTCCTCTACCGCTGTCTGCCGCTCTCCCCGACGCCGCGCATCGACGACAGGCCGGCGAGGCGACGTCTCCGGCTGCGGACAAGGGGTGGTGTCGGGTGGCGGAGCCGATAGAGTCGCTCCGTGCGATCCTGCTAAATCTTGCAACGGCGGTTGCGTCTTCAGCGGCCCTCGGTCGGCCGCGTGGAACTCACCCAAGGGCAGATGACCAAGATCTTCAGCGGGAAACGCCGTCCGCTATTACTCCTGCCGCGGAGGGGGAGGCCTCCATCTTGGGCGGGGCTGCTGCCACGGGACCGCCGGACGCCATCTTGGGCGGGGCTGCTGCCACGCGGCCGCCGGACGCCATCTTGACTGGAGCCGCGTGCTGCGCGAGGAACGGCATCTGACATGCCCGAGGCCTCGTATATTTACCGCGGCCATCGCCTTCCTCAAATTAAAGAATTTGTCGCCGGGGGTGACTGGAGCGCGTTTACGTGGCGGTTCAAGTCAGCCTTTCGGTCGGTGCGATGGACGGAGGCAGAAGCGCTGGAGGCTCTGCCCACGCTATTGGACGACATCTCCTTGGCAGTCTTCCGCTCCATCCCGGCGAGTAAGAAAAAGACGCTGCGTGACGCTTTCGCGGAAATGGCGGAGTTCTACGAGCCGCCGACGGCGGCTACCAGGAAATTCATGCAGCGGCGTCGAGGAGCGGATGAATCGCCCTTGGCCTACCGAGGGGCGCTGTTGGCACTTGCCATGGCCGCCTACCCCGATTCGTCAGCCGATCTCCTGGATCCTCTCATTCTTTCTCACGAACTTTATTACACATACAACGCAGTGTGGAATAGAGGAAACAGGCAGTGTCTGGGGAGACCGGGTCCTCAACACGGCCGGGGAAATCGACAAGCGAAGTTCACGGCAAGAGGAAGCATGTTAGGAGTAGTAGCGATAAATGTCACGGTGGCGAAATGTTAACTGCCTCACCTGGTATGCAGAAGGACCGTGGGTTCGATCCCGACCCTTGACGCCTGTTGTATATTTGGAGTTTGCATGTTCTCCCCGTGGTGGCGTGGATTTGTCTCCGGGTCCTCCCGGTTTTCCCCTCCACATTTAGAAACATGCAGTTTACAGTATTTGGCTGCTATCAATATCCACATGATAAGCCATTTCGTTGAGCTATCATTTGTGGCCAGGTCGCTTCTAAAAAAAGACCTATGATAGCTCAGTGGGCCTTACCTTTTAGAACGGGTTTAGATAAGAAAGAGTGGGTGTGCCAAGTGCTGTGGGACTACCACCACCACGAGGAGTAATTGTGAACGCTACGTATGTGTTTGTACGTTGAACTGCTTTCGCAGCGTACATAGCCAACGTGAGCAGAGGCTGTACAGCTCTGAATGAGCGCCGAGCTACCTGAGTTGCAATAATGTGTTTTGTATAATTAATGACGGTTAAAACCTTGAAACGGGGATATCTCGAGTGACATCGACAAAGTCGTGATGTTGGGCGGAGTACAAAGTGCAAGGGGTCAAATTGCGCAAAAAAAACTTCAAGATAACACTTTAGTGATATAAGAAAAAAAACTCGTGACGGGCACACGGCGAGGTCGCTACGCGGGGGGTGTGTCGTGGGCAGTCGCCTTTTGCTCCATTCAGAACAAGTGATGCGAAAGAAGCAGTGGATTACAGCACACGACAAATATACATCGTCCGTTATCTATCGCCTCGTGAATGACAGTGAGAGCCCGACATGACGCAGGCCTCGGGGAATGCGATTACAGCACCGGCCGCGTAATGATTACAGCCAACGACCCGTGTGATGACGGTGGGACTTGCATGTGTGTGTCTCTGTGTGGGGCGCGGTGGCGCAGTGGTTAGCACTACGCTGCGATACGAACCTGGCGACCAGAGTTCTATTCCCGCTCATGGCCAACACCAGTGACAATTATCTGAACCGGTCATGGGCCTCCCCTAGGTCTACTCAGCCTCTAAATTAGGACTTGGTGCGGTGTGTAAACATCGTCACTGGGGAGACAAAGGCGGCCGGCCGTGGTGTTGGCCACTCACCCCCTCGTGTGCCGTACAGGCCTTCATAGGTGCTCGCTAACAGCACTTGTTCTAACAGTCTATTGAGGCTATATGGGGGATCTTTGTCCTTTGTCTTGTGGAATATCTTCGCCGTGAGAAACATCCAGGCTGGCCTGCCTACGATTCATTCTGGGTTTAACCAAGCTGGATTGTGTGAGGAGCTCACACATCCTTGAAGGATCTGGACACAGGCCCATCGGTGAGCTCCGGCAGGCAAGGCTGCGTTGGCTGGGTCATGTAGCCCGCATGCCCAGCCACTGCATGCCTTAACAGCTTTTGTTCAGCCGGATCGAGAGGGCTGAACGGGCGCGGCACGGGCTGGATAAGAGATGGAGTGATGTGGTACAGGAGGATGTGGAGCTGAGCGGACCTGCCGATGACTGCTACCAGCAGTGTCAAAATCGGCCTCTGTGGAGGAGGCTCGTGAAGGACGCTGCTGCTACTGGGCAGAGGGAGGGCGGAGGAGCGACGCTCACAACAACGAGCGGAGCGCCGGGTGGCTAAAACATCAAATTGGCAGTAGGGGACACAGGTGGTGCATCGGCCACTCATCTCAGTCGACCAGTCGCACCCGCTGGGTCTGCCCCGTGACCTGCCAGCGGGCGTTCGACACTTCACGTGGCCTCAACGTGCACATAGCCTGGCACAAGCCTCGTGGTGACGTCACCACCACTTAGTGGCGAATGGCGGTTGTTGTATCTCCGTGTGTGAGTGTGTCTCGGTGTGTGATTCTGTCTCAGTATCTCCTTGTGTGAGTGTGTCTCCGTGTGTGTCACCGTGTGTGAGTGAGTGTGTGATTGTCTCCTTGTGTGAGTGTGTCTCCGTGTCTCCGTGTGTGAGTGTGTGATTGTCTCCATGTGTGAGTGTGTCTCCGCGTGTGTCTCCGTGTGTGAGTGTGTGATTGTCTCCATGTGTGAGTGTGTCTCCGCGTGTGTCTCCGCGTGTGTCTCCGTGTGTGAGTGTGTCTCCGTGTGTGAGTGTGTGATTGTCTCCATGTGTGAGTGTGTCTCCGTGTGTCTCCGCGTGTGTCTCCGTGTGTGAGTGTGTCTCCGTGTGTGAGTGTGTCTCCGTGTGTGAGTGTGTCTCCGTGTGTCTCCGTGTGTGAGTGTGTCTCCGTGTGTGAGTGTGTCTCCGTGTGTCTCCGTGTGTGAGTGTGTCTCCGTGTGTGAGTGTGTCTCCGTGTGTGAGTGTGTCTCCGTGTGTCTCCGTGTGTGAGTGTGTCTCCGTGTGTGAGTGTGTCTCCGTGTGTCTCCGTGTGTGAGTGTGTCTCCATGTGTGAGGGTCTCCGTGTGTCTCCGCGTGTGAGTGTGTCTCCGTGTGTGAGTGTGTCTCCAGTGGCTATTTGTACCACTGCCCCATGATCACACCAATGTCATTGCCTCATCGCATCGTTACGCTCACGGTCTCAAACATTTAACGCTGTTGGGGCGCTCCGTCTTGGCAAAATGCAGCCACTACAGCTCTCACGGTGGTTGTCAAGAGGGCGCAAATACGAAGCTTTGGCACCCACTGCCCCCACACTCGTTACGCGACTGGAAGGCACGGGACTGACTTGAATGGTGGGACCCAGCCACGCATCACTGTCCCATTCGGTGCGTGCTGTCCGGCAGCAGCAAGCAGTGTGCTACTGACCGATGACTTCCCAGTGCACGCCACTCCGGAATCCATCGTGAAGCGCATTCGGCCTGCTGGAGCCCGAATTCACTACCGTTCATCCATCCTGATGGAGGTTCATAACGCAGCGGCTGAGGCTGAGAAATTCAAATATGGCTAATTCCACCACTGAAGTGGGCAGAGGAACTCTATGCATAGCCTCTGTGAATGTTACAAATCAATACAAAGGCAATACGCACCTTTTACATATCCCAGATACATCCAATACATACCCCGAGACGTAAACATGTATATTTTACCCATCCCATTGGCCACACCATACCTTATAGAAGTGCAGCATCTTAGCAGCATTAGTTCTCCACAAACCACATTTATAGTCTGCCAGCATATCGTCAGCAGTCAGCCTCTCGCTTAAACAAATGCCGTGGGACCGCCAGATGTCTCAAGGCAAGGACTGCCCCCTCTGGTAAATGTGCGTCCGAGTTTGAAGCTAAACTACACGACAGATTAAAACGTTTTGTTTGATGCTGCTGCTGCTGCATTGAGAGTGATGGTGAACAAGCATATATCATAATTTTGAGCTTTCGTGACTGCAGGAATTACTCTTTGGTTCTTTCGGTAAAGTCACGTATAAAGATAAAATAATAAATTAAATAATAGCATACGACGTTTCGATTGCAACACAAGCAATCATCATCAGGTATAAATGAAATAGCAACAAAAATCTAACCAGAAAACTATAGACAAACATATAAGCAGACAGATATCACCAAGATACATAGAGAGAGAGAGAACATCTCTGTGACGAGGCCTTAAATAGAGAGAGGGGGCGGGGGCAGAGAGAGGGAGGGGGTTAGAGAAAAAATAAGCATGTCAATGGGTAGGAAGACGGGTGGTAAAGTACGCAAGCTTGAAAATTAGGAGAACGGGAGATAGACACATTAAATTAAATAACCTAGCAAAATATCGAAATGTAATGTAATGCAACAAAGAGAGTCGGTCAACACACAATTAACGCATAGCCTGGTCGATTACGTATTTCAAAGATTGCTAAGTTAGAATTTAAGTGTTTTTTGTTTTCTCTCTCTGCCTGTGTATTTAGTGTACTTTTTCTGTCTCCACTCGTTTTTTTTTGTGTTGTTCTTATGTTCTGCTCTGTCTGTGTGTCTCCGTTCCTCGTGTTTTGTGTTTTGTCTCTCTTTGGAATTTTCATACTTAAATTCTAACTTAGCAATCTTTGAAATACGTAATCGACCAGGCTATGCGTTAATTGTGTGTTGACCGACTCTCTGTGTTGCATTACATTACATTTCGATATTTTGCTAGGTTATTTAATTTATGTGTCTATCTCCCGTTCTCCTAATTTTCAAGCTTACGTACTTTACCACCCGTCTTCCTACCCATTGACATGCTTATTTTTTCTCTAACCCCCTCCCTCTCTCCGCTCCCGCCCCTTCTCTCTATTTAAGGCCTCGTCACAGAGATGTTCTCTCTCTCTGTGCCTATGTGTTGCTCTCTCTCTGTATCTTGGTGATATCTGTCTGCGTATATGTCTGTCTATAGTTTTCTGGTTAGATTGTTGTTGCTATTTCATTTATACCTGATGATGATTGCTTGTGTTGCAATCGAAACGTCGTATGCTATTATTTAATGTATTATTTTATCTTTATACGTGACTTTACCGAAAGAACCAAAAAGTAAGCATATATCAATAACAGTCGCCTTAACGGGAAAGTAGAGGACAGTATATAATCGGTGTCGTTTTGGTAAAAGCTACATGAAGGACTATTGTCCGAAACGTCGCTGATTATATATTTATTTTAATGCCACTGTTATTGGAACATGTGTTGACTTGTAGACGTATAGAGTCTGCCAATCTCCGTGTAGTTTATGACTTCGGCTTGACATCACGAGATTGGTGCCAGAAAGATCCGGCACTACGTGAGCACATTGGCACGAGACGGAGGAAAGTGGAAACAAAATATGACGAAATGTGCAGCCCATGATGATGATTGTCCACATGGTCGCGAGTAAAGGTTGAGGCACTGTGGCCGCAAATGACCGTTCATTCCTCCTCCCCGCCGTGGGGGGGAGGAGGAGGTTAGGAGGGCGAGGCGCTGGGTGGGTGGGGGTCTGGGGTGGGTGGCGTGGTTTTATCTCCCTCCCCGCTGGGGCCGGCGAGACCTTCTTCTCTGCGCTCTTCGCCACGGTCACTGTGGGCGCGATGGCGGCACGACGCGAGGATGACGGCGGCTGCGGGCGCGGCTTCACGGAGCTGCGAGGCTACAGCGTCACGCGCAACCCGCACCTCAACAAGGCGAGCAGCAACAGCAGCGGCAGCGGCAGCCCGCATCGCGCACACCACGCGGCACGCACCCCGCACGATGAACACCGCTCTGCGTATCCACACACTGTGCGCCACAAACCACGAACCATGAACCCCACTCCCCACACCACGCACTCCAAACCACGCACCCAGCACCACACACCACGCACCCTGCACCACAGACCAAGCACCCTGCACCACAGACCAAGCACCACACACCCAGAACCCTGCACCACACACGCTGCACCACGCACCCTGCACCGAACCCTGCACCATGCACCCTGCACCACACACGCTGCACCACGCACCCTGCACCACACACCACACACCCTGCACTGCCAGCACCCCGCACTTTGAACTCCGCACCCCGTCGCGTGCTTACTGAGCACGCGATCGAGTCCCGGGCTCTGGACGCGCTCGCCCCTGCTGCGTTCAACAAGTGTCTGGGGGCGCGCGGAGAGGAAACTGGATCGGTTTGCCACCTGTGCGGGTTTTACCCACGCAGAGTGGCACTTTGGGAAATTGGCATTCTATCTGTGTGTGTGAGTGGCAGGAGTTTGTGGATACTGTATATCCAGATCATGGTACTATACCGCCGGTATTGTGTTGAACTTATTGCAATATACAGTACTGCGCAGTAGTTTGATAGACCTACGGCTGACTCGAGACACTCGCCCACTCATTCATCCACGTACTCATTCATTTCCCAAGTCACTCAGCGACTCACCCACGCGCCTCTGTTGCCACCTGTCCGGGTTCTACCCGGTACAGTCCGGGAATCGGCATTCGTGCTCGAGTGCCGGGGATTGATGCGTACCGACACCTGGCGCCGCTGTTGTCGTTTCCACTTCGTCGCAGTTTCCTGTGCAGTCGTTTTGCCAATAGTCCGAGGCTGATGCTCTGTGCGAATATTCGGGAGCACTGAAATCCCGTGGCACCTCTCGTTGGTCATCGGCTCTCGATGCATTCAGCCGCTGTCTCGTCTGCTCGCTCGTCTGAACATCCGAGCGAGGGTCGTCCCATTGTCTGGAGAAATCCCCGCCGGGGTCTCGTGCCGTCAGCACGGCCCTTCTGAACGCGGGCGATGTAAAAGCCACGTGCTGTTAAAGCCCTTTAATGTGTGCGGCCAGCACCACGTGGTTAGGTGGTTAGCGCGCTGCGCTACGGACCCGGCCACCGAGTTCGATCCCCGCTCTCGGCCAACACCAGTGACGAGTATTTGAACCGGTCCTGGGCACCCCCTAGGTTGACTCAGCCTCAATGAGCACCTGGTGCGGTGTGTAGTAAACATCGCCACTGGGGAGACAAAGGCGGCCGGACGTGGTGTTGGCCCACCCACCCCCTCGTGTGCCGTGCCGGCCTTCATCGATGCTCGCTAACAGCACTTGCCCCAACAGTGTGTTACAGGCTATGCGGGGGATCTTTGTCTTTGTTTGTCTGTGCCAATACTTGGGGAGCAGTTAACGTGCTGCGAACCCAGCGATTCCCGCTCTCACGGCCAACACCGGCGACGATTATTTAAACGGGTGCTGGGCCTCCCCTAGGTCTACGCAGCCTCAAATGAGTAATGTGTAAAATCATCGCCACTGGGGAGACAAAGGCGGCCGGGCGTGGTGTTGTTGGCCACCCACCCCCTCTTGTGCCGTTCCGGTCTGCATAGGTGCTCGCGAACAGCACTTGCCCCAACAGTATGTGAAGGTTATATGGTGGGAATCTTTGTCTTTGTCAATATTTGGCGCAGTGGTGCATCTGCCAGTCATCTCCTTCAACCCATACCACCTGCTGGGTCTGTCCCGTTGTTGTGTCAATATTTGTCACTGTGTTTGTTGTGTACGTGTGTATGTGTGTAGCGGTTATCGCCTTGGGCTACGAACCTGGTCAACCCCAGTTCGATTCTCGCTCATGGCCACCAACACCAGTGACGATTATCTGAACCGGTCCTGGGCCTCCCCTAGGTCGACTCAGACTCAAATGAGTACCTGGTGTGGTGCCCGCTAACAGCACATGTCCCAAAATATATTCAGGCTATACAGGGGATATTTGTTTTTGTGTAAACTGAGCATCGCCTCAGCTGCTGCTACTGCTGCAGCTGCATGTGTGGCCAATTTCTGAAGTAGGGTGAGTGGTGGTGCAGTGGTTAGCGCACTGCGCTACGAAACAGGTAACATTCCTGTCAACACCTTATCCGTGTCGACTTTATTACAGCCCTTATTGGTCACCCCGTGCCCTTATAAATATCAACGTCCATCTTACAAAGTCCCATCACAAGGGAGAAACACAAATAAACAGACAATATAATCAATGTTTGCCAGTAATTAAACGGATGTACGCCGTATGGACCTGAAAACTCAATTTCCCATGTACGAGAATACGGGGTAAACCGTATGGGTTGACAGGTACGAGGTAACCTGAGTTCGATTCCCCGCTCATGGCCAACAGCAGTGGCGAATATGCGAATTGACAACTAAGCATTACATGAGTAAGGCGACGGGGAGACAAAGGCGGCCGCGGATGGTTCAGGCCACACCATCTCCGCGTGCACGTAGCCAATAAATTAGCATGAACATAGTTTACATTGAACACCAATACTGTATACTTGCACATTGTTCATTCACCATTCCGTGTATGTGCACGATTGTTATGTTGATTGATTTATGTGTACGAATCGTACACTGGATATTCGTGTCACGCCATCTGGAAGTCCGTTCACCCTGTGTTTGGGAGACGTGTTGATCTGGGTGGTGGTGGTGTGCTGGTGATTATTTTAAGTTCAGTCTGTACAGTGACGGTGTCACCCAGACCGCCCCCTCACCCCACGATCGCCCCACTCTGCGCTCACCCCGTACCCCACATTCCTAGCCCACCCCCGCAGCGCGCTAACCTCCACCCATCATCCCACCCAGCCCCCCCCTCATCCCACCCAGCACCCACCCTCTCATCCCACCCAGCCAACTCCACACCAACGTTGGCCTAACGCATGTTTGATCAGCTCATCCCAAAGAGCAGTGCAACCAGATCCTCCGGGTCAGGCTCACTCAACCAAACCGACTTCATTTGTACCCTAAACTAGAACACCTGGACACTTGATGTTTCAAATAAATAAGCAGACGATCTCCCTCCAGCGACGCTATTGATTATGTTGTATTTAGTATAATATCGTTTTGTATTGAACTTAGACTCATGTCTAACAGAGAGGGTCCTTGCCTATGGACATCTGATGAGATTCTGAATGTCGAAACCGTTACAGAGTTTTGCTTGTGCTGAACCAATTCTGCTGAAAGTATGCACGTCTAGAAGGCCGTGTGGCTGATGGAATGTGTACAATGTTCTTGATTTTTTTATGTGGAGATTACAGATATGTATTGTCTGCTCATTGTATGTTATTAAGAATGTATACATTTTTTTCAGAATCTCATTGATAGTACGTGTGTGAGGTCCATGGAAGAGAAAGGTTGCTTGGGTGGTTAGTTGGCCTCCGATACGAGGCTGTAATTCTGGCAGGCCGTCTCATCACTCTGAATGATTAAGGCGTCATCATTTTATGATTGAGGTTTTTTCATTTATGTGAAAAAATACCATCAGCGGGTTCCACTAAGATGGGCCAATTCTTCGTCTGCCGTGTGGTTTGCTGTTGAATAGCAGACTTATTGTAGGGGAGCAGCAGGTTGTCAGAGATAATTGTTTTTTTACCCTTTTATCTGGCAACAAAATTGACACCTTTTTTTACAAGGAGTCATGTTTGCATTGACCACAATACCTGCAGTCGGAATGCAAACAAAAAACATAACTCTGATAATGTATGCACTGTCCTTGAAATTGATTGGTCCACACCCGAGACAGCTTTCTTTAGAGCCTCGTCTCACATGGTGTTGGACCAGATGACGCCAAAAGGCGCACAACTCAAGGACAATGCACCATCAGAGTATGAGAGCTCGGGGTAAGCATTTACACCATTGGAACCTCATTTGCCAGTAGCAAAATATGATAATTATTTTTTTACCCTTTTATCTGGCAACAAAAATGAATTTTCAAGGACAGTGCATACATTATCAGAGTTATGTTTTTTTGTTTGCATTCCGACTGCAGGTATTGTGGTCAATGCAAACATGACTCCTTGTAAAAAAAGGTGTCAGTTTTGTTGCCAGATAAAAGGGTAAAATAGATAGATATATAGATCGTTTATTGTCATTGTCACCAGTACAACGAAATTTAAAATGCTCACCAGTCAGGGCCTCATTCATAAATTTAAGTTAAATAAAACAAGAAAATAAAAATAAAATTAAATGAAAGATAATCAAAAAAACAATTATCATATTTTGCTACTGGCAAATGAGGTTCCAATGGTGAGGTTGTCAGAGGTTTAGGTCACGGGTTCTTTAGCCAGTCCAGGTCTTCCGAGTGAGGTTGTGGATGGCTTCTCTACTTCCCCCGAATGTGCATGAACTGACGAGGCGGTTCATTGATTGTAACGCTTGCCACATACATCGAGTGGCCTGTTTTTAATCTTCCGCTTGTGGAGGAGATAAGCGCAGCGACCTTGGTCCTTTTACCAGTCCTCCTAATCCAGGAGGTAGCCTCTTGTTACTACTGCGAAGGGCAGCGTTGACCTAAGAAGGCAACACTCTTACCCAGGGGCGCATAATTGGAGGGGCAAACGCAGCGTGGCGCAATGCATAGGGGCCCAGTTGGCCACATGGCGACCCCGAATCAACAGATAAAGAAAACACTGATAAAAAAATTATAATAAGAAAATATTACAATTCACCATAAATGTTTGTTACTGAACACCGTAGATTTTTTGCTCACTGACATGCGCATGAAAGCAAGATGCACGGTAACTTAATTGTGAGTAGTATTGTTACCTTCAAATCTTTTTTTGTTAATATTGTTACTGGCGAAGACTGTCTTCCTCTAAACCCAATACACGGTGCAACTAAAATAACATATATGGTTATAGCCTAACATTATTATATGCGTGGTGAAAAACATCCGTAGCTATTTCAATAAAAAAGTAAGTCGGGAGAAAGGTGGTGGGTCCACAGTCGTATCTTGCATAGCAGCTGCGCCCCTGACATTACCCAGATGCAGAGCTGCTTGAGGATTAAAGGAACCAATGACCAAACACACGCAACTATGACTGCGAGAGTGCATTCTGTACAAACCGGCGGCGTGCACCATCAAATTATTCATATATTGACTTATTCGATCGACTGGTGTGATATGTACTGTGTACTTGCATTCTATGTAAGTCACAAATTTAACATCTGTGTATACTTGTCATTAGGCGTTGTTATGTACGTGTGTGTACGTGGGGAGCTGTGGTGCAGTGGTTAGTGCACTATGCTACCAACCCGGCAACCCGAGTTCGAATCCTGCTCACTGCAAACACCAGTGGCGATTATCTGAACCAGTCCTGGGCCTCCCCTGGGTCGACTCAGTTTCAAATTAGTACCTGGTACGGTGTGTAAACATCGCCACTTGGGAAACAAAGGCAGTCGTGCGTGGTGGTGGCCTTCACTATACGGGGGATCTTTGTCTTTGTGTGCATGTTTGTATATGCGTCAATACGTGTTTGATAGCTATTGTCAATCAACACCCCGGCACTCTTGCAAACGAGATGTCCCATCTCAAGGGATTTTCCAGGTGAAATATGTTGTATGAATAAATGAACAGAAAATGGACATTCTTCCTGAGAGACACGTAAGGTGTATTACTCTACGAGATTTCTGGAGGGATTCCTCATCACGTGGTGGGATGAATTGGGATGAATTGAGGATTTAAAAAAACACGACTGTGACGCCCTCTCGACGTTGCCTCAACAGGAAATGGCCTTTGGGCTGGAAGAGCGGCAGCACCTGGGGATTCACGGACTGCTGCCGCCCTGCTTCCTGTCGCAAGACGTGCAGGTGCTGCACGTCATCAAGAACTTCGAGCGGCAAACCAACGACCTCGACCGGTGCGTCCGTGCGTGGAGTTCCATCGCCAGTGTATGAAGCGACGCCAATCAAATTTTATCGATCGATCGTTATTTTACGTGCCAATGTCACGCTCAATGCGGTTGGACGTTGGTGCACAATACAGCGGGGGCATGTAGCAACACTCGAGATGTAATAGTTGCTTCTGTTGACTGGCGGTATTTTGAGATCGTTGCATGCTGAAGCATAATCCCCAATGTAGGTTTAGGTGGAACAGTCTCCCACGTTTATGCTGAGCTTCAACTTGTGATCACATAGGATATCAGAAAACTATACAAAACATTTTTTACCAGGTAAGGCCCACTGAGTTATACAGCTCTTTTTCAGCAGCGACCTGACCACAAATGATCGCCCAATGATCTTTCTTATCACGTGGAAATTTATACATCCAAATACTCTAAATGCATGTTTCTGAATGTGGAACGAAAACCGAAGGACCTGGAGAAAATACACGCGACCATGAGAAGAACAAGCAAACTCCAAATATACAGTTGTCAACGTTGGGATCGAACCCACGACCTCCTTTATACCAGACGAGGTAGTTAACATTTTGCCACCGCAGCACCCCAAATGTGAACCTAGCATGCATCAGACTCTTAATGTAGTGGGATCTGAGGGATGGCAAACAGCACAGTCAGATATGAAGAGGATCTCTCTCTGGTGAATGTTCTGCCACAGATGTCTCTGCTAGTTCCATCTGACTCCGGCTCTGTAAAACGTGGAGCCCTAAATTTTAACCAGAACCTTCTAGTGAGAATTTCTTTAGATGCACTCTGTGCCTTCAATACCATATGCTTACACGGCAGGGTGACGTAGAGTGGTAACACTCGTGCCTCACGGTAAGGAGGCCCCGGGTACATTTGTTGTGTAGTGAATGACGACTCGGAGGCAAGTTTCCAGGTAAGGGCTTGCGCCGGTTTATTGACACAAGGGAGTAATAAACTGCACCAGAGGTAGGTGTCCCTACACTGGGTCCTTCACGGGGACCTCGGGCTCTATCTGCTGCTAGCCCGGCTATCTCTTGGCTCTCTCACTCGAGTTGGGACGGGGGCTTAACCAACACCGCCCGACCGAGGAGAGCAGCGCTCCACATAACCCTAGCTGGCTCTTGCAGACTTCTCTCAGCCTTACCCCTAGCTATCTCTTCAAACGCTCTCCATCCCAGGCTCCCACAACGACCCTGCTTTTGTCACCCGAACCTCCTTAAGTACCACGAGGTGACATGACGTCATCGCGCCTCACCGCGCTCATGAAGTCATGTTTCCATACTACTCTACACGTTTACCGATTTGGGTGCCTTTCTGTGCGGAGTTGGTTATGTTCTCTGCCCAGTTCTTCCTAGGTTTCCTCCACGCTCTCTGGTTTCCTCCCTTGGAAAAACCCATATAACTACAATGTAACCGGTATTGACCAAAACATCCCAATGCTGAAAAAATTACCTGCAAATTACTAAAGTTGGGATCACACACAGCAGCAACATTGTCCCCTTCTGCCGAAAACCTGGCAGGACCCTCCTGAAAAAAAGACTCTTGAGACTGGATGAAGCTTGCCTGGAATTAGCAAGTGGAATAATATCACGCTTGCATAAAACATACTAGGTACGTGTGTGTCTGTGCATAGGTATATCCTGCTGATGGGGGTGCAGGACCGTAACGAACGCCTCTTCTACAAGGTGCTCATGTCCAACGTGGAGCGCTTCATGCCGATCGTCTACACCCCGACCGTGGGCTTGGCCTGCCAGCAGTACGGCCTGGCATTCCGCAGACCTCGGTAACGCTGACCCACAACAAAGATCCCCCACCGTGTATAGCCTTTACCAGACTGTTAGGGCAAGTGCGATGGGAGAGGGTTTGCCAGCGCTCTGAGTTCGCTACTGTTAGTGCTGAGAGCGGTTTGTTATAACAAGTTTTTTTTATGAAAATATATTCACCTGGGAATCCCTTAAGGTGGGACATGTCGTTTGCAAGGGTGCTCATGGTGTCGATTAACACACACATAGCAAGCACGCAATCACACACACATGCACACACAGAGACAACACAGACAAAGATCCCCCTATAGCCTTGACAAACTGTTGGGGCAAGTGCTGTTAGCGAGTATTACGTATGAAGGCCGGTACAGCACACGAGGGGGTGGGTCGCTAAGCACCCCGCCTGGCCGCCTTGGTCTCCCTAGTGGTGATGTTTACATACCTCACCAGGTACTCATTTGAGGCTGAGTCAACGAAGAGGAGGCCCGGGAAAGGTTCAGATAATCGTCAGTGGTGTTGACCGTGAGTGGGAATCGAACTCGGGTCGCTGGGTTCGTTGCACGGCATGTTAACGTCTGCGCTACCGCTCCCCACACTTATACACTCACACATACACCCACTTACTCCCACAAAGACAAAGATCCTCCTTACAGGCTTGAACAGACTTTTGGAGAAAATGATTTTAGCGAGCACCTATGAAGGCCGGCATGAAGACAAATATCCTTCGTATAGCCTTCACATCCTGTTGGGGCAAATACTATTAACGAGTAGCACCTATGAATGCCGGAACGGTACACGAGGGGGTGGGTGGCCAGCAACCACGCCCGGTCGGCCTTTGTCTCCATAGTGGCGATGTTTACGCACAGGACCAGGAACTCATTTGAGGTTGAGTCGACCTAGGGGAGGCCCAGGACCGGTTCAGATAATTATCAATGGTGTTGGCACCCACACACATGCACATGCATACCAAACATGTAATGATACGTACGCTTAACATTATATTTATAACTTGTGCAGTTTCTATTTATCCATTGGATATCACACACAATAAAAAAAAGTACAAAAATAATGAATGATATTGGTGCACAGCCATCTCTTCATATAGAATGCATTCGAGCCGTCACAGTTGAAGATGTACTGTGATATTTTATTCGAGATTTTATTTAGATGAGACTGGTGGCGTGTTCCATGTTGACACAGCTCCGTCTTATTTTATATTTGTAGAGCACCTTCACTAAGAATCAATTAGAATATTTACTTATACTTGAGGAATCCGATGGGCTATAAAGCTCTTTTTCACAGATATACATTTTGCGCGGGTAAGAACGTTGCAACAAACAGTGCAAAAAACATGCTAGTAGTGCAAAGTACAAGAAAGGTAAACAAATCACCCAAACACATACAGATACAACTAAACTATCCCCATCCTATCAGCCAAAGCCCACTGAGGTATATTTATTGTTCAAAAGTGACCTGGCCACAAATGATAGCTCAACAAAGTGAACATGTATTACAGTAGCATAATAATCTAAACACATGTTTAGACTATTTAGATAATTTTGCTGCTTTAGAGCGCTTAACGTAGCTAAAAACAAAGTGACAGAATAGAATGATTTCGATGGCAGGGGCATGCGAGGTTTGAGGATTGAGTGACCGTGATAGAGGGTACTCTGTGGTCACGAAAGGGTAGGAGAGGGATGAGGAGGAGTGGAGGGGGGCGAGGAGAGGGAAGAGCAAAGGAATGAGGCAATGGTTAAGAGAGGAGTGGGCTGAGGTTACTGTGTCTGGGCGAAAGGGCACCTGTCTGGGGTTTTTATGTTTTACTGTGCTGTTTACCCGCCTGTCTTACAGGGGGCTGTTCATCACCATCCACGACAAGGGACACATCGCAACGGTCCTCAAATCATGGCCGGAGAGTGACATCAGGGTGTGTGCTCTCAATCGAAGACCCACGAGACAGGAATAATGCGTCGTTTACGTTACACCCAAGGATGGGAGACAGTAGCCTCCTACTCGCGGCCCACCTGTTATGTGTTCTACCTTAAAGACAAATAATAGCGTCATTAAATCTAATCCAGATATGATCAGTAAATCTGAATGTAAAAAAAGGCCCTTCTCTAAGGAGCCGGAAGCTGGACGGGGTGAGGTCTTCGAGTGACACCAACTCAACATTGAAGGACTCTCAAGGCCTAAATATTACTTTTTCTGGCCAGTAACCCGAGGGAAAACAACGTGTACGTCATCGCCCTACAGGAGACGCACGCTGAGGAGAGCACGCGGATGGCGAGTAAGAGAATATCCCCTCGTTGCTACAGCATACCGCCCTAAACACTGCCTCCTTGCCACCTTGACCAGGGATGATGATGTCATGTGGAAATGGTTTAAATTTAAAACATTGGGGAACCCAACTTCCAGACGATTCTACCAATAAAGTGTGAGTCATGCTTCAGTAAAATGTTGGCTCCCATTGCTTGGTATTGGACATTCTTTCATGAAATTTGGGGGGCAAAATGTTAATTCGGAAAGGTGATACATTTGTAGGAATGTCCGCACCAAGATACACATTATTTTATGTTTGTTAACACGGTGTACCGTTTGCGAGATACACAGTGTAACGGATGGACACTTGCACATTGTACAGATAGCTAGTAGCTCGATTCTCTGTCCAGCTTTTACGGAAGTCAATTCCTCCAAGACAGGCGTTAATGACGAAGCTGAATTTGGCGAATTGGCACTTTTGATGTCAAGATTTGCAGCTCTGCCGCCATGTCAGAAACACATATAAACTTGCAAAACGTTGCTGATTGTGAGGAGTCAGTACGTGTACAAAGTGACCTGAACAATTACCCCAACACTATGTTTGAGGCCTTTTAGGCAGTTCATTCTGCTCACTGTACTCGCCAAGCCTTACTGTTGTTTCAGTTTCAATTTTAATTTATTTCTTCAAAAGTTGTTATCTGCTTTTTGTAAATGACACCACTCGTGCAAGATGCTTCTTAAAACGCCGCAGAATTTGTAATGGTGCCCAGTTTTCACACGGAGGCCCGAGGAAACTGCATGCTAACAGGAAGGCAGCCAGCGCTGGCGCCACAAACAATTTACCCAAGCTCTGCAATCCTCTATTGAGACCTTTGACCAAACTCCATTCATGGGTGTTTATATTACATTCTCGCACTGGTGAACATTACAGACGACACACTGCGTCCCCCCCCCCCATCCCTGCTTCTCTCTCTCTCTTTGTGGCTCCCTGCTGGCAGGCGGTGGTCATGACGGACGGGGAACGAATCCTGGGGCTGGGCGACCTCGGCAGTTACGGGATGGGGATCCCGGTGGGGAAGCTGGCATTGTACACGGTGTGCGGAGGGGTGCAGCCGCAGCAGTGCCTACCCGTGATGCTGGACGTGGGCACAGACAACCAGGTGCGTATGCAGAGACAAAGATTCCCCCCCCCCCCCCACCGTACAGCCTGAACAGACGATACACAAAGACAAAGATTCCCCCCCCCCCCCCCCCCACCGTATAGCCTGAACAGACTATACACAAAGACAAAGATTCCCTGTACAGCCTGAACAGACGATACACAAAGACAAAGATTCCCTGTACAGCCTGAACAGACGATACACAAAGACAAAGATTCCCCCCCCCCCCCCACCGTATAGCCTGAACAGACTATACACAAAGACAAAGATTCCCTGTATAGCCTGAACAGACTATACACAAATGCAAATATGCACATGTAGAGCCTGTTAGGGAAAGTGCTGTTAGCGAACACCTATGAAGGCCGGTACGGCACATGAGGTCGGTGGGTGGCCAACACCACGCCCGGCCGCCTTTGTCTCCCTAAGCGGCAATGTTTACACACCACACCAGGTACTTATTTTAGGCTGAGTCACCCTAGGGGAGGCCCAGGCCCAGTTCAGATAATCGTCACTGGTGTTGGCTGTGAGCGGGAACAGAACTCGGGTTCGCCGGGTTCGTAGTGCAGCGCGCGAACCGCTACACGACCACTCCCGAGGCTATACACACGCACGTGGACAACGCATGCAGAGCCAGACTATACGAGCACAGGCCCAAAGGCCCAACACGTCAAGCGGACAGCAACAATTGGCACTCTCAAAGTTGTAAGAGATAAGAGTTCACACCTTCCTTGAATTGGGCAAGGCTTTGAGGGGAGGGGCAATGGGAGGGAATTCCACAGGGGAGGGAAGAAGCAATAGTAGGAGAAGTGCTGTGACCCTGCAGTGTGTGATGGTGGATGAACACTGTGTGGGTGAGACGAAATGGTCAGTGTCTGGTAGACCGAGTCTGCAACGTGGGTGGAGGAATCAATGAGTGAAGTCCATGGGAACAGTAAGCATGGCTATAGTAATAGAAGAGTATTAAGGAAGTGACTGACTGCCAGCGGGAGTGCAGAAGGCAGTGCGCCATAGTCACACAACTTTCTGGGAGTGCTTAGTTTGAGCAGTTTTGATTCGTTATACGTCTGGCAGTTCATCAACGTTAGTTCAAGTCTGACTGTGGATGAGACACTGAATGTCAAAACCGATCGAGATTGTTCTTGTGTGGAACCAATGCTGCTGAAATTGTGCACTCCCAGAAGGCCGTGTGGCAAATGGCATTTTGATAAAATACTCTTTTTATGTGGAAGGACAGATATGGAAAGGAGGCATATTGCCTGCATATTTATTTTGCTACAATAGCTAATGTGCAACTGAACTTCTATTATAGAGTCTCTTTATATGTTTAGGGGTAAATATCACTGCATGGTCACTTGTTCACTCAGGTAAATGAGACATTGTCTCAATGGGTCCGAAATGTAATTAATCAATTGACCTATAATTGCTATTCTGCATTTGATAAAAATAAAAATCGTCGAATTTGTCTTCATCGACTGATTCTTGTGTTTTTTCCCATGCGCCTTACTCTTGCAGTCACTGCTAGAAGACCCGTTTTACATCGGACTGAAGCAAAAGCGAGTACGCGGAGCGGCCTACGATGAGTTCATCGACGAGTTCATGCAGGCCATCGTGAACAAGCGAGTAGCACCACGCTTTGCCATCGCACATCGCACACACCCAGGAGACGCCGGGATAGGATTTTACATTTCTGTGTTTTTGATTACAGCTCAAATTTAGATTTTAATCGTTTCATTAGCGTCGTGAGATGAGATGAGATGACATTTTCACATTTAGAACTCTCACAGCACTTCACCTCCTGCCAGAGGGCAGCCTTGGAGTTTGATGTCATATCACTCCTGGAGTGCCTTCAATAATTAATTCAACACCTTGATGCATACACTCGCTAGAGCACCTCTTTGGTTCCCTGCAATTTGTTTTCAACTTGGCAGCAACAATTATGTTACCCAAGCTTTGGTTTTACAGAAAACTAAGCGGTGATTTAGTTTGTGCGTATGTTTGTCCTTAAAGCCTGCAAACCTTCATCACCTGAGCCTGCTTTATAATGTCTTCTCATGGAGCTCATTCACATCCACGTGTGCCAAGCCTGGAAAAGATCATGTGTAATGTGTAAATGGATGCCAATTGTTGTTATTATTGTTGATTTGGGCAGATATGGCAAGAACTGCCTGATCCAGTTTGAGGACTTTGCCAACACCAACGCCTTCCGTCTTCTCAGAAAGTACCGTGACCATTACTGCACCTTCAATGATGACATTCAGGGTGGGTGCTTCTTGAGGTTGCTTTGCGAGTTTTGTCTGAGTAGTATGGAGTACACAGGCATCGTTAGCGTCGTTGTGGAGAATATGAGGAAGACAACAAATTTGACCATGATACTTGCCTCGTTCGTGTATCAGTCCTCTCTGCTTACTCAGATACGATTCCTGTACCAATCCTCATCACTTTACTCATTCCCTTCTATCATTACTACCACTACCATGGTTACTGTTCAACTGAACGTCACGCGTTGATTCCTCCACCCATGTTGTGGACTCGGTCTACCAGACACTGACTAATTTGTCTCATTCATATGGTGCATACTCACCACACTGCAGGTCACATCAACACACCCACTCACTCACCACACTGCAGGTCACATCAACACACCCACTCACTCACCACACTGCAGGTCACAACAACACACACCCCACTCACCACACTGCAGGTTACAACAACACACCCACCCACTCACCACACTGCAGGTCACATCAACACACTCACCCACTCACCACACTGCAGGTCACATCAACACACCCACTCACTCACCACACTGCAGGTCACAACAACACACACCCCACTCACCACACTGCAGGTCACAACAACACACCCACCCACTCACCACACTGCAGGTCACATCAACACACTCACCCACTCACCACACTGCAGGTCACATAAACCCACCCACTCACTGCTCACTCACCACACCGCAGGTCACCTGACTTCTCTTTCTGTGTCTTCCCTCACACCCGCTCCACTTTGGAATTCTCTCCCATCGTTTCTTTTCCAGAGATATTTGAATAACCTCGGCCAATTCAAGAAACGTGTATAACTCTTGTATCTTACAACTCTATCGTGCTGTTTGTTGCTGGCCGCTAGACGTTTTGGGCCATTGGGACTGTCATTAATTTAGCTTGCATCACCTAACCACCACGTGTTGTTGGGTCGCTTAATATTCAAGGCACGGCAGCGGTGGCGTTAGCGGGCATTCTGGCGGCTTTGCGAATCACAAAGAACCGTCTCTCGGACCACAAGTTCCTGTTCCAGGGAGCGGGCGAGGTGAGAGCAGCAATGCGGCTTGTTGGAGCTGTTTGTACGTTCGATATTTGATCATGTTGAATACCTCGTGATTTAGTGACCTCGTGTTGTCGAGAATCAAGGATACATTAAATACATTAATTAATATGTTGGCGATAATTGAGGATATGGTGAATACCTTTATGAGATATATTGTCAACAATCAAACATAATAAAAACCCTTAGCAACAAATACTGTACAGTATCATATTTCCCTCTTGGAAACGTCTTATAGGTGTCACTAACTGACGATCAACGGCTGTTATCAAACTCATTAAAGTCTAATTTTGTAAAAAAAAAAATCATATTTCAGCAGGAGCCCGGTACAGGGCACAAACCACGACGTAGGGAGTAGTGGGGTGGGGGTACAGAAACTGCCCGATGTTCGAACACTGTGCTCCTGAATTTAGAGAAGGGGGGTGATCAGGCTCGCTGCTGCAGGGTTCATGTAAAAATAATGTATACGGGAAGTGGAAGCTGAGGAAATAGGAACTTAAGAAACAAAGTGGAGGGAGCGGGGCGGTGGGGGGCACTTAGGAATTAATAACTTACACGTGCTTGGTGAATGTATCAACCTGCCATCGTCCCTGAGAGCGGTGATTGCCTCCCGTCCAAACGCCAGGGGAAGTAAGGTAATCCTCGTGCCGAGCTAAAGTCCATTTTTAAAAACCTTCCTTACCAAGGAACCCGAGGACAGAAAAACTTTAGCAATCTTATAAATTGCGTAAGTTAAGGCTTGTGATAACTAGCATTCTGCAGGGAAGTTTCGACGATAAAGCGTCATTAAATTCGGAGATAACATAAGGGTGATCAGGACTGCTCGTACCTCTCTTGTCAAAATGTGCAAGGGTTATTAATTAAATGACATACTTTTACAAATTAATAACGATAACATCTATGATATCGAAAACATTAATTACAAATATATATATTTTTAAACATAATCATTTTGCCTTAGACCAGATGGAGCACGTGGAGAGATGACATCATGGAAGCCTTATTCTTGGGTCTTTCGGTAAAGTCACGTAGATAGGTTCAAAGAAAATTACATAATATTATTTTGTTATTTTCTTTGAACCTATCTACGTGACTTTACCGAAAGACCTACAAATATGAATTCCTGCAGTCATGAAAGCTTTAAGTCAAAATCATGTAAGCCATGTTGCATGGGGCGGGGGTCTTCCTGGCAGCTGATTGGCTGATGCAGTGGGAGTGATGACGTAACCCCGAGCGACGGCCGGCACGCCCACAGCATTGCTATATCACTATCACACCTCACGTCTCCTTGAGTTGTAATCAGGTTTTTTTCTTAACGGCAATTTGGTTCTTACTACAGTCGTTCACTGAATGCCAGAGTTTCCGAGTTTTTCTTTCTGTACTCGGGCCCCTGCACCTTTGTTACCGCTGCACTGTGTGTGTGCATGCAGTGTACGTGCCATGTTTTACACTGCAATTTGACGTCGCTTTCAGGCGGCGATGGGCATTGCGGGGCTGCTGGTGATGGGCATGGAGGTGGAGGGGACACCGAGGCAGAAGGCACTTTCGCGCATCTGGATGCTTGATTCCAAAGGACTTATCATTAAGGTGAGGGACGGGGTTCTGAATTGCCGTGTCAAGATAACTATTTTTAAGGCAACTAGCACCTGGGTGGAACCATTCCAGATCTATATTTCGGCTTGGAATAGTATCTTAGCCAGGCTCGATATGGGCTTGCCACCTTTTTCCACAGACCAAAGATATATTTCCCAGTCTATGTCTAGAAAAAAAACACTCTTGTGCCATCTACTGCAATCAAGATCAACATATTACCACCAGATCTCTGTACAAATCTATTCCTGCTGCGCCAACACAGATGCCAATTCCCGAACTGTACCGGTTCAAACCTGGAGAGGAGGTGGCATCCTTCGTTATATGCCATGCACACATGTGATTTTACTCCTTGTTTGGTGATGAAACAACGAATAATGTATTTCTTCATGCCTGAGCTTGACGTTGATTGCCAGTGTCACGCAAGGATAGCATTGAAAACGTGGATTCGAATGGTTGTGTTTCACCTCTGTACGGTAAGTGTTGCTTGTGTCTGCCATGTATGTGAATGTTCTGTAACCCTATTTACGTATCTCCTTTCAGGTGTACGTATGTATGTTCAACTTCTTTCCCACCGTACGCTAATCGGAGGTGTGATATTAGAATAACATTTTTGCCCAGAGAAATGCTGTGTTAGTGCGTGTGTGAGTTTTCGTTTCTGTGTTGGGTGTGCATGACAGAGCCGGGATAATCTGACCTCAGAGAAGAAAGAGTTTGCTCAAGACCACCCCGCAGTGACCACGCTCTCTGAGGCCGTGCACACGCTTCGACCAACCGCGCTCATCGGTGCGTCGAGGAACAACATTCAAGTGGCACAAAACTGACGAGTCCTATATTTTACGCTCAAAAGTGTGAATATCCAGACATGTTCATGTCGGTAGTGTAGCGAGTTCGATCCCCGCTCATGGCCAACACCAGTGACGATTATCTGAACCTGTTCTGGGCCTCTCCTAGATCGACTCAGCCTCAAATGAGCACCTCGTGCGGTGTGTAATTATTGCCACTGGGCAGACAAAGGCGCTCTGCCGTGTTGCTGGCCACCCACCCCCTTGTGTGCTGTGCTGGCCTTCATAGGTGCTGACTAACAGCATTTGCCCCAACAGTCTGTTAAGGCTATACCGGGGATCTTTGTCTTGTCTGCGTAAATATGAGGGGGATGCAGGTGTGCTCCCCTACTGTAGCTCTAGGAGGGGTTTAGCATCGATCAAGCAGTTTAATATTTCCGTAGAGTCATTCGCCCACGTTCGTATCCATGTGTTTACATGTGTGTCAGATCAGGGCTGATTTGTTGGCCCTGTCCATTTATGGGAATTGCGCCATATTAGCTTCTTGTGCTCAGGTATATGTGCACCATTCTATTTTTGCTCAGAGAAATGGTGCTTGAAGTAATCCACAATTTAAGACAAATGGATTTTTGCTCAACGTTTCTCATGAAAATCACTCAATCAGAATGATAATGTTTATTTATGAGCTTTCATTTGTGGCCAGGTCGCTTCTGAAAAATGTCTAAAAGCTCAGTGGGCTTTACCTGGTAAAATAAGAATAGGATCGTTTTAGTTTATTTATTTTTAGTGATATGCTTACCTTTCCTTTACTTTGCACTTCCATCGTTTTTTGTATTGTTTATTGTTGTAACTGTCTCACCCGCCCCGATCGAACATCTGCAAAAAGAGCTTCACAGCTCATCAGATTTCTCCAAGATAAATACAGTTTCCAATTCACGAATCGAGCTTCTTATTCATACGTACAGTAGAACCCCTATTAACGACCACCCCTGTTAATGACTAATCGCCTAATGACGGGCCTCCATAGAGCCCAATGTGTAATGTATAGTAGTGTAGTGTATAGTAGTGTATTGTGTAATGAATAGTATTGTAGAGTATAGTAGTGTATAGTAGGATAGTGTATAGTAGCGTAGAGTAGAACCCCTACAAACGACCACCCTTGTTAACGACTAATCGCTTAACGACGGGCCTCCATAGAGCCCAATGTGTAGTGTACAGTGGTGTAGTGTATAATTTAGTGTATAGTGTAGTTTATAGTGGAGTGTAGAGTAGTATAATGTATTATGTAATGTATAGTATTGTATAGTAACGACAGGCCTCCATAGAGCCTAATGTGTAGTGTACAGTGGTGTAGTGTATAATTTAGTGTATAGTGTAGTTTATAGTGGAGTGTAGAGTAGTATAGTGTATTATGTAATGTATAGTATTGTATAGTAACGACAGGCCTCCATAGAGCCTAATGTGTTCACTTACCGACCATTCCCCTGTTAACGACGGGCTGTTGTCGGTACAGTCAATATTAATTAATACATCGATTAACCATGTTTCTTTTAATATTATGTGTTTATAATGTTGTTGATATCTTTATGTATTAATATCCATTGTTACAATGTTATAAAGTAGTTTTGTGGGTGAAAAAGGGTAACTGTTGATGCTATTGGACCGAATCAAGTCTTAAACGTGTATTTCTCATACTCGATTAACCAAATCACCGAATGACAGGTTTAATGGAACCAATTACCATCGTTAAGAGGGGGTTCTACTGTAGTTTGTGTTCGCCGAGAAGTCCCCAGGGCCTCATGGTTTGCATCGTGGTTCTGCACAGGTGTCGCAGCCATCGCAGGAGTGTTCACGGAAGCCATCTTGCGCGATATGGCCTCTTTCAATGAGCGGCCGATCGTGTACGCGCTCAGCAACCCGACCAGCAAGGCGGAGTGCACGGCTGAGCAGTGCTACAAAGCCACCCAGGTAAAGTAGAGTTCCTACCACAGCCAGTGTGTTATGGTTGATACCACATCCCAGTGTATTATGGTTGATACTGCAGCCCAGGGTATTATGGTTGATACTACACCCCAGGGTATTATGGTTGATACTACAGCCCAGGGTATTATGGTTGATACTACATCCCAGTGTATTATGGTTGATACTGCAGCCCAGGGTATAATGGTTGATACTACACCCCAGGGTATTATGGTTGATACTACAGCCCAGGGTATTATGGTTGATACTACACCCCAGGGTATTATGGTTGATACTACAGCCCAGGGTATTATGGTTGATACTACAGCCCAGGGTATAATGGTTGATACTACACCCCAGGGTATTATGGTTGATACTACAGCCCAGGGTATTATGGTTGATACTACACCCCAGGGTATTATGGTTGATACTACAGCCCAGGGTATTATGGTTGATACTACAGCCCAGGGTATTATGGTTGATACTACAGCCCAGGGTATTATGGTTGATACTACAGCCCAGGGTATTATGGTTGATACTGCATCCCAGTGTATTATGGTTGATACTACAGCCCAGGGTATTATGGTTGATACTACAGCCCAGGGTATTATGGTTGATACCACATCCCAGTGTATTATGGTTGATACTACAGCCCAGGGTATTATGGTTGATACTGCAGCCCAGGGTATTATGGTTGATACTACAGCCCAGGGTATTATGGTTGATACTACAGCCCAGGGTATTATGGTTGATACTACAGCCCAGGGTATTATGGTTGATACTACAGCCCAGGGTATTATGGTTGATACCACATCCCAGTGTATTATGGTTGATACTACAGCCCAGGGTATTATGGTTGATACTACAGCCCAGGGTATTATGGTTGATACCACATCCCAGTGTATTATGGTTGATACTACAGCCCAGGGTATTATGGTTGATACTACAGCCCACTGTATTATGGTTGCTACCACAGCCCACTGTATTATGGTTGCTACCACAGCCCACTGTATTATGGTTGATACCACATCCCAGTGTATTATGGTTGATACTACAGCCCAGGGTATTATGGTTGATACCACATCCCAGTGTATTATGGTTGATACTGCAGCCCAGTGTATTATGGTTGACACTACAGCCCACTGTATTATGGTTGCTACCACAGCCCACTGTATTATGGTTTAACACGTAGGCTTTCGCAACCAATATTATTCATAATCAACGTTTTTGGGTTAGATCGCGTTATGTATAAATGTGTCGTAACCCTCCACCTCTAACGTAGCATATAATTACAATAACACACATTACAACTGATTACTAATCTACAACTCACATCGTAACAATTGCCTGATTACTAATCTAGTATATAATTACAATAAACCCCCCCCCCTCCGCGTCAAATCGTTGCACCTGATGAGTTAAATGATTATTTCACCCTGCTGCTGCTCTATTTAAGACCGGGAGCAAGAGCAGAGCCTCACCATTCTGGCGAATTGCCCGATGATTCTGAATGCAATTACCAGCGAAACGTCGTACTCAAAAATTGTAAATGTTGTGGATTCACACTTCAACACACCGGTGGGCTAAGGTAGTGAACTATTTGTCTTTTGTCAACGTGACACTTTTTTGCTGATTGGCCGTGTCGGGTGGTGGAGGGTTATGACACATTTATAAATAACGCGATCTAACCCAAAAACGTTGATTATGAATGATTATGTATTATGGTTGCTGCCACAGCCCACTGTATTATGGTTGCTATCACAGCCCATGGCAGTCTGTTAAAGACGATGCGGGGGGATCTTTGCCCTTGTATACGTACGCAGGGTCAAGCGATTTTCGCAAGTGGAAGTCCATTTGGCGAGGTGAAGCTGGCAGATGGACGCGTGTTCCACCCTGGCCAGGGTAACAATGCGTACATCTTTCCCGGTGCCGCGCTGGGCACTATTGCCTGCGGTCTGCGCCACATCCCCGACCAGATCTTTCTGTGCAGTGCACAGGTGAGTAACGTCACATGGGCGCACATCACTCCATGCATCTCACTGGTTTGGACTGATGTCATCTTCTCCTTCTGCATCGTGGGGGTTTTCTCTGGTTGCTCAAGTTTCCTCCCACGTGCATACACACTCATTATTCGGCTATACATATCTTAATATAGAGAGGACTTTAAAGCTTGTTTAATCATTTGCTCCAGCTCACTGCCTGGCTGCCCTAATGCTTGTCTGTGGTTGCTCAGCATTTTTAGATCCAGTGCACATGAATGAAGAGATACAAAAATTTAATATTAACCATTACTTTGATGGTCTGTGGTTTGGTTGGCGTAGTATATTTCTTTTGTTGTGTACTTGTCATCCAGGTGATTTAGATATGATTACCTATGTTGAATACCAATGCTTGAATGTGTCTGGTAATTTGTCATGGCAGGCACTGGCAGGGCAGGTGACCGACAAACATTTGGCTGAAGGGAGACTTTTCCCACCTCTTAACACTATTCGCGATGTCTCCTTCAACATAGCTCTCAAGGTGAGCATTCATACAGTCTGCTATAAAAGTCGCACTCATTACACACAGAGTGCTTGCTTAAATTAACCACAATACCTTGCTGATCTCGTTAAAGAGCATAACCATCACGCAAACTCCGGTCATCCTCACACCGGCTTTTTGCTAACCATCAAACAAAGACGGTCAATGTGTCGCACGCTTTCAGATGCGCTTCTGCAGCCGTCTGGAACGCTCTTCCATCCGATATTAGGAAGCCACTGGAGCTATGCACTTTTACATCTAAATTGAGAACTAATTTCTTTAGAACTACTTTTTGTGTTAGTTTGTTGTTCTTCCCCGCACAATTGTTTAGCACGGTTGGCTACAAACAGTTCAAAAGATGTTAAACATACATTAATACATACAAATATCGCAGTTTACCTGGTGGCCATTGACTGTGATTGTCTTTAAAGAGATGCAATACAATGTTTAACCTGTGTACGCACCTTAAGTATGGCAATATGCAAACTTAAAAAGTGCTCAAACATATATGGGCCAATGTTCGCCTACTGTGATGGTCTTTATTCAGTTATGGAAATTCCATATTCTCATTGCAAAAGCCAGTCCATGTGTAGTGACATGGAATGGGTCACTATGGTGCGTGGCGCTGGTTGCTGGCAGAGAAGGGGATCTGTGGGTTGTAGCAGCCCTGTCTGCCAGCAGGTCATGTGATTGGCAGGAGACAGGGATGTGGGGCAAAGGTGATAGAGGGGGCACGTGAGGCAAAGCCCGGGAACCTTCTAGTAGGTTCTAGAAGGGGGCGGGGCCGGAGGCGGAGTGAGGCAACGTTGGGGGGATAAAAGGAGGACTCAGAGCAAGGTTCGGGGCTGTTGTTTGGAGTGGAACCCGTCGTGCTGCTGGAGTCTTTGTCACCATCTTCACGTCATCGACATTGTTAGTCACACCATAGTGTAGTTACTCCTTGTACCTGTGAAGGCAATAATAAATAGTGCCTCCTACTATTAGTGTCTCTGAGTGACTCACTGCACATGCATAGGACAACCATCGATTGCATTCCAAAAAAATCGGCATTTGTTGTGTTGACCTCACAGGGATTACGGGCCAAGTTAACCATTTGAATGCGTGACCATCCAGATGTGAATCTAGTACTCTGCAACTCAGCTAGGTACATGTTTGTTATCCTCCAGAGGACAAATTGTTTTTAATATGAAAAAAGGCTCTGAGAACTGTACTGCTAAGTTATCAATTCATGATAAAATACAATTGGTTGGCATATCTATCTCACTTTGTCTTTTCACCACGATTCCGTCTCGTTTCACTGAATGTTGCGATGGCTCCGTTATGCCTTCTCTGTGATTCCCCCTTTAATCCCACGTTTTACGTAACACCCTGTCACTCCTGACTCGTCATTGTCCCCACATTCCTCCCTTGTCGCACCCAAACCCCACGCGTTTGCAGGTCGTGGAGGAGGCATACCGCATCGGCCTCGCCTCGGTACTTCCCGAGCCAGTGGATAAGCGCGCCCTCATTCAGTCGCATTTCTTTAGCCCCGAGTACATATCTTTCTTGCCAGATATATACACATGGCCCACACACACTGCCAGCACACAATGAGCGCGCCACCAGAACTTTAACTGCCCACGAAGCATGTAATGATGCGTGGATCCATCAATTAAAACGCATTATTTCTCTCGCAATACATACAGCACATTCAATTGTCAGAATCTCCCCAAAAATGTGATTTGCATATATGTTGCATCATGTGCAGCCAGGGGTTATTCAATTCAATCTTAAAACATGAATGGATTTTTCTATTGAATTGTGACCCTGAAAATTTGACAATTCATTAAATCATAAAAGTGGGGGGAGGGGGGCATCTTTAGATGTCTCATGCCCCCCCACTGCCACCCTGAGGCCCAGCCTTATGCCTTGCTCGCTTAGCAGAGCTCTGATTTTGGTTCTAAAACATCAATAGAACTTTCAAACACGAAAGTAAAGGATGATGGCGATGCAATGGTGGTGACGACAGCCACTGATTAACAGACACCCACCGTTTGAATTGATGTCACCGACTGTCGTGATATTCTAGCATTGTGCAATGCTATATTGTGAATGTGTTCAATTTAGGAACTGTAAACAAAATGTTGAATTGTAAAAATGGATCAGCTTGATTACTCAAATGCAATGTCTATTTGCACTAAATTATTGTGCAGCTAAGTAAATTATGCCGTTGTTAAGCAATTGCCTTTGAACCTGTGTGGTGATGTAATGTGAAATGCAATGGGAAATAAAGAGAAAAATAACCCACGGTATTGAGTATGATCAGTTAAAAAATGAGTGTTGGCAATTTATACAGTGTTCACATTTGTTTTTACGGAAATCTAAATTCCAAATATTATTACCTTGAAAGGAAAGATGGGAAAATAACCAACAAGAAATTATTTATATTTGGGAGGGTTCATTTTCAACATTTTCCAGAAATTATGCAAAGAGAAATGATCCACTCGGCTGGGTTCATGAGTAATTTGTTCGCGAATTTTCCAGGAGGAATGGGTGGGGTGCCATTTTGCACCCAACCTCGGGTTGTCACCTGCCTGGGTTTGACTTGGACAGCCCCGAGAATTAGCATCCGTGTTCAGACTGCAGGAATAGATTTGTACCGAGATCTGGTAGTGGTATTGTGTTGAACTTTACTACAGGACGCTGCACAGCTTTCATAGACCTGGGCTAACTGAGAAACGTGTCTGGGTTTGCGCTGTGGAAAGGGTAATCAACCCTTGACCAACGTGGGCAGGCAATCGTAAATAAGCTCGAGGTGTGACAGGCATTCTGGCGCAGGTGTCGGCGCAACTCTGCGAGGATCCTTTTTTTGGCGCGCATGTACACTCGCGTAGGTAAATCAAGTCGTGTGTTTGTCAAATAGCTATGTGCCTGCAAAGTGACAACAGTGGGCTCATTTTACAAAACCGTGGCCACACTTGTACGGTGCTGGACCAACTCTCTAACTTGCAAGGCGGTGTGGTGAGCAGCACCAGTAGTTGAGTGCAGCTGCTTTATTGTCACACGTGTACGTACGTGCATCGAGATGAAGGTCGATAGGTCAACATAGCTAATGCCGCTGTACCTCGCCATCCCTTCTGCCTGATCCTAAAACAACATTATCTGCGCCAGTGTGGCCCCCCTCTGTAAAGTAGTGACACTGCTGTACGCAAAGTGCGTGAGCAAGTTTTCGCATTAGGCTACTGTTCAGACATTGCGACGTGCCAGTGAAGGACCCACCGAGGCACCAGAGGAGGATATAAAAGAACTATTTTATAATTTGGACATGGTATCCAAGCATGATGTCCTCCTATTGATAGGGACTTCGAGGCCCAGGTAGGAGTCAATTATGACGAGTGCATGTACTGGGGCGGCATTGTGTAAGCAGGGATGTGATATCGGGGTGTGGGGGGGGGCACCGCTGTAACTCTCCGCCGACGTGCACAGCTGACTAACAAATGCAATTGGCTGTGTTGGGTGGTGGCGGGTTTAACAACACATTTATATTTACGCGATTAACCCAAAAAAACATGTATTACGGATACCGACTGCAACAAATCCACCAGCACTCGGGTAGACCATATAGATGGTCTACCCGAATTGTTGCGTTGTGTTCCAGCGTTCTCTGTCATGCTGGAACTCTGCTCGTAAGAAAAACACACACCGTGTTCCAACGATGTGGCTATTTACTGATGTGCCATCTGCACGCAACATGTCCCCAAGTCCACGCACGCGCAATGCCTCACTTCTCCAAGAGTCCCGGGTAGAATTTCCAGAATGATGCCAGATTTATGCTTTCATAACATGAGGCAGAGTTCAATTCAAATTTCAACAGTTGTAGTTTAGCAGCCAATAGGAATCATCTATTCTAGGTTTTAAAAAGAAATAGGCTTTCACGACCAATCGCATCCATGATAGGTTTTTTTGGGTAAGATAACGTAAATATAAATGTGTCATTAAACTCGCCATCACCGAACAGCCAGTTAGTAAGGTTTGTCACGTATACAAAACATGTCAATTAGTTACTAGTTCAGCACACAGGTGTGTTGGAGAGTAAAACCACAATGTTTACAATTTAAGTACGACGTACTCGAATTGGCTGTCGCAGGATAAGTTGTTCTTGGTGGGTGGGGCTCAATCTCCAAGAAAGAATTGGAGTTAATACCTGGCCACTGCTGAGATGTATTGTAAGGTCACGAACCGGTTGAATGCACCTCACCATAGAAAACTTGAAAAACACACTTGTAGAAACGTTTCTTTCAAACATAATTCATAACAGGCAATTGCTATGTCTTCGTTCTGGCAGGCAGGAAAAAGCAACAATTTTGAAACGCGTTTATAGTTAAAGATGCACGCATCGTTACCCTGGCCGGAATTTAGTTTTTACAACCGGTTCAAGGAGGCGGTAGATGTTGTGTGGATCGCAGCGACAACGCCATTGTCTAGGACGTCACCGCAGTCGCAGTTACGTAATTTATTTGATATCCAATTTGTGAAAGGTGTATACACGCCTTTATCCCATGTCGTTGCGTTCCAGGCAATCACAGAGCTGTCATATGCGGAACAGCACAGGGGGATGCTCCTGGAACCAGGTTACTTGGGGGTTTGTAGCGGCGAGAGACGTAACACAGTGTGAACAGGAGTCACACAAGCCGATGGTAAGACTGAGGCTGTTGGGTTTTTTTAAATCCGTAATTGTGGAATGATTTGATGCTGACTGCCGGCCGAATCGCCCTTGAATAAGCTTCTTAGCTCAATGAGCCCTACTCGGGAAATACACTTCTTATTCTGACATTGTCCCCAGGGAACAACATTAGACATCCGTTCTTAAAACCAGAGCACACAGGGCTGAATATATCAATTGAGAGCATGAAGTAGCTGCTGCAGCGATAAGAGTGAAGATAATGAGTAAGGTAATCTGTTTAACACGTAGGCTTTCGCGACCAATATCATCCATAACATAGGTGTTTTAGGTTAGATCTCGTAAATATAAATGTGTCGTTAAACCCGCCACCACCAAACACAGCCAAGGTTTGTCGCGTAATGAGAACATGCCAATTCGTTACTAGTATAGCACACTGGTGTGTTGGAGAGCAAATCCACAACATTTACAATGTGAGTACGCTTACCCCTTAGGTAGATACACTCTGGAAGCGTAAGAGGTTAAAGTGCTCAAAGTGAAGAAGCCATAGAGAGGGCGAGGAAAGTAACGCAGAAGCTTCTCGGTAATGAAAATTGGGAATGCCAGGAGTGGATGCTGATTTTGTCTTGATGGTGGAGTGAGTCTGGTCGACCAATGCACGGGTGAGTACGGGAGTGAGGCTTGGTTAAGTCATTGGGTGACACTAGTGAATGGTAGATCGAGGCTGATAGCCTAAGGCACGGATGAGTGATGGAGTGAGGCTCTATTAAGAGGTGGAGGCCGGTAGACCAGGGCACGGGTGAGTGGTGGAGTGAGACTGGTATGTTGCGCACTCGAAATGGAGGACGTGGGCAGGTGGTCCAAATCAAGGGCAAAGACATTTATTGTGTTCAATCTGTAAAATGCAACATCACGTGTGTCACACACAGCAATCCTCAACCGATTCGCCATTAACCATGTGACTGGTGTACCAGTCCGGTTAATCAATAACAGTTTCACTTAAACCCAATTCAACTACTGATAAACCATTTTTGTCTTTGACAATAACCTTTGCACGTCACTATTCGAATATTACTTTAATCCCAAGCTAAATGTCTATCTACAGTGAGGGAAAAAAGTATTTGATCCCCTGCTGATTTTGTACGTTTGCCCACTGACAAAGAAATGATCAGTCTATAATTTTACACCCATTATCGGTACTGTATGTGTACAGTATACATAATGTACTTGTCACCATTGTACAACTTACGACTGTATATGTGGTCTATTCTCAATAGCATTGCAAGTAGTCATACTCTGGGTGCATGGGCATGGATATAGAATAAACAATATTAGGGTTAGATAATTACAAGTATTAACTACAGTATGTCATCCTTTACAGTGCACAGTGCTAAAACCCCTCCTATTGAATATATCACAAACTAACATTTAAAAGCCAAGCTTGAAGTCTAGAACAAGTCTAGAACATTTATATAACGATCAAAAACAACCTTTGGGTCCTTTACTTGTAAAATGCCACAGCACGTGGTGTCACACACAGCAATCCTCAACTGAGTCGCCATTAACCACGTGACTGGTGTACAAGTGGGGTTAATCAATAACCCTGCCAGCCACCCACAGGCCCAACTCAGTTATCGCAGGCTGGTGTACACACGTGCATTGATGTACTGCACAGCACATCAGGACTTTCATAAAACCACACTTTACTCCCAAGCTGCACGAAAAAATAATTAAAAGAGTGGTTAATTCCTAACGCGCCACAGGTTGACCAGGGCACGGGTGAGTGGTGGGGTGGGACTGGTAGACCACGGCACGGGTGAGTGGTGGGGTGGGAACGGTAGACCACGGCACGGGTGAGTGGTGTGGTGGAACTGGTAGAACACGGCACGGGTGAGTGGTGGGGTGAGACTGGTAGACCACGGCACGGGTGAGTGGTGGGGTGAGACTGGTAGACCACGGCACGGGTGAGTGGTGGGGTGGGAACGGTAGACCACGGCACGGGTGAGTGGTGTGGTGGAACTGGTAGAACACGGCACGGGTGAGTGGTGGGGTGAGACTGGTAGACCACGGCACGGGTGAGTGGTGGGGTGAGACTGGTAGACCACGGCACGGGTGAGTGGTGGGGTGGGAACGGTAGACCACGGCATGGGTGAGTGGTGTGGTGGAACTGGTAGAACACGGCACGGGTGAGTGGTGGGGTGAGACTGGTAGACCACGGCACGGGTGAGTGGTGAGGTGGGACTGGTAGATCACAGCACGGGTGAGTTTTGGGGTGAGACTGGTAGACCACGGCACGGGTGAGTTTTGGGGTGAGACTGGTAGACCACGGCACGGGTGAGTGGTGGGGTGAGACTGGTAGACCACGGCACGGGTGAGTGGTGGGGTGGTACTGGTCGACCACAGCATGGGTGAGTGGTGGGGTGGGACTGGTAGACCACATCACGGGTGAGTGGTGGGGTGGGACTGGTCGACCACGGCACGGGTGAGTGGTGGAGTGAGACTGTTAGACCACGGCACGGGTGAGTGGTGGGGTGAGGCTGGTAGACCACGGCACGGGTGAGTGGTGGAGTGAGACTGTTAGACCACGGCATGGGTGAGTGGTGGGGTGAGGCTGGTAGACCACGGCACGGGTGAGTGGTGGGGTGAGGCTGGTAGACCACGGCACGGGTGAGTGGTGGGGTGATGGCTGGTAGACCACGGCAACGGGTGGAGGGGTGGGTGAGGCTGGTAGACCACGGCCCGGGTGAGTGGTGGGGTGTGAACGGTTGACCACGGCACGGGGTGAGTTGGTGGGAGTGAGAACTGTTGACCACGGCACGGGTGAGTGGTGGGTGGGGCTGGTAGACACAGCACGGGTGAGTGGTGGGGTGAGATGCTAGACCACGGCACGGGTGAGTGGTGGGTGGACTGGTAGACCACGGCACGGGTGAGTGGTGGGTGGGACTGGTAGACCACGGCACGGGTGAGTGGTGGGTGGGACTGTAGACCACGGCACGGGTGAGTGGTGGGTGGGACTGGTAGACCACGCACGGGTGAGTTGGTGGGGTGAGACTGGTAGACCACGGCACGGGGAGTGGGGAGGTGAGACTGGTAGACCACGGCAGGGTGAGTGGTGGGGTGGACTTGGTAGACCACGGCACGGGTGAGTGGTGGAGTGAGACTGGTAGACCACGGCACGGGTGAGTGGTGGGGTGGGACTGGTCGACCACGGCACGGGTGAGTGGTGGGGTGAGGCTGTTAGACCACAGCACGGGTGAGTGGTGGGGTGAGGCTGGTAGACCACGGCACGGGTGAGTGGTGGAGTGAGACTGTTAGACCACAGCACGGGTGAGTGGTGGGGTGAGGCTGGTAGACCACGGCACGGGTGAGTGGTGGGGTGAGGCTGGTAGACCACGGCACGGGTGAGTGGTGGGGTGGGAACGGTTGACCACGGCACGGGTGAGTGGTGGAGTGAGACTGTTAGACCACGGCACGGGTGAGTGGTGGGTGGGGCTGGTAGACCACAGCACGGGTGAGTGGTGGGGTGAGACTGGTAGACCACGGCACGGGTGAGTGGTGGAGTGAGGCTGGTAGACCACGGCACGGGTGAGTGGTGGAGTGAGGCTGGTAGACCACGGCACGGGTGAGTGGTGGGGGGACTGGTAGACCACGGCACGGGTGAGTGGTGGGTGGGGACTGGTAGACCACGGCACGGGTGAGTGGTGGGGTGGACTGGTAGACCACGGCACGGGTGAGTGGTGGGTGGGACTGGTAGACCACGGCACGGGTGAGTGGTGGGGTGAGACTGGTAGACCACGGCACGGGTGAGTGGTGGTGGAGTGGGACTAGTAGATCACAGCACGGGTGAGTGGGGGGTGGGGCTGGTAGACCACGGCACGGGTGAGTGGTGGGGGGCTGGTAGACCACAGCACGGGTGAGTGGTGGGGTGAGACTGGTAGACCACGGCACGGGTGAGTGGTGGAGTGAGGCTGGTAGACCACGGCACGGGTGAGTGGTGGAGTGAGGCTGGTAGACCACAGCACGGGTGAGTGGTGGGGTGGGACTGGTAGACCACGGCACGGGTGAGTGGTGGGGTGGGACTGGTAGACCACGGCACGGGTGAGTGGTGGGGTGGGCTGGTAGACCACGGCACGGGTGAGTGGTGGGTGGGACTGGTAGACCACAGCACGGGTGAGTGGTGGGGTGGGGCTGGTAGACCACGGCACGGGAGGGGGGGGGGTGAGGCTCGGGCGAGTGGTGGGGTGGAGGGCTCGGGCGAGTGGTAGGCGCAGTGGGCTGAGGCTGGTATCCCCCCCCTATATAAGGCCGCGCCATCCATGAGCCGCCAGACTCGAGTACAATGGCGGCGTCTTGTCTCTGTGCCGTTTTCGGCCTCCTCGCTTTGCTCTCTCTCTTCCTCGTCTCTGCCATGGCGAACGAAGCCCGCGGGTGCTTCTCTCCGGCGCACGACAGACACCTCATGGGAGTGAGGTGAGAGAGAGAGGCAGAGAGACAGGGAGCCCAGTCACTCTGAGCAGCGCTTGTGAGTTACTGCGGACGTACTGTACCGGCACAGGAATGTGGAGTGTGCAACTGAGCGTACGTGGAAAGTGGCTGGCGCAGTAGTTCGACCAACATTGGCGAATATCGGAACCGGTCTTGGGTCTCCCTTAGGTCGACTCGGCCTTGACTGTTTAAACATCCGCGCGGTCACCAGTGACCCTCACGCAGGAGGCCCACGGGCTCTGGGTTCTCAAGTCTCACGAGTTGGTGGTTTTTAGCCCGATCACCAATGACTGGCACAGACACACCACATGTACCATGTACGACCGTCTTGTCTCACTCTCACCATTGTCCAATACTTGTGTGACGCACCAACAACCTCTCCGTGGGAGGCTGCTTATCGGGGATGTTTCTCAAATCACCACAGATTTGACATTTAGGTGTTTTTATTGTGAAACTTAACTTTGGGAATGTCCAAACCCTTCCTGTCCTTTGGTTTATAATGAATACAGTTTAACACGTAGGCTTTCGCGACTAATGTTATTCATAATCAACGTTTTTGGGACACATTTTTACTGATTGGCCGTGTCGGGTGGTGGAGGGTTACGACACATTTATAAATAAACGCGATCTAAACCCAAAAACGTTGATTATGATTATACTGAATACAGTACGCAAACAACTTGCTTCCTTCTCAAACCCGTGCCACCGCAAAAAACCCAAAGTACTTGTTTAGACATCCCATCGGCCACACGGCCTTCTGAAAGGGCGATTTGGGCTGCAATTGGGACAGCTCTGGGCTGATTTCGACATTAAATGTCTTATCTGTTGAGTCACATTTGCTTGACAAAGACTTTAACAGACTTTTGGAGCAAATGCTGTTAGCGAGTAGCATCATTGGTTCAACAAACACTCTTGTTTAGATTTGGCTTAAAGTGTTGCTCCTTTCATTAACGATTTTCGGTTGAAGGGACTAATGTATTATTAACTGGACGAGCCTCTGAGTCTACGGGACTTGCACAGCTGTGTCTATGGGATCTTTTTTTGTCAGCATCAAAGTGTTGAAAAAAAATAATAGGCGTTTATCCTTCGGAAATGAAACGGAGAGGCGTTAAGATGTTAAAATAACCAAAAGATACATTTTTTTCGCAAGGCGTCAAGTCTGTATTAATCACACATACTTGTGGCCAAACATGCTCTGATGATTATGAATGCAGTCTTTGAAACTGGCCTACACCAGTGCCGGCAGCCTTTGTTGTGGCCATGTCTCACCAGTTCTATATCTACGTGACATTTGTGTTGCACGTTTGCCACATGAACCTCATGGCGGGACCTCAGAGTACCATTAGCCTCCGGCTCTCGCATAAACATTAGAATGTAAGCTTCAAATCTAGAATTAGAATGTAAACAAAAACTTTGCACATTTTAACTAATGGGTTTGAAGAATGGTGTCAAGTGTTGTCTTGTTAAACGATGCCTTTAAAACTGAAAACCACTTACCTGCAGTACCTCTATTCAAATACACCATCTAAAATAGAATTTACACCCCTCTGTCAATTATCGTGTTTCTCAGTGTTGATTAGTGAACACACTTTGTAAACAGTTAATAAAATAGTACGCGTTTTCAATGCTCTGTTCATATTGTAACAAGCGTTTATACCAATGTCACGCTACAGAGTAGTGGGGTCGCCACTCCTCTTAACCGCATTGATACGAGCGGTATGTGGCGACTATGGCTTAACCGCAGAAAAGCCAATCTGCACAGATGCATACGGACACGAGAAGTATTATCAAACAGGAGGAATTAACGGTGCAACGCATCTCATCTGTTAAATATCTGGACACGACAGGACAGGAGAATGATCCGCGCCAGGTGGTTCATGGCGTCTATGTGCGTGGTGGGACGGAGTCGCCAAAACTAAATACATTTATTACGATTTTGACTTCCGTTTATTCGGGACCCCGGGGTCATGCCATAAGGTTCACATGTATGTGTCGTTTATGTCGACCTGACGCCTTGCAAAAGGTGTCTGCAGTATTCGGTGTTTGAACACCTGAAAACACCCGTTTTTCTTGCCAGAAAGGGGTAAAAGCCTCTTCTTATTTAACGCGGCTGTATTGTAAAAACTACCCTCATTCAGGGAAGCAAGGACTGTTAAATAAGTGCTCTCCTAGTTTCAGATTATGCCGGTGTCTTGAAGTAGAAGTGTGTAACAACACTCATTAAACACTGGAGTCGGCGATGATGATGATGATGCTGCTTGCTACGTTGGCAGTGGTTCACAGCCACGCAAACTCAACGCGTTCGTCAATAACTCTTTTACGTAAAAATAAATAAAACATTTTATACAACGCTTTTGAGCCATAGCCCTTCGAATACTCTGGTTTGCGTGCTGTGGAGTAAGGACATTGCCTGAATCGTCACCTATTCGTTTTTTTCTTTTAAGGCCACAGTTTGATTGACCAATGTTATATTGAGATAATTAAAATGAAATGTAAAAACACAAGAACCCCGTGTTACTGGGAGTGTGTTATTTTATAGAGTAAAGACCAACAGTGTACAGTATGCCATATGCCAGGTACAGTATGTCCGACGGTTCACCGTCCCCCCCATCCCCCACCACGCTCCCCAATCAACAACAATAGCCGCCATTTGCCACCAAGTGGCTGTGACCCTTCCACTGCGTTTGTGCCAGGATAGGTGCACCATACGGCCACGTCAAGGGTGGAAGTCTCGCTGGTGGGAGCTCGCGGGACAGTCCCAGTTGCCATCGGTTGACAGATGACTGGCAGATGCACCACCAGGCTCTGCTGCGTTATAGTCACCCGTCGCTTCTCCGCCTCTCCGTTGTTGCTGATGGGCGACTGCCTCCAACTGCCCAGTGGCGCCCTTCAGGGGCCTCCCCCCACCATGGAGCATTGTGTGACATGTATGCTACTTGAACATATTCTTAGATTTTTTTAGGTAAAGTCACGTAGGTAAAAACATTAAAAAGGAAAATAAAATGAAAATAAAATAAAAATCACGACGTTTCGGAGGCAACACAAGCTTCCGTCTTCAGGTGGTACCGTCACAGCCACGACGGCTGGATCAAGTAAATGAGAGATTGTAGGAGCTACCACTCCGTTTATATAATGGTTGAAGATGGTGGTGGGGCAACCATTATAACCATTATATCTTCAACCATTATATAAACGGAGTGGTAGCTCCTACAATTTCTCATTTACTTGATACAGCCGTCGTCGCTGTGACGGTACCACCTGAAGACGGAAGCTTGTGTTGCCTCCGAAACGTCGTGATTTTTATTTTATTTTCATTTTATTTTACTTTTTAATGTTTTTACCTACGTGACTTTACCGAAAAAACCTAAGAATATGAATCATTGCAGTCACGAAAGCTTCAAATCTAGAAATACTTGAACATAGTTTATACATTCTACACAATGCCTTAGTTATCGTGCATTTTCTGATACATTACGCATTGCATAACACATTCTAGAGTATAAAGTACAGTGAAACCTCGTTATTTCGGTATTTGATCATTCATATTTGTGGATAATTCGGCACGGCTGCGCTTATATGCAGTATTAGTAATTCGCCATGAGCTTAATTGCCGTACCGAAGGGTCCAATTTCGGCATGCACGTGCAGCGACTTTGCGCGCTATTACCAAAACAACGACTCAGTCTAGTGGCGGCGTACGTGGTGAGCGTTAGTGCAGACCTGTTGCTTTGGACTTCTCAGAAATGTAATCTGCAACAACATCAAGTCGTAATGGAAAGGGATTGAAGTATAAATCCCTTAGTCTGCGACACAAATCCAAAGTTTTGTATATAATTGATGCATGGTGTGTGTTTAATGTGTATGGTGTGTGGGTTTGGAAAAAAAATTGGATTTTTTTTCTATTTGTGCAGAAGGCACTGCGGAGTATCATTGTACATCATTCAGAATATTGGATAATTTGGGAAGGCCAGAGCCTCATGTGGCGAATTTACTCTACGCACATTATATTTACTGTTGTTTTGCAATTCTCACATTTTACGAATGTCTTTAGTCAGCTGACCTCGTACGGCTTATGCAAAATCCAGCTAGCCTCGGTTTTACTGTATTGAATGTACAGTGCTCTTAGCATTGTCTAGACCAGGGGTCGGCAACCAAAATAACAAGAAGAGACATTTCTTTCCAATTCGGTACAAAATTCAGTATTTCAAGAGCCGCAATGCATCTGAGTACATACTGTACGTACGTACATATCGTCAAGAAGCAGCCCGTAAAGAGCTGCATGCGGCTCCGGAGCCGTAGGTTGCCGACCCCTGGTCTAGACAACCAATTCACTTTAGGTGAATGTGTGGGCCGTACTATTGACTAAGCTCTAGACCATCAACTCGAGCCGAATGTGTATGTATGTGTGTATATCTCTGCGTGTCATGCGTCGCGTATGCATGTATGTTTTGTGTATCTTTAGGCTCGTGCATCTGTGTATCGAGCATGAGTGCGTGTACGTATTCATCTTTGTATCCATACGTATATGTGGTTGCGCACGCCTGTAATCGACCACTGTGGAGGCAGCGAGGGTTGAGGGATCGCACAAATGTGGGCATCGAGGTATCGTACCCTAGCTCATTGCTTCCATCTGTACAGGGCAAGAGAGTTACACCTTTGCGTGCATGGGGTTTTCTCCGGGTGCTCCGTTTTCCTCCCACTTGTATTAACAATCTTTAATTGGCTCAAATCCTCTTAAAATAAAAAAAACACAATGCAGGACCCTCCTGAAAACGAGTCGTATGACTTGGTATTTTCTGGATAAGTAAGGAAATCAACAAGACATTAAAATATTTGTCTCTGTGTCACCGCATGTCTCAGTGTCTTGTTTTTTGCTACCCAGTCCCTATAGGAGTAGTGTCAGTGTGTATTGTTTTATTATAATGATGATGATCATGATCGTAATATTGTGCGTGTGTTTATGTATATCTGTCTCAGTATATCCATGTGTCCATTTGTTTCCCAGGACTTACCTGTGCATGTGTGTGTGTCTCCACACCCCGGCATGTGTCTGGTTGGTAGGACCTACCCGCGGCCCCATGAGAGCATGTCTGTACAGGATCTGCCGGTCGCGTGGGACTGGAGGGACGTAGGACGGAGGAACTTTGTGAGTCCGACTCGCAACCAGCACATCCCACAATACTGCGGCTCCTGCTGGGCCATGGGATCCACCAGCGCCATGGCCGGTAGGTGCATGGAGGGAGTTGGGGGCCAGGGAGGGGGTAAAGATTTCATTGATATTATCACCAGTGGTGTTGGCTTATGTTGTTGCCCTGGAGACCGGGATATCAATGATCGATGTTCGCTCGTCGTGAATTCTCACTTAACAGAGTGGGTCGTGTGAAGGCTGCCATCTTTCACTCCAAGCACCTTTTGAAAGACCCAACACAGAAGATCTCTGGGTTTGATCTTTCACTAAGCTCATGGTCCACCCAAAATCGCATCCACTGCACAAACCCGATGTACAAATGGAAAATGAAAAACTCTCCAGTGTGCGATTTGTGGTCATCCAGAACGGACCGTGCAAAGTATAACGACGCAATGCCCGATCCACAAATACGAAGGAGACATCAGTGATACATTTTGCTGCTCCTGGCGTGGTTATCTGGGCTTGACCACCTGGATGCGAAATTGTAGTCGTTACTCTGCATCTACATTAGCTATACAAAAGAAGAAGAGGCCAGTGGTGGGTGGTGATAATGAATTGAATGCCACCACTGGTGGTGGTCATGGTGGAGGAGGTGGTTTTTGTAACGTTGGTGGAGATGGTGAAGGTGATGGTCATAATAATGATTTCGACTTATTATTCTCAAAGAGAGATATCGACTCGGAGGCTTTGAGGATGAACTACAGTCGAGCGTGAAGGCAGCAGCCATGCGGCAAGCCCGCACCAACAATTGCCCCAGTTCTGCGGTCCTCTGTATATTAAGGTGTTATTGGCCAATTAATGCATGTTTACACGTGGGAGGACACCCGAACAGCTGTAGAAAACCCATATGTGATGAAGGGGAAATATCGAGTCGGTATCAAAAATAAGAATAGGTTTTGCCCTTTCTGTCAATAAAACATGTGTTAAGATGTTCAACACCAAATAAATTCATAGCTCAGGTTTAGCAGTTTTATGTACATACAATACTATATGCAACTACTCACATTGTCTTTGTATTGTTTGCCTTTTGGCATTCTCTGGTCTAACACTGGTGAGACAAAGCTATAAAGAAGGCTGTCTTTGTTGACCAATCCGTTTCAAATACAATGCATACATTATCAGAGCATGTTTGTGAGTGTTTTTGCATGGCATGCCACAAGTATGTGTGGTTTATGCAGACTTAATGTATATTTGGTGTTTGAACATCTACACACTGTTTTATTGCCAGAAAGAGCAAAATGTATTATTATATATGCGAGGGGGAAACACTGTCTCATACGGACGGAACAGGGTGGAGTCTGAATTTTTGCTTAACTGCCTTCCGGCGACTCGGGGTATGGCACACCTTCAATGCCCCCACAGAAAGAGAATTTCACAATCATCTGTGCAATTCACCAATCGACGCCTCCACAGTGCCGGTTTACAGGCGTGTGTAGCCACCACCGCCCGGCTTATAATCAGGATGTCTCCACCTCCTCCTCTCTCCTTTTCTAGACCGCATCAACATCCGGCGTGGCGGAGTCTGGCCACTGGCCTATCTCTCTGTGCAGCATGTGATCGACTGTGGAGGCGCTGGCTCCTGTGAGGGAGGAGACCACATGGGAGTGTGGAAATTCGCTCACACGCACGGCGTGCCGGACGAGACGTGTAACAACTATCAGGCTAAGGACCAAGGTGAGACGCACACGGGGGCATGTTGGACGTGACGTGTAATAACCAGATGGATCTACTATTGCTGTTTTTTTTTACCAGGTTAAGCCCACTGAACTATGATCTATCTTTCAGAGACGACCTGACTACACATGGCTTATGATGTGGGAATTTATAGTAGCCAAATAAACTAATATTGGTCGCGAAAGCCTACGTGTTAAACCAAATAAACAAATGGAATGTTTCTAAATGTGGAGGGCAAAACTATTTACCAGAGAAAGACAATGCATTCGTGAAAGATGAAATGTATTCACAAGAGAGATAGGAAATCCATTTACGTGAGAGTGGAATTGTATTCACGAAGGACAGATAGCAGATACGTTCACCAGAGATATCGGATGTGTTCACTCGAGAAAGGAGATGCATTCTCTGGTGACCATGAAGATGGTCATTCCGGTGATAATGATGTTGATGATATTACTGCCGATAATGTTGCTGATGCTGCTACTGCTGCTGCTACTACTACTGATTCTGATGATGCTACTGCTGGTGATGATGATGCTACTATTGCTGATGCTGACCCGCAGACTGCAATGGGTTCAATGAATGTGGCACATGCACCACATTTGGGGTTTGCTTCAACATCAAGAACTTCACCCGGTGGAGAGTGGGCGACTACGGCGCGGTCACGGGGAGAGAGAACATGCAACGCGAGATCTACAAGAACGGACCTATCAGGTGAGGGGAACTAGTGAAATGGGTGGGTAATTTCGTGAGTGGATTAGTTAGTGACCGACCATGTACATCTCAAAAATTGATGTATGCAGGTTATGGTCCTTTATGCACAGGGCACAAACCTCGACAACGTGCCAATATTCTTAATAGCTGGTCGAATATTATTGGAGGCATTTTTATGTCGCTGGAGAGTGATCATATCCTTCCAAAACCACCACGCATATTCCACCTGAACGATTGCGCAGCGGACGCCACTCATGATGTGTCCTCCTGCGGTAGCCCATTGCACTATGACCCCACTGAAAATAAATCTTGGGTTATCATGGATAGAAGCCTGACCTTTCTCGCCCCACATAAAACACGTCTGTGAATACATGAAATCCAGAATCGCCCTGCTGTAGAAACTTGGAGGAATGACCTGGGGGCGCCTCGGCTGATGTGCTGTGAACTGCCACACCCTATCACTGGTCTACTCAGCGGCACAAATAACACAATGCGGATTATAACCGGAATACTGAAACCGGCACCAATCTCCGTGGCTCCTTGTTCTGGAGAACATTCTGCCGCCAAATATCCGCACAGACAAACTTTAAGGGAGTTTACACAACTCCTTGCCAACGACAACTTGCCCATCAACCAGGGCCTCAACATTCTACCTCGCTACTGTCTCAAGTCCTGATGATCTCCCTTCTGGGAATGCATTGTCACCATCCTGGAATCGTACAAACGTGGAACTTCTTTCGTACCATACGTAGCCAACCGTGCTAATTGGAGGTGCGGGGTAAGGGGAGCAAATTGAACACAAAAAGCAGTTCTTGCCAGGATTCGGAGGAATGCTACTGAACAATGGAATAACACTGACGTCCAAAATAAACACCTCATTCGAGATCCAAACCTTACGCCTCCTGTTTTTTTTTATTTTCTCAAAACATCAACAAACTGTTGCTAACGTCTCCTTTGTGAATGGAAAATTAGAAGACAAGCCGCAGTGCGAATGCGGCCATGCAACGCAAACTATGGAATATATCGTAAACCACTTTGTTCTGCGCTCCCTCAAATGGAGGAATAGTACATTTATACAAACTCTCTCCTGAATGCCTCTCGTGTCCAGCAGACTTTGACATTGGCAATTAGCTCCTGAACAAGTTGCCGTATGCAATAATAATAGTAGGTGAGCAGGTGAGTTAATGAGTGGGTGAGCGAGTTGGAGTGCATAGCTGTGGTTTGACCACGACTGATGATGCTTGTATAAGTGTATATGCGTGTGTTCATATATACACATGTATTCATGTCTCTGTGTGTGCAACTCTGTCTCCGTGTTTCTTTGTGTCTCGGTGTTTCCATGTATGTGTATGACTTTGTCTCTATGTGTGTGTCTCATGACTTTGTCTTTATGTGTGTGTGTGTGTGTCTCCCGACTTTGTCTCTGTGTGTGTGTGTGTGTCTCCCGACTTTGTCTCTGTGTGTGTGTGTGTCTCCCGACTATGTCCATCTCTGTGTGTGTGTGTGCGTGTCTCAGCTGTGGACTGATGTCCACCTCGAAGTTCCACAACTACACCGGCGGCCTCTACACGGAGTTCATTCCTACCCCCTTTGAGAATCATATCGTGTCGGTGGTCGGGTGGGGCGTGGACAAGGAGGAGGGAGGCGCTGAGTACTGGGTTGTCCGCAATTCCTGGGGAGAGCCCTGGGTGAGTCGTCGTTGTGTGGTGTGACCTTTTATAGTTGTTTGCTCACTGGAAGAGTAGGGGGCGACGGTGGCGATATGTTACCTACCTCGCCTGTTACGCAGAATGTTGTGGGTTCGATACTGACCTGATGCGTGTGTATTCGGAGTTTGCACGTCTCCCTGTGGTTGTGTGGGATTTTTCTCCGTTTTTTTCCCTCCACGTGTAGAAACGTGAGTATAGAGTATTTGCCTGATAAATATCCACTTGATAAGCCACTTCGTTCAGCCATCATTTGTGGCCAGATCGCTTCTGGTAAAATAAAAATGGTAAATAAAATAGGTGCATGAATGAGTGGGTGTGCGGTGGCACAATGGTTATCGCTATGCGCTACAAACCTAGCAATCCAAGTTCGATTCTTGCCGACAACCAACATCAGTGTCGAAATATCTGAACCAGTCTCAGGCCCTTCCCTCAGTCGACTCGGCCTCAAATGAGCACTTGGTGCAATGTGCTTTGCCGCCCTTCATAGGTGCTTGCATTCCTCCAGTCGGAATAAAGATTCTGATTCTGTTAACAGCACTTGCCCCAACAATCTGTTCAGGCTCAATGGGGGATCTTTGTCTTTGTGTGTATCTCTGTGTGAGTCAGGGAGAGAACGGCTGGGCTCGGATCGTGACGAGCTCCTACAAGGGCGGAAAAGGGAACGACTACAACCTGGGCATCGAGCAAGACTGCGCTTATGGGGACCCCATCATTTCCCCTTAATGCCCCATATCCCTCCCCCTCTATCCCCAACCACTAACCCTTACGGCATCCTATAATAACCATATCCCCGTCTCTTCCAATCACTAACCCTAACATCTATAAACCCTATCCCTAACTCTCTAAACCCTAACCATAACGCTTAATCTCTAAAATCTAGACATATCCCCTGTCCTCTAACCCCCCCTCTGTCTCTGCCACATACAAAGCAATGTCTGGGGGTTTTTAATCAGGAACATCGACTCTTGATGCTTTTACTTTTAATCGGTGCACGGCTAACAAGTACTAATTATCACAAATCCAGTGGGTTTTACATATCCCTTATTTTAATATCACGTTTGCACCAGTGTTATGGTTTGTGCTATCGGCGTCGCATCACAGGATGAAGGATCTATTTGGAAACCCTCGCGGTGAGCAGTGCACCACCCTGTATGTTAGAGGACAGCCTGCAGAAGTGGATATCACAGAGCTTCTTGTCCACACAGAAGGCAGCACTTTCTCAACCGCCCCGCCATATCAGAGTAATGTTCACGTGACACTTTTTAAACCATTGTTTATTCTCAGAGCTGGAATGTAGCCAAATTAAGCGCGAAACCAAATTTAATGTGCTCAGGGTGTTTTTGTGAATGTATTGGCAATTGGGCTGAGACCAACTCGCTGCACTTTTGAGTCTGAGTCTTCGTGCCTCTGTGTGAGCCACTGCTAACTGGGCTGAGGCCATTGGATTGGAACCCAGGACCAGCAGAGATATCACACCCGCCACTGATGTTGATCGTGGGCAGGATTAAAACTCAGGCAGGTTCATAGCACAGTGTGCTAACCACTGAACCTTCTTTCCTCCCGCCCCCCATCATCATCACGTGTCTGTGTCAAATGTGTAAGGTTAATGGTGGTGAGGTGCGCTACTTGACAGAAGGGACTCCACTAGAGGGAGCTCAAGAGCCCCTATAGAGGGTATTTGGCCTACTCTTCCACTCTGGCCTAGACGTGTCAAATGTGTGCTCGTTTTAATGCGTGACATTGGGTTATGCGTTCTTTTTTTTTACATTTTCTGTCTTTTCTTGTTGAACGCGAATGGATATTTTTCATATTTGCAAGTGATTTTGTAATACCAATTGCAGCGCTTGGGTTTTATGACGGTAATTGTGATTGTTTTTAATTCTGAATAAGCTCCGAGGCGTGCTTCACGAATTCATTATTTCAATCGAATCCCCCCCAGCCCCCTCAAAAAGGACACGGTGAGAGAGTCCTGGAGGTGGGGGTGTAACCTACACCAGGACCGGTGAGAATTCACGAGTCTAGTATGGTAATTATTTGCCAGAGTGATCTGGGCCATTAGTCTGCCTGTTGTGGGCGATTAATTCGCTGTCCAGTCCCAATTGAGTGACGTGCAGGTAACTTTTGAATTGGGCAAATCATACTGAGAGAATTGGGCCCAGGAATGAATCGCCAAGTGGATCTTCACCTCCGATTAGCACGGCGCTACCCAAGTTCAACATACATAAACCTTGGATACCCATAATGCCCATGTGCCAACAACATTTTAGAATATGTTTTAACAAATGAGTAGTAATACACTTGATTATTGCAGTGTTTGTTTCTCAACTACTCATCGGTAACTTCGGGAGCCAATATAAATACTTTTATTTGGTAACAAAAATAAACATTTCGGGCTACAACTCATTCCTTCTGTCTCTCAGGGCTTTCTGTGCTACCAAGAAGGGCCGTTGTCCAAAACACCCCCGATTACATATTAGTCATCGAAGGCAAATGTGTCGAGACACGTTCCGCTCACAAAGGCGTGCAGGCTTAAGGTGCAGCCCTGCAAGAGCACGCACACGCCGTTGATTGCGGAAGGGCCTCTACCCGCGGGAGCTTTAAAGCTCTTGAGTGGTATTTTGGCCTCTGTACCAGCGCATACGCACACTGTTCCCGACCACATCCGACCTGCCAAGCGACTGATACGTAATGATGTGGGGGGTTCTCTTTTTACCCCCCCCCCCCCACCAAATCAAATAAAGGCGATATCAAAGATTATTCACGTGTCCCTGTTTAAATGAAGACGAGCTTTCAGAGGTAGTTGAGATCAGCCAGTCGTCCACAGGCTCGGTAGCTGGCAGCCGGTGTGTGTTGTTCCACTCTCGGCCTCTAGCTGAACCATTCACGAAGTCTGCGCACTCTATCCATGTTATATTGCTGTGCCATGAGGAAGCGAAAGTGATGGCAAATCACTGCCGCGCGAGTTCCATCCGCGCGATGTGCGAACGTTGCGCGCGGTTGAGCTGAATTGTTAACGATGTCAACACGGGCGACCACGCCATCGGCACACGTTCAAAAACAAATAGACGAGTGCGGCATCTAAACGCAAGTAGCCGTAAACTTTAAATGTTGAGGTCACGCCGATGGAAAAAAATGCGATTTCGCAACACCACCACCACCCACAAACACCGCCGCCACCACCACCGCCCACGAGCTGTCTCATCGGCAAGTGCGAGCCGCACCCCCCCGGGGTGCTCACGAGGAGGCGTCACGACGCCACCCTCCAGACGACGTCGAGGAGGGTGGGAGGGAGGGAGGGACGAGGTCTATCGCAGCAGGAAGAAGAAAGTCCAAGACGCAGATGCTCGTATCTCACGCTCGCGGCCGCGGGCACGACTCGGCATGATGATTCCGCTGCTGGTGCTGCTGGTTGCGCTCCCGTGGGCAGGTGAGGGATGGATGGGAGCGAAACGGAGTTGCTTTCTTGTCCTTGCGCGCGTGGTGAGAACGACCTATGGACCGTATCGTGACATCCCACACCCTCACGACTACTGCATCAACTCCCTCAACCGAAACCCATTCCTCGTGGCGAGCAGATCTCGACGTTTGGCGTGTTCCGTCTCCCAGACGTGTTGCTGCTGCCACACGCAAGAGCAGAACGGCGGCAATTTGTTCATGAGATGAATGCCAACCAATATCGAGATCCGATAGCCACGGCTAAGAGGGCTTCAAGGTGAGAGAGGAGTATTCGTGTCGTTAGGGGCTCCCTCCGTCCGTTGAAGGAGCGCGGGTTACAGGCTGCGCTTTACGATATGGTCCATAGTTTGGGTTGCATGGAACACAATCGCGCAACGGTGTTCGAGTCTATTCAGTGGATTACAAATCCGCGGAGGCGACGCTCATCGTCGCAAACAGACGTCGTGAATTTGAAGCGAGGGAGTTGAGGGTTTTAAGTGGCACGGGAGGTTCGGAGCTCACATCCCGCGTGCGCGCCAAGCGTCGTGCCCCTGATGAGCAATTCTCTAAGTGCGTCCGTGGTGTGGAGGTGCTCCTCGCTCAGCACTTGCCCCAACAGTCTGTGAAGGCTACACAGGGGATATTTGTCTTTGTGGGGGGGGGGGGATGTCGTGGTTGGCACCGCAATGCACTACGAACTCCCGTCACCCGGAGACCCGAGTTCGACTCCTGCCCAGCCGACATCGGTGTCAAGCGAATATCTATACCCGGGCCTGGGGCCTCCCTGAGGTTGCCTCGGCCTTAAATTAATGAGCATCCTGGCGTGGTGTTTAAACATCGGCACTGGGGGAGACAAAGACGGTCGGGCGTGGTGTTGGCCACCCACCCCCTTGTTCGACGTGTTGGTGCTCGCTAACGGCACTTGCCCCAACAGTCTGTTAAGTCTATAGGGGGGAGGTCAATGTGTGGCAGTCTTACCCCTTAAACTCTCCGCTGGTGTCACTTTAAATTCTTAATGAAAAGCGTTAACTTGTCCCCAACAGTGGCTGTCCCGTAGCGTTCAATTACCCGACCCTGTTGGACTCAATTTCACTGTTCACAATATAACAGCATCTAAACGCAGTACATTAAAAAAAAATATATTACCCCTTGATATTATTGCGTTGTTAATTTTCATTGTGCCACTCGCTGAAGCATTCCTCAACGCGTTTAAAGTTCGTGCTCTGTAATAATCAGGCCCGGATAAAGGTTATTGTTGGCCATGGCCTTCAGTGATGACCTTCTACAGTTCGTGGTACTCCTGCCCCATGTTAAGACCGCCGCTGTTACTTTGCTAAAGCTGATTAAAAAAAAAACTCTCCGATCAACCATAGGACAACTTACGTCGCCTTTGTCTCCCCTTGCATTGCTCGCTAATGAGAATGAGATTGTGCAAATTAACACCATGTGAAGATGTTACTGCTAATTTTGCAATGAAAAAAATCTCGAAAAATGTATTACCGGTGTTAATTTCTCTCTCACCTTATGAAAAGGAAACGATAAACATTGACATGACTCTGCCTCTTTGCATAACCACTGCGCCTATCCTTTTGCTATATATAAACATATTTATTCAAGAAGATATCTTGGTTACATGTTCGTATCATACAAAAAAACATGGTCAATTTATACTCTTTGGTTCTTTCGGTAAAGTCACGTAGGTATAAAATTAAATAAATCACGACGTTTCGGGTGCAACACAAGCGTCCATCATCAGGCGGTTCAATCTTGATTTGAAATCAAGAATGGTCAATTTATGTTTTCGTAAGTTTTCGTAGGCCCTTTGCACAATGCCTGCTGTGGCCTTATTTGTTAATGCGGCCGTGGTAATAAGTGTCGGTCGTAGAGCGACATATCCTCCGATCAATTCACCTTTAGTTCACCTGATTTCGACAGCTAAGCCGGGTCGAAGCCTTGGCGGACTGTGACTGTGGAGGGTGACCATCGTACGCAAGGCACGCGTTGTATAGGCAGCAGCTACGCTGTACTGTCAGCAGAGGGCGGTGCGGCAAAGACCATTGTGTCTGTGCTTGAGTTATCCTCCCCGCCTTCACCAGCAACACGCACGGGGGACAGCGTGCGTGAAACACATACTTACTATATATAGCCAATAGTCAAATAACCCTAACGACCTGGAATCGTGCGGCTTTGCCCTATATACATCGGTGGATTGGTAAAAAGGGATTTACCGACACCAGAGTAGGGCATGTTGGCTTCACAGTTATCCAGTTAATGCGTCACATTTCGGACAAAAAAACTACTTTTAACATTTACGAGTGTGTATTCTGATACCCATGTATCGATGGTTTTGACCCAACCCCAGCTGTAGGCTGATGTATCAAATTGTTTTTTTCTATCTATGTTTACATGGTCAAACAATAGTATGTACACTGCTTAAGTATTTATATAATTCGCAATTGTGATCGGTATTAAAAGAAAAAAAACTGTTGAGGTCGCTATGGATGCAGGGCCGGATTAAGGCACGGGGCTTTAGGGGCTGCAGCCCAGGGGCCTCCGCCAGCTGGAGGACCTCCAAAGATGAAGTGAAAAGTGTTTTCATTTGTGAATGCTGAATTTTATTTTATGTTAGCCTTGTAAAAATATATTGAAAAAATAATTTAACTTTGTTTTCCTTTTGGAAATATTACTGGGGGCCTCACAGCACAATCAAGGTGTGTGGAATAAGAACCCCTTTGCTAAAGTCCCTTACATGGATTGGCCCTTCACAGTGTTAAGAGTGGTCTGGTAAGGTAACGTAAAACTGAAGTAACCTGTTATGAAAAGCATGCTGCATTTCGACTTGCACGTAACATAAAGTTCAAATGCGCACATTTGCTACGTTGGAAGAAAAACACGGGGGGTAGTTTTTGTTGTACAGTACTAACGTAAAACAAATGAGATATGGATGTACGACATGTACAACTTGTTTTTGAAGTCTTACAATACAAAGTATATAAATGTTTTATTTTATTTAGCACTACAAGTGTAAACTATTAATTCTAGATTTGAAGCTTTCGTGACTGCAAGGTTTCATACTCTTAGTTTTTTTGGTAAAGTCACGTAGGTAAAAAATGAAATTAAAATGAATAAAAATAAAATAATAAAATTCACGACGTTTCGGAGGCAACACAAGTCTCCGTCATCAGGTGGGACCGTCACAGCCAGATTTGCTGTATCAAGTGAGTGTATCATCAGGTGGGACCGTCACAGCCAGATTTGCTGTATCAAGTGTTGCCTCCGAAACGTCGTGAATTTTATTATTTTATTTTTATTAATTTTAATTTCATTTTTTACCTACGTGACTTTACCGAAAAAACTAAGAGTATGTAAACTATTAGCCACGTAAATATATTTAACAATCTCTATTTCGTCCATTGTCATATCTATCCACTTACTCGACGAAGGCCCCTAGTGTTGGGTCACTTATGGGGGTTGCTTGATCATACCTCTCTGCATTGGTGAGTGGAGTTAGGTCAGGGGCCGACAACCAAAATAAAATCTATATTTCAAGGGCTGCAATGCATTGTGGGTGAACACGAGACGGTGGTGGTCCTCAATAAATAGCCGTCACGAAGCAGTTCCTTCAAGAGCCGCACGCGGCTCCGGAGCCGCAGGTTGCCGACCCCTCGATGTTACCTCGAAGTTACCTACCAGTGATCAGGACAATTCACCAGAGTGGTTGTCTTCGTAGCACGGTGCGCTGCCTAGTGTGTCACACCGCTCCACCCCCTTCAACAAAATAGCGGACTGTTCACTGGCCAGCGTTGTTGAAGTTTGATCTTGTAACTCCCCATGAGTGACACAAACATTGGGAGGCCCATCATGCAGCAGTCGATTTGACAATGGCTTGGAATGTATCGAGCCGGGCGGTGGTTGAGACGCGCCTGTATAACCGGCACTGTGGAGGCAGCGAGGGTTATTGGAACATGCACATGTTGCGAAATTCCCGTCCCCGTGGGCGTAGAGGAAGAGCCATCATACGCTTGCTTGCCGGGAAATTGCAGAACAGAAAGCACATGAACCCCGTCTGCATCGGATCAAGTATTCCTCTGGATAATCTGCTTTCCTCCCACACGCAAACGCTCATGAATTGGCTTGGGAAATTGTTGGAGCTGGCTGACCGCGTGGCTGCTGTCGTATGTGGTTCCTCCTCATCGCGCCTCTCGGTCGATCTCCCTCTCTTCTCGAGTGGGCGAATACCGTGCGCATTTTAAGTTGTATTTAAACTGGTAAATGTTGTAAACGTTTATTTACAGTTGAACAAATTAACAAACTTTGTACCTCGATTGATGAATCCTACCAGACCAGATGCATTTGTCCTCATTTAAGCCTCTGGCACTTAATTGTATGAAGAAGAATGGTGTATTTCTAGGGTTAAAGCTTTCATTCGGACTCTTAAGAATATTTTGGAACTTTAGTGTTGAATTGCTACCGACAATAATCTTAAAGATTATGTTCTATAGCTGTATTTTGGCAACTATTTACAAAAAATACAAAACATAATATGGCCATGGAAAGGACACAACTCACAAAGAGCAGTAATTGAAGGTAACAAATGGATTATATAAGGAGGTGGATATAATCAGGATGGAGTGCTTTAGAAAAGTTAAACATTAAAATAAACAGAAGCAAGCCAATGTGCCCGAAAAATAAAGTTTTCAACCAGTTGTATGAATGCCAGCGATGACACATGAACACTTGACAAGGAAAATGGAACGAAAAATGTGAAAAGAAAACAGGGAGACGCACGAAGAGATGCATGCTGAGAATTATACTGTGAGACAGAAGGAGTCAACGGAGAATGTGACTTCGTTGACCACGACTGTAAGAATTATGATTTTCTTAAGACTAAATCTGGCAGTAGACAAACAATGTCGAATAATATTATACTGGACAAGCAGTGGTGACATGTCTAGCATCTGTAAACGAGACCAGTTATTTGTTTGGAGCATATTGTAGCAAATATGTTCGTAATACACAAACTAGTGTTCTGCACTTAATTTGGCTACATTTTCAGATGTCACAATTAAAATATCAGTTTTACTTTCGTGTGATGAATTCTACAGTGACAGAGTGGGTGTGTAAGGGCTACCCACCGACTGTGTAGGCCACAGGGGGGACAGATTCCAAAATAGGATGCTTCCCGAAGAATCTTAAATCTGCGTGAGGCTCTCCTTGAGATATAAAAGACGCGTGTCTCTTCATTTATTTAACTAACAACAACAGCTCCACACTGCCAAATATAGTATACGTTTGTGGGTTACACAATTATTATTCTACGGAATGTTTTAATACAATTGCGAGCTCACCTGCGCCTGATCTATTTTAATTGTCATCAATCATATCACATTTCTCGGTATAAATCTACCCTCTGAGCTAACATCTAAACACCTTCGCTTTTCCACAAGGACACTGTGAGGCATCTGCGTTTTTGCCAAAGCCCCGGAATCTGAAGGTTGACATCGTGAATTTCTACACTGACTTGACGTGGGAGTCAGGCGTGAATACACCTGAAGGGACTCAATACATCGTGCAGTACAGGTGAGTGCTGTCACGATAACAATAAACTGTATTCTTTGGGTCTTTCGGTAAAGTCACGTAGATAGGTTCAAGGAAAATAACAAAAACTACGATGTTTCGATCGCAACACAAGCGAATGCAGTCACGAAAGCTGCAGTCACGAAAGCTTTAAGTCAAGACAATAAACTGCAAACAATAACTGCAGCGAACATCTATAATACCTATATAGATGTGTATAGTGCAGTGGTTCTCAACCTTTGTTTGGCTCCTGCTCTACTCCCTTTGTGGAATTTTGATTCCACCGAGGAACCCCACTTGCCTGACCCAACACGGTTCTGATAAATACATGTATGAATAATAAACATCGATATTTTAACTATTTGTCAATTTTGTGACTAGCTAGTAACTACAAGCGAATAAAAAAATGGACGCTCTGCACGCATGATGTAATTTGTTCACGTTCGCTGGTTACTCTTGGAAACGGCATTGTTGATGATCAATGAATTTATAAAAAGGTATTTTATATCGTTATAGGTTACCATATTGATTTAAATGTAATCGTAGTTATTTAATATTGGCAGATTTATAAATGAGTATTCCCGATGACTCTCATGCATGGTATAATTTCACATATTTATAAATCACCTCACGTACCCCCAGGGGTCTGCGTACCCCCATTTGAGAACCACTGGTATAGTGTGAAGTCTCCACATAGCCCTCGCCCCCTTTAGAACCTTTTCTGAACCTCTCTTAGAGCACGCGCATAAAAAGTATCGAGGCTGTATTCCCTAGAGAATTTCTCCATAGCTCCCTCTCCAAAAAGTCGCTAAAATCCCCTCACCCATGAATTTCTCTGAGACCCACAGCCTGCCCGTCATCTCACGAGCCCACCATCTCTAGAGCAGCGGTTCTTCTTATCCTGGGGTGCACGCACCCCCTGGGGCTGCGAGATGCCATTTCTGGGGGTGCAAGACATGGCCAGAAATTTTTTTCGAAGGTAAATGATCGAAAACTCTAATTAAGCACGGGGACATAAGTACAACTACTTAGTTTAATTAAACTCTATGTAGTTATTAACATTTTTATATGTTTTTACGCTTGAGAACCAAAGGGGTACAAGGCTGCAATAAAGGTTAAGAACCACTGATCTGTAGGGTATCTCTGGAACCCCTTTCAATTGACTCTCTTAGCCCCGTAATGGGACCTGCTGAGTCTGTACGGCTCCACAGGAAGGGAATCCTGTAAAGCACTCGCTGACAGTGCATGCTTGCCGCAAAGAGGAAACAAAACCCACTGAATTCTCTGAGTTTGTATTGTGTGTGTTCAGGATTTGAATTAATCACAGGGAATCCCAAGAACGCAGCTATAAAATAATGCAGCATAAATAAAACTGGTACTGTCAGATGCATGTGAATAGTTCAGAGTTCAGAGTCTATGCCGCAGCATTTGTGCTTCATGGGTTAGAGTCCATGCACTCCCTCAAAAGGTATGTTTGCTGTATGATGTAACAAGCCCTTTCCACAAGCCGTGTATGCTCAGATGCTGATAAGAGAGTGAGATGAATCAAAGGCCCTTGTAACAGCTGTTCAGATTAGGTCATTTGCACACTTTATCGAAATAACCTCTCAACAGTTAAGTTTAATTTCACATGAGCGGATGACGTTTTCTGATGGTTAAATATTCTGCCAGTGCACTACTCTTTTCAGTTCCATCTCTGGAATGCCTGCTGACCAATACCGTCGGAATTCTAGAAATATAAATAACAGATTTGTCAACTGTATTTGGTATGGATACATCTACAGTATATATTTTACTTGATGTAAATAATGCAGGCTTTACAATTCTGATCGTTTTACACTGCATGAATTCTAGAAATATAAATAACAGATTTGTCAACTGTATTTGGTATGGATACATCTACAGTATATATTTTACTTGATGTAAATAATGCAGGCTTTACAATTCTGATCGTTTTACACTGCATGAATGCAATGTGTGTACTAATTATGGGAATTAAAAATATATATTTAAGGTGGCAAAGCCACATGAGAGGCCTCTTAGAGGAAGGTACAACCCAAATCAACTATTGTTGTTAGAGTGGAACTCTTCTTATTTATGTTTAAGTGGGGCAGCTTTTTGCAAAATAGATAATTAGTAGTTTTGGAGAGGAGGTCTCATCATGTACTCGCTCCAAGCTAATCAACATAAACTCTAGCAACATCGTCCCACGAGTTCAGACATCGTCCGACAAGTAACATCGTCCAACAAGCTCAGACATCGTCCCACAAGCTCAGACATCATCTTGCAAGTATGTGTCCGTGAGCCAGATGGCCCTGGCTACACGAGGCCACAACTTCCTCGGTGAGCTGGAGGCCACTCTCAGCTCCGACCACGGTGGCGAGCTGTTAACTCCTTTGCACGGGCCCCCACATACGCGTGGGTGATTCTACATTTCACACTCCCAGACAAAGTGATTGATTGGCTAAATCACTTACACCTGAATGTATAATACGTTGCTCTGCATAGGCCTTCTGAAAGATGAACAAAAGGTGAAAAGTGTAGCTTGGTATGCTTGTGCAACCGTAATTCTAGGCCTTGGCAAGGTAAAGTAATTTACCATTTTTACCAGGTAAAAGGGTAAAGGTAAAGGTGTCGGCCATGCGAAGGGGTAAGGTATAGGGTAGGGTAAAGGTAGCGTGGAAGAATTACCTGGGAGGGTTAAGGTAGCACGAAGTATTACCCTGTAAACACCTTGTTTACCACTAAAAGCTCCGTGCCGCAGTCCGTGGCCTCCATTTTAAATTGCAATCATTAATGTCAGACCAGATGGAGACGGACCACATTCTTGAGCTAGAGGATGAGGTCGAGGATGCCAGCAACGGCATTTTCGGGGTCGCTGTGAACAGCAATCGAAAGAGGCAGCGCATGCATTCTCATGGGACCACATGCACGATTGGATGGAGGGTGATCCCTATGTGCAGCAAGGAAAGCGACAGTGCGTGCACTGCTGCAAGTGGTTTTCCTCCCACATGAACGCGTTGGGGTGGAAAGCCCACCTCAAGTAGCACAACGTGCTCGCCCCAGGCAGCGAGGTCGGGACGTCGGCGTCAGCGAGCCGCCTAATACAGTAAACGCTGAGCCAGCCAGCAATCCTGCATTGCCTTCTGGTAAAGAACACGGTGGTTGATGTTGTTATCCAAGGTGCAATGTCTTTGCGAGCCGCCGGCAGTGACAAGTTCAAGACCTTGGTCCACACATTGATGCAGGGATACGAGGGCCCGTCGACCCGCATCATAATTCGCAGGATTGTCGAGCATCACACCATCATGCTGCCCATCGTCGGGGCGTTCTTCTCCAACCTGGACGTCACCATCTTGCTCACCATCGATGGTTGGTCGAACTGCAACCTGAAGGGATTTTGGACGGTCATGGTGCACTGGATCGACACCAAATCTGGTGCGTCGAAATCCATGCTGCTGATGATCCTTGATGTGCAGTCCAGAAGGGGTGTTGGCAAGCACATTGACACTACTTTGTTTGAGCACCTCCAAAGCCTCGGGCACAATGTCTCGACCAAGTTGCTCGCTGTCACCAGCGACAATGGCTCTGATGCGATCAGTGCTGTGAAGACGTTGTTCGCCCTGGTCAACGCGAATGCCGGATATGAGCAGTTGCGGGCTTGCCACCATATTCGCTGCGCGGATCATTCGGTCCAGATCAGCGTCGTCCAAGTTCTCAAACTGATCAAGTCGACCAACGCCGAACTGCGCAAGACACTCGTCAATATCAGGCGCAGCAAGGTCATCCGACAGTCGTACCGCCGTGAGGCTGAGATTGCTAAGCTCGCCAGCAAGGAGCCGACGCACCAGAACTCGCCGACCAGGTGGAATTTGACGTTTGACTTGGGCGACGACACCATCAAAAAGCGTGTCTCATTGGACATTATCATGGTGCACTTCCAAGATGTGATCAGCATCGGTGCTTTATCTGAACTGCATGGGCAAACATCGAGGGCGTGACAGCATTCCTGCTAATGCCGCACCAGGTCATGACCTCGTTGACGGCGGACCGCAAGTGGACATTGGATCTCGTGCCAGTGACGATGGAGCACCTGATCCGTCAGTGTGATCGCTGCGAAGCCACTCTTACAGCGATCGATGAGTCCTTGACCACAACGGGGATGAAGGCCGAGCTGGTGCGGTACCGTGACTTCCTGGTTCAGGAACCCGCCATTGTGGCATCCTACTTGAATCCACAGCTGCCGAAAACGTCAGACAAAGACGAGCTGGCTACACTAAAGACCACGATCTGCTCTGTCCTGCAGCATCGTTACTCAGGCATGCTCGCGATCCCGCCGACGGCAGTCGTTGCCCATATGGAGGAGCGGTCGCTGTTCAGCACCCTATTCAGCAACGTCGGCAGCTCCATCAATGACGGTGATGAAGTCGACCGCTTTATGAGCATTGGCGTCACGACCGCCAGCGCCTTCATTGACGTAATGCGGTGGTGGTCTCTCCACAAAAAGATGCTCCCTGCCCACTACAAGATGGCCTTCGACTACTTGGGAGTGCCGGCGACGTCAACTCCCTGCCAATGCGCGAATAGTGGAGCCGGGCGGGAGTTGACATGCGATCGCCAGTCGCTGTCATCGACGCTCTTCATCCAGTCCATGTGTTTGTGCTCGTGGATCGCGGCCGGCTGCCTGAAGGTCCCATCTAACTGGGCCAGAGCGGCGCAGGATCTTATTGCCCGTCGTTCATCCGAGGACGACGGCAATGACGAACTTGATCAGGTTGTTAATGAGATCGTCATCGACCAAGACGACTGGGACGAGGAGGTTATGGAGGATGGTGTCATCGATAGCCTCAATGCCCGATTCGAGAGTATTCTATATGAATAAAGCGCTCTACCTAGCATTTACCTGATGGTGGGGAGGATGTCGTGATACACTCACTCATCTTGCACTGACTCACTCACACATCCTACACTGACTCACTCACACATCATACACTGACTCACTCATCATACACTGACTCACTTATCATACGCTGACTCACACATCATACACTCACTCACACTACCACTGACTCACTCACACATCATACACTGGGAGTGTCATGCTGCCAGCTATGGCTGCAAGTTTGGTCGTACATGTTATGTATATCGTTTATTGTTAACTTTGAATCACAGTTCTTATGATTACTGTTGTTACATTGTTTTTATAGTCTAATGGTTGTTATTGTTTGACTTGTATCACACTGGGATATTTGCACACAGCGTTGTAATACGGTGTTTTTTTTTTCTGGAAGATTTGCTGGTTTATCCAGGATGTTTCTGTTGCGCGTCGTCGATTTAAGATGTTTCTCTGTTCATATTTTGTTTGTTGCGGTTGCACCCGACTCAAGAGCCGCATGGCTCACAGGGCTATACCTAATACATGAAACTTGAAACGTATAAATCTTTCGATTTAAAGCTTTCGTGACTGCAGGGATTCATCTTCTTGGTTCTTTCGGTAAAGTCACGTAGAAGGGAAGTAATAAAATAATAAAAATAAAACATAATAAGGTCTGTCAGAAAGACGCTGTCTGACAGACCTGTTTTTCACCTGAGGACGGCTGCTTGCGTTGTGGCCGAAACGTCGTGAGAATTATTTTATTATGTTTTATTTTTATTGTTTTATTATTTCCATTCTACGTGACTTTACCGAAAGAACCAAGAAGATTATAAATCTTTTTCATGTGTAGTACCCCAGCAATTACTCTGTAATCGGGTAATTTTTATGGGGTAGGGTAAAGGTAGGCTCGTTGCTTTTGACCTTTTACCTTACCTTGCTAAAGTGTAGAAGGTAAGGGTAGAATGATTGTATTGTGGTAAGGTAAAATGTAGGGTAAAGGTAGGCTCGTTGTTTTTACCTTTTACCTTACCTTGCCGAGGCCTATGTAATTCTAAACGGGAATGTATGGGCAATGATGTTGATTTAATTGATACATTTGTAAATTATAACGTCCTGTTTTTTTTACAGAACCAATAACATGTGGTCACACGTCATTGACTGCTCTAATGTTACATCGACGCACTGCAATCTAACAAAAGAAACAGCTAATAGCTATGAGGACCGGTACTTCATCCGATTACGTGCCGTGCATTCCACTGGAGTCTCTGAATGGATAAACAAAACAATAATCCCACTCTCTCAGTGTAAGTACGATTCATTTAGTGTACTGTTTAACTTAGTAATAACGGTTAAAGGGCCATACTTACGTCTGAGGGGAAAAAGTAGTGCTAAAATGTGTTCCATGTATGCAAAGGGATAATTTTTTGTCCGCTGTGCACTAATCAAGTTAAATGCTTATTGTGCTCACAAACACAATCACCATACATAAACAGGCATTATTCACTGCTTTCTAGATACATTTTGGAATATTAAAAAGCAGCATTTTTCTCAACAGAGGCAGGATTTTTTTTTAAAACAATTGCTGACGTTACCGACGAGACCGGGTGTCAAAATCAGTCGAGGGATGCCAGCAGGCTGATGAACTAAGACGTGTTTTTTTTTTAATGCGAAGAGGTGAATGGAATTATGTTTAATTATAGCAGTCTCAAATGATCATAGAGAACCCCCGGGGTTCATGATGGTTTCATGCATTTAGTGGTGTGTGCATCATTATCGTTTGGTGACCAATGTGGCCGCACATTTTCACTCAAGATATTCACGAGTCAAGTTATCGACAACAGGTTCACAGAATTCCTGGAGGAAGACGAGTCTAGAAAGCCAGTAGACTGGTATATTCCAGACACTTACTGAAGGCAGATCAGGCTCCAACAAATAATTTATAAGAAAACTTATAGCAAAGTGGAGTGATGTGTAGGAGGGAGGTGGATTGTAGTACCATAGGACACTAAGGGATGGTGATAGTGAGTAGGCACTGAACAAACGGAGGATAATGGCTAATGTTGATAACCGGTCGGGAGAGGGTAACCTTTGACAATATGATGGCGTCTTAGTAGGGAGAATGTTCTATTTGAAAATTCCAAGTTGCACCTCTAGTAATGAAATTCCAAACATCCTGTAATCTCCACGTGTATTGAACTACAAAGAACTTATTCTCCAGTTGCTTTGCTCGGTCACCAAAAAAACCCATGAATTATGCCACAAGCATCCACTGATGTTGGTCTTCATTGTGTTCTAAATGGAGTTTATGTAGTCACATAAATATCTGTTGTACGATACTGAATAGATGTGACCCTAAACAATAATAATTGGAGCATATATAAATGTAATCGGTGTTTATAACACGCTAAACCAACCCTCCCCCCTCTACTATGGATAATATTGGTCGTGAAAGCCTCACGTTTTTTTTACTAAATTGCTCTTTTGCACACTGCCAAGGCAGCAGCAGCATCACCAAATCATCTCGTGTGCATGTAGAAATGGCTTCAATTTCGTTGAACTCTGGCTGTAAAATTGTCACACTTCACCGAAGTGATATGTATAATGTCATGCCATACGGCTGCAATTGAAAATGCAGTTAAATTGGTGTTGATTATGTGTGTGTGTCTTTTTTCAGTTGCCATCGGTGACCCAGAAATGTACATGAATCTTTCTGAGAATGGCGTAAATGTGTTCGCAATTCTACCGCGAACACCAATTTTTAAACGTGGCAAGCAACAATCGATCGACGATTTGTTTCCTTTCCGCATGCTGTACAAGTACTCGTTGGGGTCTAGTGAGCACGAGGTAATCTATACATATAAAAGGGAAATTTGTGAATATGTGTGTCTGTTCAAAATGTTTATCGTACTTCCCGACATGCAATAAACTTGAAATTTGCTATGTGGGTACTTTCCAGACTGTACACCATGCAAAAATGATAAAAATAGACTTTTGTATTTTTGTTGGGGGGGGGGGGGCGCAATAATGCATATATTTTACTCGGCAAGTGAGCTGTGACATCACATCTGTCATGTCACTCCCGCAAATGCGGAAGCGTCACGCAGTGTGCCTGCTAACGTCACCCCCCCAACCATCCGCGGGTAAAGTGAAATACAAATGTGCTGCAGGTCTAAGGTGTTTTTCGCGCAGCATCGCTTTATTATTTCATTCGTTTACTGCCGTACGCACCATAAAAGTTGCGTGTATCTGCAGCAAGCGCGTGTATGTGTACCTATGGACGCGCGCACGCGTGTGTGTGACCCGAGTTTGATTCCCGCTCACGGCCACCACCGGTGACGATTATTTGACCTGGTCCTGGGCCTTCCCTAGGTCGACGCAGCCTCAAATCAGTACCTGGTGCGGTGTGTAAAAACATCGCCACTGGGGAGACAAAGGCGGCCGGACGTGGTGTTGGCCACCCACCGCCTCGTGTGCCATGCTGGCCTTCATAGGTGCTCGCTAACAGCACTTGCCCCAACAGTCTGTTAGGGCTATTACTGGGGATCTTTTGTCATTGATGGTGACATCACAGCAAACATAATCCCTGTGACGTCACGCGCGGTGATCGTCTTTCACTCAATGTGAAGTGATTGTCCCACGTCTGTCGTTCATTCCACGTTGACCTTCGATTTAATTTTCGGCATCGTTGCATCAGTTTCATTCGCCACCGCTGAGCCACCACATCGCTACGGCAACTCAAGCGAATATAATTTTTTTTTAAACTCTATTTTTCTAAATCTATTTTCGCCTCGGTGCAACTGATCGTGGGCTCGACGATGTTATTATATTACCGAATTAATGTACGTAATTGTGCCTAATTTTTTGTTGTGAAATGTCACTTCAGGCTAGTTCGAGTGACGACTCGTTCTTTATGCGTCTGGGAAAGGGTGTTCAGTTTTGCGCACAGGCCAAGGTGAAATTGTCGAATTTCAATATAGAGAGCAACTGGTCGAAAGAAACCTGCATCAAGACTGACAGCGGTGAGTACGATACGAACACCGGTGAGCGTGTCCGTAGGTGTTCTACCAAGTAAAAAGCCATTTAGGTTATTTTGATCATTCCCCGGTTTGACTTGTAGACAATGAAACGCATATAATTATGACGTAGTTTAATAAGCACATCAATCTTACACCAGTTTAACTGCTTATGCACTGACGATGCTCATTGCTAACCGGTGTTATTTTTTTCCTCAGATCTTTTCTGGATACTCATCATAGTATTCACTTTACTCATTCTAACTTTCTGTTTAATCGGATTAAGCATGTGTAAAGTGTACAAGTACCTTTACACTTTCAAAAAAGGAACTCCAATGACTCTGGTAACTTATATTGTTTTTGCGTACACATCATCTACACAATATATACACTTACATTTTAATGTTCACAACCAAATAGTATATTTGGAGTTAAAATTATTATATACATCTAAACATATCGTGAAAATGTTGCGTCCACTGATTGGCACAAATCCTGAATTGGAAAATGTATAAATGGTTCAGAGGTGATGTGCAACATAAATCAAGTTGGCATATCAAACCTTGTTTAAACATTTGTAAATTACGATTATTTATAGAGATATAATTTGAATTAATTATTTGGAACGCTGGTGAACTTCTCCAACCTTCAACACACGAGCTGGCGATTTGCGTATTGAACTTAAGAATTAACTACGGTATTTTAGTGTATGGCCCACTCCACGGGTTTGTCATGAACAGTCATGCGCTCAGTTTTCTGGGCTGATCTTATAATTTCCTATATGAATTGCATCTCTTGTTGCCACCATGATCACTCACCGCCATGGTGGAGAGATGTTTACTACCTCACCTAGTATACCGGATGTCGCATGTTCGATCCCAACCCTGACGCCTGCATATTTGGAGTTTGCAGTGTCTCTCTCCCCGTGGTCTCGTGGATTTTTCTCCGGGTCCTCCAGTTTATCCCTTCACATTTATAAACATGCGTTTAGAGTATTTGGCTGCTAGACATTTACACGTGATAAGCCACTTCGTTGAGCTATAATTTGTGGCCAGGTCGCTTCTAAAAAAGAGCTATACAGCTCAGTGGGCCTTACCTGGTCATATCATAAACGAGAATTAGCAGAAATGTGATTTGAGGGGGTGGGATGAGCCACAATCAGTTTAATACAAAAGAGACTTTGCTTGATTGGATTTTTAAGATCTGTATTTTCATTCCGATGATGTATCCGGTATTTATGCATACCCTTTGCCATGACTATCATTACACCACGCCTGAGACGCACAATCAAGCATGACACCAGCAGTGAAAAATTCCACATTTCTTTGGTGGGTGCCATATCATACTTAATGTGAACTAGAAATGTGAGCTGCAAGGAGTTTTGCATCTGGATTACCGTAAGTGTGCCTTCGTGTCAACGAGGGGCAGAGTGAGACTGTACAACTCTACTAAATGTTTCTAATTAGTTGGACTGCCATCCGTATCATACTACTAATACGAAATCAGCAGAAAATTTATATTTTTTTAATAAAAAAAAACATCTCACCTCCAAAAAGACCGGTCAAACAACTGAAAACTCACAAAACAGCCAAAGGTCAGAGGTTACGTCACTTTCCCAGATAAATGTACCTTTGCAGTCTCCTTTCTCAGCGTGTGACAGAATAGTTATAGATCTATAAGAGACACGTCTCAAAGTATTGCATGTACAATTCCTGCTTCTTGTATTTGCAGGACGGCGTGTGGGACTATAATGTCTCTAAGGAAAATCCCAACTCCGCCTACAGCGGGTCGTCTGACGGTGGTGGCCTCGATGGAATAACAATCGACTACAACCAGAATTCCCCTGGGGATTCTGGGGACTTAAACCAGTTGTTTTCAATTAAAATTGACGGTGAAGACGTATTTAACACGGATGACATTTCTTTACGAAGCGACGATGCCAGAAATACAACCTACTCTTCCATGTCTCCCATGTGCCGTGAAAACGGCAGCAGCCACACATGTGTAAACCATGTGTTTGATGACCTACTTCGACAACAGGATACTCCTTGTGAAAGTGAATTCAACGTTATCCAGAGAGATAAGTCCTTGCAACGCCAGCAGTACTGTCAGTCCAAGCCTTTGCTTGACAACACAGAAACACTGTTGTCCAAAGCAGAGCAGTCGGATATGGCATACACATGTCAGTATGTGCAGAGTGTCCATCCGTACATGTCGCAATAGCCACATCGAGCAATAATTTGGCAAGAATTATGTTTAAAATTGGCTGCCAATCTTTCATCAGGGTTTGAGCATCAGCCATTATTATTTATAGTGATATGTCCTTCCTTAGCCTGTTTTTTATATATATAACATTTACGCTTCTTAATTTATGGATTGCCAGGGGAGAGTGGCAAGTGACTAGCGTCTAAATCAATCCGTGATAGATTTTTTGATTATAGGGCGACAATTTACCTACACCGAATGGAGCAAATCTGACATGAAGATCAATGTTATTTTATTTTGTAATTAAATGATCTCAACTGTGTGTAATTTACCTTGGTCTGTCTCTCTTTTGCGTGTCTATCTGCAGCTCCGCTTTCCTATCTGTGCCTCCATTTGTCTCTCTCCAGCCTCTTTTGTCTCTAGCCTCTCCGCCTTGCAGAGAGGCCCCCTGAGCGCACTGCAAGATGCGCCTCTGAGCGGCCACGCACAATCGCACGTGATTGTGTGTGACGTCACCAAGCACTGCCCTCCCCCCAGCACAAAGATCCCCCGTGTCGCCTGAACAGACTGTTGGGGCAAGTGCTGGTAGCGAGTAGCAGCACCTGTGAAGGCCGGCACTGTGCACGAGGGGGTATGTGGTCGGAACCACGCCTGGCCGCCTTTGTTTCCCTAGTGGTGACGTTTACACACCGCACTAGGTACTCATTTGAGGCTGAGTCGACCTAGACGATGCCCAGGTCCCATTCAGATAATCATCGTCACTGGTGTTGATCATGAGCGGGAATTTAACTTTGGTCGCCAGGTTGGTAGCGCAGCGAGCCAACCGCTTCGTTATCGCTCCCCCCAACGCCCCACTACAAACCACCACAAAGCACCACACATGTCACGCACACCTGGGTGTAAGCCCGGCACAATCGCCCCGACATCAGACCTCTCCCCCATGGGTATTCTTCCCCAGGAAGCCTCGGGGTGACCTCAGCCAAGTTGTTGCCCAAGGGAGGAGAGAATTGGCCCAAGTGTAAGGTGCAGAGGGCAGGCATACACAGGTGCCCACCTCCAGGTGAGCGCGGGTGAGGGGGGGGGCATTTCCCCCTCCCCGTAGACGCGGATCCAATACGAGACACGGGCCCCTATGATATGTGTATGTATTTATGTTGAACTTCTTTCGCACCGTACGTAGCCAACCATGCCAATCGTAGATGCGGGCGAAGGACAACAAACTTTCACAAAAAAGCAGCTGTCAAGAAATGAGTGTCAATCTGGACGATGAGTTATAAGTGCGTAGCTCCAAGTGGCTTCCTATTATCGCAAGGAAGAGCATTCCAGATGGCCGCAGAAGCGCATCCGAAAGCGCACGCGCGATCCGGTGACCGTCTTTGTCCGATGGCCAGCCGTAAGCCGCTGCGAGGATGACCGGAGTATCGCGTGATGGTTTATGCGGCGTACACTGAGACGCGGGCAGCGCAAGAACAAAACGTGTTCGGGTCGCGGCTTAGGAGCAGAATAGGCCGTCGGCATCATCATCATAATCACCACCATCATGCGTAGCAGCGCGGCTTTCATCAGCACGTCCGCACCAGGGTTCACGTTCTGTGTTGCGAACGCAGAATGCGAGCTGATCAACCCGTGAACACGCGTGTGTCTCCGCGTGCGTGTGGGTTGTGGGTCGCTTAGCTTCGAGCGATAAAGTGCGTCGGGCATAAGCACGGTGCCAGCTTCATTTCAACCCCCCCACCCAACCCATCATCGGTGGACTGCGTGGTTCTCAGGCGAGCTTCCTGGAACCCTAAGCGCCCACGGACCTGCACACGTGGTTTTTTGCACAGCGCTTTGGGGGAACGGGCGGATGGGGAAGTGTGCATGCCTTTGCGGTGGGAGTGTGGGAGCGTGCGAGAGGCTGCTCGCGAAGCCAGCTGTGGTCAACAGCCCAAGGGCGGGACTCGCCTCGCACCACATCGGCCAACCTCCCTACGGTCGGAAATTGCCCCGCGCAGCTTTTTGCGTAGCCACAGCCCACAGGGGCCAATCGCGTAGGAAGTGGCTGTTAGTCAGCCAGCCTCGCCCACAGCGGGGTCTCTCCAGGTCAAGCGGCCTCGAGTTGACCCCGCAGCCGTAGGGGGAGTTGGACTCCCGTCCCCCGTGATAGCGTCCTCAGACGGCAGAGTCTTGAACCCCCCCGCTTCCTACCCCCAGGGACGGCGAGCTCACTGGCACGTGACGAGCCTTCCAGCCCCCCCCCCCTCCCCTAGAGTGGCGAAGTTCATTGCGCCACGTGTTGCGAGGGACGTGCTTGAATACCGTGGCAGTAAATTACGCTTTTTTGAATGGAAAAACTCGACGCATTTGTAAATGACACCGTGGGTCTTAAAAGTACGTTCTATATCGTACGCCACGTATTGGCCAGTGGACGGTCATAGCACACAGAGAGGCCACAGAGAGAGAGATTGAATCAATACTTGGAGACGACTTTACACCTTGGGGCCCTGAGAATAATTACATTTAAAAAATGTTTCCTGATTAACAGTTTTTCACTAACATATGCATAGTTACCTTCATAATCAACGTTTTTGGGTTTAGATCGCGTTATTTATAAATGTGTCGTAACCCTCCACCACCCGACACGGCCAATCAGTAAAAATGTGTCACGTTGACAAAGACAAATAGTTCACTGCTTTAGCCCACCGGTGTGTTGAAGACACAACATTTACAATTTGAGTACGACGTTTCGCTGGTAATTGCATCCAGCATCATCGGGCAATTCGCCAGAATGGTGAGGCTCTGCTGTGTCTCCCGTTCTTATATAGTTACCTATTAGTAGATATTGAGTAGCAAACACTTAATTAATAAATCATGTATTACGTATACATAAACTTAAGTAAAATAGTAAATATTACTGACACATTGTATTATGGGTAGCTCAGTTGTAGTTTCGTATCTTATTGAAAAGAGGCTCATTATCTACTTAGTGACTCATTTATTAATAAAATAAAGCTTTCAATAAATATTTAAATTCCTGAAGCTTGCAAGCAGGGTATGGGAATTTACGGAGACAATTTAAAACTACTGCTGCAGCAGCAGTAACTGCAGCTCCCTTTGATGCTGTTAATCCTGCATAATGCACATGCATATGCAGTACTAATCACATTCCTGCATTTCCCATAAATATGCTAAATTCCTTTTGATATGCAAATTCCTTTGTCAATGCGCCCAGCTTATATATATGCTCCAAGCTCGTGTGCTGTTTCATTCAGACTCTGTCGCCTCGACGGACCTGGTTTTCACCTGAGGACGGCTGCTTGCGTTGTGGCCGAAACGTCGTGAGAATTGTTTTATTATGTTTTATTTTTATTATTTTATTACTTCCCTTCTACGTGACTTTACCGAAAGAACCAAGAAAATTTAAAACTAGTTTTACTTGAGAATCGTTTTAGCACTGTCCAATTTTACCGGACAGTAAGTGCTAAAATCAGGTACTGTACACAATATTTGAAACTAAAGACGGATAGCACTCAAGAATAAATGTGTGTTTTAAGTGAAGGTGAGCCGTTCAGTCAGCAGTCTTGCTGGCTGAACGGCATTCAGTTTGCACATGTGGTGACCTGTCCTTTTCCCTTGGCCTCATTTCCACCAAAGGTAAAGACGAGGCCATGGACTGACCGATAGGTCAGGGGATAGTTTCATTTTCCTGCTCCAGTGTTCAAACAGGCCGTTCGCTCTCTCTCTCGCTCGCTTTGTGTATCTCGCCGGCTTGTACAATGCAGACATATGTTTCTTAAAACTGCACGGCGGCTCCTCTTCCACCCCTGCTCCACTTTGACAACAACAAAAAGGCCGAGAGCCGGTCAACCCCATTGGGAGTTACGTAGAATTAAAAATAAAATAAAAATCACCAAATCCTAATGTGACATCTTTATTAAGAAAAAAAAGATACAATTATTGGAATAAAGAAGTTGGTGATGCTCGAGGTGGCGATTTGTGTTGAGCGTGGTGAGTTAACTTTGGTTCGAAACTTCGACCGGGATTCTGCATCTGAACAGCCGGTCAGAGCCAGGAGGGAGAGAGAGTCACCTCTTTTGGTGCATATGCAACAAGTCGTGCCTTGCAGTCATCGACGGAACGGCGTAAATCGTTTTTAGTGCGGACGTCAGTTTTGTACTGAAGATGACGAAAGCCTGGTGGAGATTGTCCAATTCTCTTGAGCAAAACGAAGAGGCGAAGACGAAAGAGAAATGATAGCAGAGAAGTAAGGCCATGAATAGTTTTGAAAACTCAGAGAAGTAAATCATCATCATCAGCTATCATCAATCCACTGCTGGATGAATGCCTCGCCCTGCCGCGTGATGCAGCGACCCATCCCGCGCAGTGGTCCGCGATGCGCCTCTGCGCCGCGCCGCGCTTGGTCCGGACAATAATGACAACGTGTATGATGACTTTTGTTTCGGACATTAATGACTATTTTACTTGTGATATTTAATTTCTAAGTAAGTTAGGTTAACTACCCTGATTAAACTACCATAACCTTAAGATGTCAATCCCCTCCTCTCCCCTAAAAAAACCCTTAATGCTGCGTTAAAATATTTTTGATATATTCCGGTAATATGAATGATTTTGTATTCGTGGTATTTAGAGAGAGGGAGAAGGGAATGTGTTTTGTCGCCAGGAGTGGTAGGCTGGCTGGGTGGTCCGCAGAAACGTTTGCATCAGGCTGAGTGGTCCACAGGCCAAACAAGTTTGGGAAAACGCCACTCGAGCACCTACGCTCGGGGTCACACAAACAGCAGGGAACCAGAGGAATTACCTCAAAACCCAGTTGGGTTTTACCCATCCTTCGAAAAAAGTCACAAACAAAAAACCGGGAACAAGAGGATACATATGCACTGGTGTGTATTATTATGCATAGTTGCATACCATGTCGTCAAGTACATTGCTGTGTACGCACATTCGCATCGTAACGTGGACTGATTATTTGTGCATTGTTGTTTAATTTAAACAATTGTCATGAAAAATAACCAAGTGGGGCCCGTTTGCACGTTGGTTGAACCCCCTCTCTGTCATCGTGATCACAGACAATCTGGGGGTGGGGAGTGGATTCCTGCAAGGTACGCGACTGTAGTGCTGCATTTTCTTGGTTCTTTCGGTAAAGTCACGTAGAAGGGAAGTAATACAATAATAAAAAAATAAAAATAAAACATAATAAAATTTTATTATGTTTTATTTTTATTTCTATTTTTTTTTATTACTTCCCTTCTACGTGACTTTACCGAAAGAACCAAGAAGATGAATCCCTGCAGTCACGAAAGCTTTAAATCGAAATGTAGTGCTGCACAGAGATGTATTTCTGCATGCGGCTGCAGTGCTGTACTGGAGGACAGTCCTTCATGGTGGGCATCTCACCGTGCTTAACAACCTCAAGTGCTTAGAAATAAATATAAAAAATAAACTTGATCAGTAAATGAAATCCTAAGACAAAACTTATGTATGTAAAAACTAAAAGCATTGACTCAGAACTCCTGATTGATACAGGGAGACAGTTCCACAAGGCAGGCATTGTAGAAAGAGAAAGGCACTGCCTGGCTGAGCTTGTACCTGCAACAGTGCAGCCTTCATCGAAAGCTTCAAATCAAGTTTCCACACAACTCACACTTAACTTCAAATTTAGCAATCTTTGGAAGAACGTAATCAACCAGGCAAAGCGGTAACTGTTGTGTTAACCGACTCTCTGTGTTGCATTGCATTACATTTCCAAATTTGACTAAGTTTGTTTTCTCAAACTTCCTATTTCTCTCTCTAAATTTGACCAGGTTTGTCAAGTTCCAATTTTCTTTGTCTACAGGTCCATTTTCTCTCATCGGGCCGCTCTCACTGACATGGTAATTTCTCTGCCCCCCCTCTCTCTCTGCCCCCCTCTCTGTCTCTCTTCATAAGGCCGCGACACAGAGTCGTTGTTTCTCTGTGTCCCTCTCTCTCTGCTTGTGTGTCTCTCTATGTGCCTCCATGTCTGTCTTTTGTCCCTCTCTCAAATTTAGCAATCTTTGGAAGAACGTAATCAACCAGATAGGGTGATAGACTCTCTGTGATGTATTGCATTATATTTATAAGATTACTAGGTTTTATTTTCGCATTCATTCGTACCTGATGACGGTTGCTTGTGTTGCAATCGAAATGTCGTATTCTATTGTTTAATTTATTTTCTTTCTACGTGATTTTACCGAAAGACCCAAAGAGTAATTCCTGCAGTCACGACAGCTTAAAATCAAGAATGAGTATTATAATTGTATTTATCCAGGAAGTCAAAGGACTCTTTTTGCAGGAGGGTCCAGCATTGGGTTTTTATTTTAAGATGTTTTTTTCCGGCAATGAGCGACGGGTCGTGTTTATACGCGTGGGAGGAAACCGGAGCGCCCGGAGAAAACCCACGGACGCACGAGGCGGCAACGCTCTATCCCCGTGCAGATGGAAACAGATGGCGTATTAGTCCCCTCCCTGTTCTGCCTTCTCCTGGCGAGCCAGAGTATGGCACCTTCTCGACGCTCATGGGAAGGATGTTTGACAACATGTGTGTGTGTGCGTCTGATCCACCAACCCTCGCCTCCATGGTGTTGCCAAGTGGGGATCATGTGATGTGGTTTTCAACACTTTTTACACCGTTTTCCAATTGTATCACTTGATTAGTGCTACGGGTAGAAGAAGCGCCAAGCAGAAAACAGTTATTGTCGGACCAACGCCTGGGGAAAGATAGTGAGAGCGCTGCCCTTTTGCGAGGCAAACCGTTTATAGGTAAGATGAAATGTGGAACACTGTTATCCAATTTTAACTGTCATGTCGTTCAGTGCAACACCATTGCAGCAGTTTTTGCATCGGCCAAATACATCGACTTCACGCACGCCGGTGTGCTCACACCCAGTCGGAAGGCACGGCTCTCATCATATCTTGCAAGCATGTCATGTGACCACAACATTCGCATGTGCAATGCTCTCAGCCTTGCCTAAACCACCAGCTCGAAGAACTAACTGTGGTCGCATTCTTAACTTCCTCTTGTATGCGTATAGGCGTTATTGTTTTTCATTATTATTATTAAACGCTTTTATTTAACTCACTCTGTCTGTTGTTGTCGTTGTTGTATTCTCAAATCTTGTAACTCAATTTTAACCCACTTCCCAATGTGGTATCGACTGCAAACTTGGTATACCTACACTGTATGTCACACTGATGACAATACTATATTATATCATAAACAATATACACGCCCCACGCTCTTATTTTTAGTCAGTTACAACAACAGTATATTAAACATATATAATGCAAAGTACTTGAACATATTTTTTTTTACTTTTTAGTACATTTCATAAAAGCGTGTTTATGTATTTATTTTAAAATATATTATTATTCACTGTATAACAGCAGTTACAGTTATTCCGGCCTTTCTTAAGTATGCGAAACCTTTCATGTTCGTAAATTAAAATCTCTCATTCACAGTAGCATATCCAGGTTCCGTTGCTAATACTCCTGTACATTTTAACAATAATGCCAGAACTATCCAAGTTTTTTGCTTAGATCACGTAAATATAAATGCGTCGTTAAACCCGCCACCACCCGACAGCAAATTAGTAAGGTTTGTCACGTAAACAAAACATGCCAATTCGTTACTAGTACAGCACACAGGTATGTTGGAGAGTAAACTCACAACATTTAACATTGGAGTACGAGGTTTCGCCAGTAATTATTCTGAAATTATAACCAGCCTCATCAGGCGACAACCAACTCTGCTTGACAGCCAACGCAGGCTAATCGCCTGATGATGCGAGTTGTAAAACGTCGTACTCGAATGGTAAATGTTGTGGGTTTACTCTCCAACACACCGGTGTGTTGTACTGGTAATGAATTGGCACGTTTTGTTTACGCGACAAACCTTACTAATTGGCTGTGTCGGGTGGTGGCGGGTTTAACAACACGTTTATATTTAGGCGATCTAACCCAAAAACCTGTATTATGGGTACTTATATTCTCCACAAAGACGCTCATGATTATACTTTGTGCAATGTATTTGCATAGATCAGTGTCAAACTAGAATCCATTTCATGGGTGCAGGCGCAGACAAAAATGTGACCTGTTTGTCACTAAACCACATTCTTTGATGACTTGCGTTTGGAGTTGTTTTCCACCAGCACCAGGGTTTGTCGTGTTCAAAAGCATACTCTGTAAAAATAGAAAATACTATTTGGATGCCAAACAATGAGTCACAGGGCGTCGATCGTTGTGCCGAGATTTACTTAAAATATTCCGAAATAGCAGCCAACAGGTTTATCCAAGGTATCAAGAATGGTTTGAACTGTAACTATAAACTACTGGAATGCTGTAATCCATGAGTGGGCTGGTTACTGATTCGAGATAAGCTCAGCCCACAACCGGTCAGTGCTCTGCGATACGGATAGTGCAATCACCACTACCATTAATACTTTCTTTTATAATGGATTTCGTTTTAATTGTAGGAGACAGTGGCCATACCAATCCAGAGTGTTTACTTGTTATTTATAAGAGCAGGGTGCCTGAAATGTCATGTGTTTGTTAAACTCGCGGCGGAGGACTTATCTAAGCGAGCGACACAAGAGTGAGAGATTCCATGCCTCGACAAAATCCAACAGTAGTGGTCTCTCAAGGCACATCAACACATTGAAAAACAACCACACGCATAGCGTGAGGAGTTCTCCAACAACATTTGGTTTTTGGAAAGGATTAAACCATGAAAATCACAAAATCCTTGTGGATGACTTTTCATAAGCCACCAATTGTGGACATGGACTCGAGCCGACGACCTCTCTTGGGGGACAAGAGGGCAAAGGCAGACAATGGTTTGTCGCAGGCCTGCAGTTTCCACTTGTTGGGCTGCCTCCTTCTTGTAGAGCTCTTCGAGAGGGTGACCTTCTACGGGATAGTTTGCAACATGATACTCTTCTGCACGGTAAAGCTGGGCTATCCAAACCACGCCGCCGCCACCATCAACCTGTGCTTCGTCGGCCTCAGTGTCACTGCCGCCACCGTGGGGAGCATGGCAAAGAACGTGATCAGCCGGAACCGTATCATTTACATCAGTGCTGTGCTGCATCTTGGAGGTAAACATCACGCTTCGCACCACCTCTTTGCACGGTTGGCTACGTACAGCGCGAAATAAGTTCAACATACATACGTACAATACTTGCTTCAGCGATAACATTTTAATTGATGTGTTTACTTATTGTGTTACTGTCCCCTTCCAATGCTGTTCATAACAAACAAAAAAGTTGCAGCCAAATGCGAACATTTGTTTAATTCGTGCATCTGCCAATAATGTATACCGGAGATACTCGAGAAAGTGATTTTACAATAAAAAAGGAGGAACGTTATTGGAACGCTCACTCATTAGTCCCCATAGTGGTATCCCCATTTAACAATGCGCAGAAAACATACCGTGCTCATATGCAGCATGTAGAGGACCCTGCCACGGTGCAGTGGTCAGCACACCGGACTTGCAATCCAGACGTGGCCAATGCGGTTCGATCTCCCGGCAGTTGAAACAACGGTGCAAGCTTCTTCAATCCTCACCGCCTCTCCTCGCCGCCTCGGTGCCCACAGCAGTATCGGGCGCACGGTCAATCAGTCAGTCGGCGAGTCGCGTGTTATGGCGTAAAGCGTGGATACTCTCACGTCTTCCAAGATGTCTTGCCAGTGTGGAGGAGTAGGCTAAACAAACCCTCTAGAAGGGCCTTCTAGAGCTCCCCCTATAAAGGAGGCCTTCTATAAAGGGATTCCTTTATAAGGAGGAGGCCCTTCTGCCTGCAAGCAGCGTGAGCAAAGTTATAGCAGGGGTGGACCTTCTATACAGTCGAATGGTTCTTGCACAATGGCTTTTTATCCGCAATGCCTCGTGATTCAGAGTTGAATCACGCATTAAAAGCCACCTTGACTGTGGTATTGCGGTTGTGGTGGTGAGCGGCGACTCAAGTTCGGTTTCCGCTCACGGCCACCAACACCAGTAACGATTATCTGAACAGGTCCTTGCCCTCCCCTAGGTCGACTCAGCCGCACATGAGTACTTGATGTGGCGTGTAAACATCGCCACTGGGAAGACAAAGGCGGTTGGGCGTGGTTCTGGTCACCCACCCCTTCGTGTG